GGGGGGGGGGGGGGGGGGGAGAGGACGTGAACGCGCGTCAGTCGCAAAGACGCGCGACGTAGGCCGATAACCGTGATAACGTGATGCCGAAGAGCGGGGAATGCGGAAGGTGATAAGGGCCGAATGCCTGATAATCGAGACGAGGGAAGACGTGCATTCGCGTGCGAAGTTCCGCGGGAGGATATCGACAACGTGCACGCGAGAAATTGGAGAGAGAGAAAGAGAGGACAAAGAAGAGAAAGATCCTTAACGTGGAAAGAACAGAGAACTAAGAGTGCTCTTGTGTATTCTCTTTCTTCCCCCTTCTCCTTCACTATTTCTCTCCCTCCATCTTCCTCTTTCTTTCTCGGAGGAACGCATATGCGCATGCACACACACACACACACACACACATACACACACAGAGTATTATACGCTATATAATACATACAAGAAAATTAAGTTGCCCAAGAGGAAGACTTGAATGCACTTGACCAAGTTATCCCCGGGCAGGACTCTCTGCAGGAAGTTCCAGAGCGGTCGCGTTCCGTCGTCGCGCCCGGTGGTCTCATGACTCCACCAGCATCGCGAGGCCTCCGTCGGCGCGTTTTGCGCGGAGATCGCGGAAGACGACGACGGGTCGACGGCGGGCTCGGTGTGCGGGGACGACGACGTAGGCGCGTTGTCGCTCCGCGTCCGTCGACAGTAGCACGCGAATTTCACGAATCGTTCCATCGCGCGCTCGTGATCTCCGCTCCGTCCAGCTTGTCACGGGCTTGCCAGGCTCGGTAGTCGACGTCGTCGTCGTCGTGCTCCGATCGCTCCCTCGTGATCTCTCGCGCGGCTCGGTCGCTCTCGCCTTCTTCGTCGTCGTCCTAATTGACGCTCCGCGCGGGCATGGCACTCCGGTGGAAAACCGTCCCGCGGGTGTATTTATAGCGCGCGTGACAATCGGGGGGGTGGAGTTGCGCTCGCCGTTCAACGACGACAAGAGAGAGAGAGAGAGAGAGAGAAACGGCGGAATTCCGCTCTCCGCGAGGATTTCCCTCGACCACAGCCGAGAGCGCGAGGTCCCCGGAGGGGAAAAAGAAGGTGTGACGGGGGCCGAACGAGCGCGAGAAGGTCGTCACCTGAACGGCGGAGATCTACTCTGAAGAGACGACGACGACACGTGAGAGAGCGAGAGACAGCGGGGACGGCTCGCAGGTGTACGGCTCCGACCGAGATACCTCTCACGGCTACAAAGGCAACGCTGAGACAGCTGACTGCGCGCGTAGACACACACGCAGGTCTTGCGTAGGACGCAGGGGAGCAGAACTCTCTCTCTATCTTTGTGGCGGTGCCGTGATCCCCCGTTCACCTGCCACCCGGCGACACGAGGCACGCAACAATCGTCCCCGAGAACTGGCGAGAAGGCGCGCGCGCGAGAGCACCGTGGATGGACGCGTCGCGATAGGCAAAACGCGCAGTTCCGTGATCGAACCACGACCGGGACGACCGATGATGACGACGATACGCCGTTGTACGCCGCCGTGACCGATGACGCGCGATGGAGGCCGTGACTGACGTACTCTCTAGTATTATTTCACGCGTCGGTCTCTAGTTGCAGCACGGCGCTGCATGGTCCTACTCTTTCTCTCTCTTTCTCTTTCTTTCGTCCGCTACTCTCGCTCCCACCTACTCCCCTTCTCCTACTCCTAGGCGCGCGTACACGTGACGACGGCGACGCGCACGCGAGCTGCGTCTTCTCCGCGACACCCGTCATGACCCGCATCACGGCTGTAGGAACGTTTCCTTCCTCGCTTTGTTCGATCTCTTCTTCTTCTTCTTCTTCCCTGCCGGTTGAACGTTTGCACCGAGAGGATGTTTCTCTTTATTGTTCTTCCTCGTTAGTCCAAACCTTGATGGACCTTTATCCCTTTGAGATATAATCTTAATATATAGTAAAGAATGTTGTGTTAAATTTAACACACTTCATATATTCCAAACGGTTCACACAAATTTTTGTGTTAATTTTTAAGGTGAAGGCAAAGTGAATATGTTGAAAGGTAATACAAAAATATTCTGTCAAAAATTAATGCAAAATTATAATATCCGTAATATGTTAATAGACATTGGAATATAAAGTGTGTTATTTTTAACGCTTACAAGTGTTGAATATCGACTCAACATAAAATATTGCGATAACACCAACACAATATGTTAAATTAACATACAGATATGTTAAAAATTTAACGTAAAAATTTTAACAAAGGATTTTAACACACGTAGAAAATGTTTTTTACCGTATAGCATTATATTTATACCGCATAGTAACAATGTTATAATGTCGCATTCAACAATGTAACTGTTGTATATATTTACATTGTTGAGTGAGAAATTAAGACATTGACGCAACGCCATAATTACTGTTAGTTTGTGTTTATCGGAATGCGACGGTATCCCTTTTTCCCTCTTCGGCCTCCCAATCTTTCAATTTCAAGGCTAACTTTCTCCTGAATTATGTATGTACGATCCGAAGGAATTCCGATAACTGTGACTCGTAGCAGAGCACATTAAATTGAAAAGGCGATAACGTCGTGAATCATTCTGAATTTTATCTTTCGAGAAATCCTTACATACCCACAATATTGTGCATTCAAGCAAGCATAAATATTATATTAATATTATCGCCATCGTTTTCTTTCGTTACGATTTGACCGGACTAGATAAGAGCTGCTAATACTAACCTTAAGTACTGACATTGTTTAGTTGTTTCTTTTAACTTCTGCTGTCATTTTCACCTTTGCTAATTTTGCTGTAAGTAAATATATATAGACAGCATAACGGAGTATTTACTAACACATCGTTTTTATTAATCCTCGCAAAGGGTTTACATCGAGGTCCGTTGAGTTTTGCGATCGATCGCACGTTGAGTAACATAGATTGTAACAATTAATTCGAGTCGGGCTAGTATAAAAAAGAAAAAAAGAAAAAAAAAGGACAAAACACGACTAATAGCGCGAATACATTGATTCTGTCATCGTGAAAATTACAGCTACTATAAAATCATCAAAAAGATAAAATTGTCGGCTCGTGAGAACGAAAACAATGATCGGTATGCAGTAGAGTGGTTTGCTACGTTTCCCTTTCGCGGCACATTAAAAGAACGATTTTACTGCGTTATACATTGTAATTTTTCGATGTCACCTCAGGAGATTCCTGATAGAAAGAATTAAGAGATAAATATTTCCGTTCTTCCTCTTTTGTAGACATTAATTTCCTTCGAGACAAGATACATATTGCTTATCGCTTATCAGACGCGATAACCCACACACTGGGCACTTTTTATTTCAAAACTAGTCGCTCTGTATACTAAAGAGAATTCCGATTCCTCAGAGATTACATTAAAAATCTCGTGACCGATTAAATGGCTATGTTTACGTATATGAAAGAAAATATGCCTCTCGTGTACATGTGCGTATAATCATGCGGTTCAACTAACGTCGTAACGCGGAGTTAAAACTTACTTCTACGGGGCTCGGGCAGTACTTTATACATTTATACAATTTCCTATAAACATTTTCGAGTCTTCTTAGTTATACGAGAAGAAAGTAAAACAATGTTATACAATTAAAACAATCACATTAGTACGATAAAACACCCGAAAATAAATGCAGTCAGATTTTGTTGCATAGCAAAGTGTAACGCTTCATAGATTGCACTAGTAAAAACAACGACACAGATTCCCAGACCAAGCATTCGACGGTTATTGTGAAGGTCAACTATGTGGCAGAGAAATTTTGAATCTTTCAGGGATGCCCTTAATTGCTTATAGTAAAATATAAACATTTACACGAATATATAACTTGAGTAAAATATGTGTTTATATAATAAATAATCATATGAAAAAACTTTAAAATTTCTATATAAAAAAATGTATAGTATATAAATATATATATATATATATATATATATATATATGTGTATATGCATATAGAAAATAAATTTTGTTCTAGCATCATTCAGTTCCAATATAAAAATCGATATCGAACGAACTAATTTTTAGAAAAATATAAATAAATGTAGTTTGCACAACCTTTTCTATAGGAATCTATATGAATGCTCGATCTAGGTATGTTGTTGAATAAAAGATATAATGGGAACACTCCAGCGAGCTTCACAGTCCACCGTGTGGTATTCCGGGAAAAATGTTTATATATAATTATATATAATTATATAAAATTATACATAATTATACGTGATTTATATATGAATGTTGTCTCTACATGGCTGCACATCTAATTGTATATGTTCACACGAAATAAAAATACTGTTGAATGACAAACAGAAAAAATAGTTTGATTTAATTAAGTGTTTACGTATCATAGGTAGCCACAAACATAAACGCTTCGATTATATTTTTATGACAGTATTTTTTAGATGTGGGACATATATGATCACATATGGGCATAGAGACAAATTTCATACATGATCTTTTTTCCCGGGATAGTATCTATTCATCTTCTCACTGGAAAGCGCTCAATATAGGAAGATCTTTAATAGTCATTTTCGTACCTCAAAAAAAAGGGCAACAATATTTGTATCCGCTGTTGTTCCTTCTTTTAAATTTTTCAACTAAACGAGTCGCTGATTTATATGCTGCTAATCATCAGCATCACGAATATGTATGTATATATGTAAATATATCTTATAGAAAATGCAAAGGTAACTAAGAGGTTAATGCAAGCATATATCATCGTCATAATATTAAAGGCACTTGAATATCAAAATTAGCCTATAGTAGCGTGATCTTAAATCGTTGATCGTAACGAGACATAACTTGTAAAGTTACAACTTCGCGGTTGCCCCTAATCAAGTGGCGCGTATTTTTCCTTCCCTCCTACGCGCACACGCGCGTAATACACAGTCTATGTTATATGGCAGTATTAAGTCGTTCTTTACAAATATCTCAACAATTAAAAATACCGTATTAAATTAGATCCTTTAAATAATTATAAACGTTGAAACGCTATCTTGTTATATATATTTACCACCGAAGCATTCGCGCTTCACGCTGAAGTTCGCTCCAGGTTCGAGATGATGATCACACCATCCGTCAGTCGGCGCAACTTTGTCGCAAAAACCGTTCGAGACTGCGTCGCCCCGGTTCTTCCTAAAATTCCCCCGTTACCTTTGCCTCGAGATGCATTATTTCCCAGCGTAGGTCGGATTCTTAAACGTGGAGGTCGCTTGCTTGTAGATGGGATTTTCGCCCTGTGCGTAAGGAAAGCAACAAACGTGTTATGAATTCTATTTCGTATCTCTTTCTTTTAGTCTCAAATAAATAGAAAGATTTCGTGAAAAATCTTGGCTTCAGATGCGTTAAAAAGAAATATGTTCAAAACTCGCGATTCTGTCTTTTGCGTCTAATTTTAAACTTGAACCTCGAATTGATTTCAGTCTACTGTGAAACATGACGCGCGACTGTACCGTGTCCCATTTGGCCATCATCCTCTCCTTCTCGAACCGAGCGAACTCTCGTCGGTCGTGTATCGTCGTCAGCAGCTTCCATAGCAACAGCAGCGCGAGACCGATCAGAACTATCGCCGCGATCACGCCGAGCACGATGCCCAGCATGTAGACTTGCGGTGGGCACTCGCGGTCGTTCTGCGCGCGTACTTTCAGGCAGTTGGTCTCGTTGTAGTAGTACACGAAGTTGTACTTGCAGTCGTCCTCGTCCGTGCCGAAGCACAGCACCTCGTCGTTGTCCACGTCGAGTATCACCGTCTCGACGCCCTCGGGCACGAATTCCTTACAGTTCTTCGCGCACTCCTCCGGATCACTGTAGTTCCCGGTGCCGTACATCTGACACTGCACGCAGCTCTTGAGCTCCTCGCAGCGACTCGGGCAGGTCGGGCACTTGTTGCAGTGCTTGCCGGAGTATCTCGTGTTGCCCTCCTCGTGGCAGATACATTCACCGCAGATGCAATCGCCCTGCCGAGAGAAAAAGAGAGAAACGTGAGGGGAAAAAACGAAAGAGGAATCGTAAAATCGGATGGCAACTACGGAGGATCAACGCGAGGCGGGCGTAGGAGCGGTTTGACTGTCAAAAATAGAGGAAAAAATGAGTTTCATTCTTGAAAAAGTAAGAAAATAGTGAGTTAGTCTAAAAACAGCCTAAAAATAAAACCACCTTTCTTTCGTTTCATGAATATCATGTCGTCAGAGTCATTGTTACGTTCTATTTCATTTGAATCTTTTGTCTTGTCTTTAAAGAAGCAAGTTTTTAGACATAAGTTCTTGTGACCGAGTTCTTTTTTAAGAGCTCAAATCGAATAAAAAAAGGAGAGAAAATATTGAACTTTTTTTTCTTAAAAATACGAAAAAATGACGCGTTTCTAAATAAGTAAAGAGAAGCGTGAAAAGTGACTCCCATGCCTGCGAGCGGTAACTACATTGTCGTTGCACTTACATGGCCAGAGCACAACACGCCGTTCGTGGTTCCCGGTGCGATGCAGGAGTCGTTGGAGGACCTGCAGTTGCAAGATGGCCCGGTCCAGCCGGCATTGCAAACGCATTGGCCGCACTCACAGGTACCGTGGTTGGAGCACAGCTGACCCTGATCTCTATCGCAGGAGAAGTTGTCGCACTCGCAAAAGTGTCCCGATATGATCTGCGAAAATAAAAGCAGGAATGAGTACTACTAATATCCACACTATACATTTAATATATACATATCACATAGTCACACGATTGTTGCGATCATGCTTTAATACTTGTTTCATTCCGCACGATTAATCGTACGGATTCCATCTCATTTCGCTTTTACTTCCGACTTTATCTTCGTTACTACTTCCAAATACTGTAATTAAGACGCATATTAAGATACTGTAATTTAAGATATACATTAATTTCTCCCCAAGTATTAACTTCAGATACGATTAATTGATTCAAAACGATCGTTCATTCTACTGTAATTTAAGATATACATTAATTTCTCTCCAAGTATTAACTTCAGATACGATTAATTGATTCAAAACGATCGTTCATTCTACTGTAATTTAAGATATACATTAATTTCTCTCCAAGTATTAACTTCAGATACGATTAATTGATTCAAAACGATCGTTCATTCTACTGTAATTTAAGATATACATTAATTTCTCTCCAAGTATTAACTTCAGATACGATTAATTGATTCAAAACGATCGTTCATTCTACTGTAATTTAAGATATACATTAATTTCTCTCCAAGTATTAACTTCAGATACGATTAATTGATTCAAAACGATCGTTCATTCTACTGTAATTTAAGATATACATTAATTTCTCTCCAAGTATTAACTTCAGATACGATTAATTGATTCAAAACGATCGTTCATTCTACTGTAATTTAAGATATACATTAATTTCTCTCCAAGTATTAACTTCAGATACGATTAATTGATTCAAAACGATCGTTCATTCTACTGTAATTTAAGATATACATTAATTTCTCTCCAAGTATTAACTTCAGATACGATTAATTGATTCAAAACGATCGTTCATTCTACTGTAATTTAAGATATACATTAATTTCTCTCCAAGTATTAACTTCAGATACGATTAATTGATTCAAAACGATTGTTCATTCTACATCAGAGAGAGAGAGAGAGAGAGAGAGAGAGAGAGAGAGAGAGAGAGAGAGAGAGAGAGAGAGAGANGAGAGAGAGAGAGAGAGAGAGAGAACGAGGGACAAAGTCCGTTAACACGAGTCTAATTAGTGAGGACGAAGTATAGCATACCTCCTCCGGATTCTCTCGCTCTTCGCATTCGCACTGGCCGCAGGCGCACGTTCCGCGGCCGGAGCAGTCCACGAGGGTGGTGTTGTCGGGCCGGCACAATTGGAAATGTCTGTCGAAGCCTGTCATCTCTTGGTGCGGACTGCACTCGCAGTGTTTGCCGAAGAAGCCGTCGTAGCACTCGCAAACGCCGCATTTGAGCGTACCCACGCCGTTACAGTCTGCTGACTTCTCCTCGTACATGAGCCCTCCGCGCTCGCACTCGCAGTCGCATAACATCTCCAGGTTCACCGTGAGAGTCTCGTTGATACCAACCTGCAAAGAGGCAATCATTACCAGTTCTCGAATAGATCTGGGATCTGTCGAAGCACAAGGTGAAGTTTCTAAAACAGCTAAAACTCGTATTAGATTGACGGATCGAGGATTACAATCGGACCAATCGGGTAAATCAGAAGAAAGATTTAGATTATAGGGTTGGGTAATAACTTGTTACTCTGTTCAAAGTTAAAAAGTCAATAACTTTTAACTTAAACTAGTTAATTTAAAATTCATTAACTTTAACTTATTAACTTTTTTTTTATACAAGTTAAAAATCTTATGTGCTTGCTTACAGGATAAGGAAAATTAAAAATAACGCCGGCAGAATTTGTTTCCTTAAGAGCTAATATCCTTTTCTTGTAAAGAATCCTGAGCACAAAATATTTGATATTATTTTACAATGACTACCTTTTTTTATTTAGCATAAATTTAATCTATGCTTAAAGAGTTAATTATACAAAAAAGCATGCATATACATATATATGTTCATAGCTTTGCATAATTAACTTTTAACTTCAATAACTCAATATTAACTTTTGATTAAGTTCCATTTGGTTTAAGTAATTTTTAACTTAAATATGTTAATTCTATAGGCCATTAATTTTTAACTTAATTGAAAATAAAAATCAACTTACCCTGGATTTAGATCACCTGATTGGTTCGATTGTAATAAACTAAATCTGTCCGATACGGACCTAAGAGGATCCAAATCGATTTCGTTCGGATCACGGACTTACCGGATAGATATCGAACTTTTGTTTCCATTCGGATCTGTTGGCCGGGCAGCTGGTAACCTCGATTTCCGCGATGAACTCCACTTTCGTGCCGACTTTCAAGCCATCGCACTTGGAAGTCTCGATCGCCGGTCCGGTACCCAAACAGCTCGAGAAATACTTGACTTTCACCGCGCTGCTCGCGGTATCCTTCATCTCCACGGAGCTCGAAATTGCGTCGTATTGTTCCCGGATCAGTTCTACGACATTGCTCGAGTCCTCCGTGAGTTTGCCAGCAAACGAGCCCTCCACGTGCTTCGTCAGCCGTTTGTAGACGCTGATCTGCTCCTCCGTGACCGCCCATATAATGTTGATCGCGTTCTGTTTCACCTTCAGATTGATCTGAGAGATGCTCGGGTAGTCTTGCAGGGACGAGTAGGTGTACATGCCGTTCATGTCCAAGTGACATATGCCGTCGTTAGGCTTTATGATGCCGCCCAGTTTACCGTCGCCCGCGTAATGGAAACCAGCATCCGTGGAGAACACCAGCAGTCGGCGCGCTTTCTCGCGCCAGCCAATCTGATTTCTGCACACTATGGCTTGCATGATGGCGTCGAAGCCGCCTTCCGGCGCGTCCAAGTTGCCGGATACAGACGCGTTCCGCACTAATCCCTGTGTGAACAAGAACGTTTCTTCAGAATAAATCGTCACAGATAGATGGAACGTCCCGAGTGTCCCTCTGTCTGTGTATTCATGTATGTTTCACATATTTATGTGGAGATTCGTACCGCGAAGTGACTTGTGTCTTGTGACAGCCTCATGATGTGTTTGTATCCGTAAGGCGCCGCGCAACCATCACATGGCTCAATCAGACTGAAACAGTGAGTGAAGTTTTAGTTTGACATATGCACGAGAATATACGATATTGTCGTATCATCTTCAGTTTCTGTAAGAACTCACGACTTCGGCACCGTGTTCACGTAAGGCATCACAACTTTGTCGACGAAGCTACCGAAGCCCAAGCGGAAGTTGGTCGTGATCTTGCTCATGCTCTCGACTAGTAGCTGGCCGAGATCTGATAATTTCTGTTTGTCGTCTTCCATAGATTTACTCAGATCCATGAGGTAATAGAGATCGACGGGGTAATCCTCCGCTTGGGAATAAGCGAAGGACATTCTGTACGCTTCATCTGAGGATAAATCAGCGCGTTATTTGCATTCCATAGACAAAATGGCACAAAGTTTTGCAAGTGTTTTGAGTTGATGACAACTCACTTATTCGAAGCTTCAAGTTGACCTCCTGTGGCCACATTTGAACAGCCTCTTGTCTTCTGCTGCCGCTGGAACTTTCCTTGTGAAAGTGCGAGGAGGATGACGAGCTAGAGGATGAGCCAGAATACGAGCCTTCGATGCTGCCATATCCTCCTCCAGCACCACCGACAGCGTAACCCCCTTTCGTTAAGTTGCGGTGTCTCAACATGCTGAATATATTGTCCGGATTCCACGTGAAATTAGGAGGACAGGTTGCAAATATTTTGGTATTGATATTTGGAAGAAAGCATCTCTTTTCCGTGAATTTCTGCAAAAAATAGATCCCATTTAAGATTAATAATCAATTCTAATTGTTACTAATGTTAAAGTCACATAGCGAGAGATAAGTCTTTGGGATAAAGTTGACGGTAAACTCACTGGTGCGGCGCACCAAGCACAGTGTGGGGTTTGTATGCATTCATGGCACGTCTGTTTACTGATACAAGGATTCATGCCGACCAATCTCTCCGGAGGATTGTAATTGGCTTGGGCGAACACAGCTAATAGTCCTGCCGTTAGCACTCCCAATATAACGAGCCATCTTGAGCTGCCGAACATCCTGCACAATCATAGATATATTAATAAACTTGTTACAACAAAGCATTTTTAAGAGGCCACAAATAGCTAAAATGAATGTAACACTGAAATACATGGGAAAACTGTTACTATGGAAGATTTAAATAGAAGACCGAGACGGAGAGACTGAACAGAATATAACGAGGTTTCAAACGGCAGACGGCAAAACGTGGAGGATAACACTTTGGATCACGTACAATTTCGCATCCATTCTTACAGGTCGCTCCGACGCGATTCCACGATAAACGGATCGTACGAGACGGCCGATTGAAAACTGCAGCCGAATTGCACCCTTCGTGGTTACCGCGGCTTATTCATACGCGACGATGCCGTCATCTTTATATTTGCACAGGCAGCATCACGCTTCCGAATGACTAAACGACGTCGTCGTCGTCGCTGTCGCAGAGTACGATAAGCGCTATAATAACTTCGTCTAACGAGAAACGTCAACCGTGCTGGAGGCGGCTTACTTATTGCGAGTGTGAGCGCGGGGTGCCTGATCGGGTGATCTCCGTGATTCTACAGCATCACAAATGTTTGGTTTGATGTTTCTTTATCTCTCTCTCTCTCTCTCTATCGTCGCTCCCAGATCACCATAAATGGCAATCCATCAAACGAACGCACCAACGCACACCGCGGCCGCAGGGAGTGTTCGCTCTTGCATTTCGCTTTTATCGTAGATTACGTTCCGTCGCCCGCTCGTTCATTGGCTCCGGCTCCGCGGCGACACGTTGCCAGCGGGGCTTGAGATTCGCCAGCGAATCCAATCATCGGAAACGCTTGATCGCTCGTGTGTTGCTGCGCCCGCGAGTTTCTGCCTCTCACGTTGGCAGCGCCGGCTACCTCGTTTGGCGCTCTCTTGAGATATTTTCAAATTTCAAAATGGCCGAAATGGGTCGTCGCGTCGTTTGGCCGAATATCACGAATATCGCGCGCGTACTCGCGCCTTAGTCGGTTGAGCTCGTCGTCGGCGAGCCGCGGATTGTGCTCTCGTCGTGTGTCCCCTTGTGAGTGTTGGGAGTTTATATTGTTTGCCTGCCCGGAGCGTCGAGTGACCATTCAAGGACCGATGGATCGTCGTACGTGTACGGTGTAACGAAGAAGGTAAATATTATATTCACGCAAAAGCGATCGTACGATAGAATGTATTAAATTAAATGTAACTGAAAAATGTGAAGGAAGAATATGTAGCACCATGAGGAAGCCAAAGCACACAGAGATGTGTTTATACCGCTAAATTTAAATATTAATCTATCATTGTGAAAGAATTAAAAATGTTCTGAATATTCTCCAGACAAACGTAACATATTAATTTTTACACACACCATCGATCATTTTGGTTACCACCCGTTTGCGCGAAATCGCGTGCGCGTGAAGCATCGCCCGCGAGGGCGAGCGTAGAAATTTAAAATTTCGAAACACGAAAAAATTTCATCCAGCGCGTCTTCTTCCAAATTGACGAGAACTTCTGTCTAGTGTTAAAAGATATGTACGCGCACAATTGATAATATTAGACAGGTTCTCACCTTTTACCACCTTTTATTGATATCGGAAGCAGTGCGACCACCACAAAATGGCAGTAAACAGTTAGCGCGAGATATACTAAATTCATCGTATCATATTAAACTGTACTTTGTGGTTTTATTGTGTTGTGTTGGATCGAACTTTGTTATTCTGCCGGCAAGGTGACTTGAAAAATCGACGACCGGTAAGTGCTCCTTATGAATTATTGATTTCTACGATAAATATTATTATCGAAGAAAGTGGCGCGGTATGTGGAGCACGTCAGTCGTCGGAGGTTATGTTTTGCTGCTAGGACGTAATGTTGCCTTCAGGTTTTGCTGCCTACGGAATACCTAGTACTATTTTTGTCGTTTCAGTGACCCGTTTGTTCCAGCTGTACAATACTGCATTTGCTGCACTCGAAATTAAATAGTTGCATATAAATATATATATATATATATAATTAAATAGTTGCATATATATATATATATATATGTAACTATTTAATTTTGAATGCAGCAAATGCAATATTATATAGCATATATATATATATATATATGCTATATTATATATATATATATACAGACATTGTATGTGTATAAAAGAAGGAAATAACGATTGAAATGGAAAAAAATGCAACTGAAAAGAAACTATTGATGGTTTCATAGCTTAGCAGATAACATTTTCATACAGCTCGTCTATATGTTGTGTCTGTATTATTTTGTGCGTGATGTATTTTATTCGGTGTGTTCTACATCGTTAGCAATTAGCTCCTTATGAGCGATTTGTTAGCTAATTAACTTTAGACCTTGCTCCAAAACTCTTTATCCGCATACTTTTCGAAGCGGATCGATAAACGAAGTGACAATCGTGGAACCAGGGATATCCGTCAATAAAGTAATTTTCTCCCTCTGTTTTCTTCTCGGCAACCTTTGTAGATGGCGCGACAGTGTTCTTTCTGATTTTTACACCCGTTTGCAATACTTTAGTTCTCTTCCCAAGCAGTACGTAAACGTTCTTCAAACGTTTACGTGCTGCTTGGAGTGTATTATTAAATTAAATGNGGAACATTCGAAGAACATACATTTTAGAACCCTTAATATATATCTTACGTAGCAAAAGTGTCGCAGTATCACAATCATGCGGCTCTGTTACAATTCCATTTTTTAATTAAAATATATACATCTTGAAGTTTGATTATATCTATTTATAACAAATTATAACAAATGATTTAAAAAATATATTAATTGATGAAAGATATTAATATATTAATATATTAACAACATTAATATATAACAGAGCAGCATAATTGTGATACTGCGACATTTTTGCTACGAAAGATATATATTAAAGGTTCTAAAATGTACGTTCTTCGAATGTTCCCACTTTGTTTGAATATAACCAAACCAAGTGAACGTAAAGCGAACGTTCTTCAAACGTTTACGTGCTGCTTGGAGTGTATTATTAAATTAAATGTTATCCACATTAGCACACATATAACGCGTTGTAACGATTAACAATATGAAAACACGAATAACATCCTCCAAATTTAATACGAACAAAGTCCTCTCGGCGGAAGAACGATAACAATGTTTGCTTCTGATTACAACTAACTTAAAATGTTCATGAATGTTTCATGAAAACGGTCGACTTGGCGAGACTCGAGACTTTGTCAGGATAATAATAACAACAATAATAATAAAAATATCAATATCGGGATAAATAAATAAACGAGGCCATGCGAGGGTCTGGATGATATATATTGTTTATTGTTAGCATCGTTACGTATTTTCGCGCGTGATACATACGTGGACTCGCGCGTCGTAAAAGGGGGGAGGAGGGACGTCCGCTCGAGCTTCGGGTCCTTTTTTTAGGCGAACGAGCCGGAAGGCTCGAAAGATCCGGATCAACGCGATTCTCGTCCGACTCTCTGCAGCCGAGGGGAAGAAAGGAAGCGTGCGGATTTTAAGCGAATTAATAACGCGTGGCGGGATGGGTGATATACAAAACGAGCTACAAAAGATATCGTAAAGCGCTAAATAAATAGGGAGAGAGAGAGAGAGAGAGCGACGCGCAGAGTTTCTCTCGGAGAAACGACTCGCGATCACTCGACGAATACGACGATTCATAAATAACGAAGGAACGCGAGCGCCTTCCTGGAATCCTTGTCTCGAATTCGTATCGGCTTCGAGATACCCGCGCGATCTGCTTGCTCAATACGGCGACTGATTCTTCCGCTTTACGGGGAATAACAACGAGGATAACAACGACTTTTAATTGAAATTCTCTTTCACTAAAGTGACAAACGATAACTGATAATCGATCGTTATATCGTGCAAACACGACGCGTGCATTTGAGGAAGGATCCGGCGCACGCGTTCCTTCGGCTTAACTAAACTAAAGAATAATCATAATGATAACAATAATAATATCAATAATAATAATAAATATGTGCGTATACGCAGTACGAGACCGTAGGTATGTTCCAACGGCTTCGATCGCGAACGATCGATCGATCAATCGTCGCGGTTAGGTGTGCGCCTACGTTATGCCTACACGGAAGAAAAATTAGCTCTAAATCAAGAATAGATATTCTCACACGGAGAAAAGAATTTTGCTGGGACAGCAAATTGTTCAATAATATAGTGATATATAGCAAAAAAATTTGTTGGGACAGCAGAAAGATTTGTTAAGGGTATCAATTGCTATCTGCTGGATATATGGACAGCAACATAATTTGGTTATGCCGATTAGATTTTGTTGCTGTCGCAACAACGTTATGCTGCAACAGCAAAATTATTTTTTCCGTGTAACAAATTTTTTTCCTGTCACTATATTAACAAATAATTTGCTGGAAGAGCAAAACTTATTTTCTCCGCACATAAGCAAGAATATTATAATTTTCTTGGAAGACTTTTAGACCTAATTTAAATTGACTGAATTTATATTGACGCAAGTATTACTTGAACTCTCATTTCAAGACTAAAAATCTTCTAAGATTATAATATTCTTGCTTACATATATGAGAGTATCTATTTTTGATTAAGACTAATCTTTTTCCGCGTACTATCCTCTCTTTTCGTTCGCGATCGCGTGGTTACCGACGTAACGTCGCGATACATTTCGCTTCTTTTCGTCGCGTAAACATAAGCGCGAGACAGCGTCTCCATGTGCTAAATAAAATTTCTACGTCGCAAGCGCGCATGCGCGCGTGCGTGATGCGAGTGAGTGAGCGAGCGAGGAGCGGAAAGCCTCTTTCGTAATCTGCCTTCTTCATTCGTCTATCTGCACTCTCGACGGTGTTTCTTCAACATTTGCCGCGGATTAGTCAGTTAGTCAATTAGTTAGGCGATAAAATATCGTAATATAAGATCGTATATGCGGAAAAAAAAATTAATCTTAAATCGAGAATAAATATTCTCATGTGTAAGCGAGAATATCATAATCTTCTTAGAAAATGTTTAGTCTTGATTTGATTGAATTTGTATTGATGTAAATATTACTTGCACTCAATTCGAGATTAAAAATCTTCTAAGAAGATTATATTATAATTCTCGCTTATATATGAGAATATCTATAATTGATTTAAGACTATTTTTTCCCCATGTACGTTTCGCCACCGACGAGATTGTTGCGAAGCGGCAATTTCGACTTGGTGTGGTTTCACCTTCGGATACTCTCCGGAAGCGGAATCTTCCCTTTCTCCGGCCGATTTTTCTGCCGGTCACGCTGCCGATCGCATCGACGCGTATCTGATGTGTTCCCTGAGCGATTAAACATTAGTGTCGACACACGGATATGTTTGCCCGTTTATCCGTGCTTATCTATTTGGAACGACCAAGTATGAAATATTTATCGCGTTTGATGCGTGACGTATCGGCATTTTTCCCGCGGTACGTCACCGCACGTACGACGTATTCGTGTAATTTCACGTTATCGTGCGCATCGCGCCGCCGATTTCATGCAACTGGCGCGCGTTCGTGCGCGTTCCCGTGTACAATTTTTCCCGCAAATTTCGCACGTATTCGCGTTCGTCTCGCAATTTAGTTCGCGCTCTCTCGATAGCCGGAATTTACTGGTGGGGATTTTGCATTAGCCAGGCCACTCGATAATCCGGAGGAAATTCGATTGCGATCTGCGCGTTCTCGGCAATCCTACACAGAATAAAATAGTCATAAATCAATAATAGATAATCTCACGTTTGATGCGTGATATATCGGCATTTTTCCCGCGGTACGTCATCGCACGTACGACGTATTCGTGTAATTTCGCGTTATCGTGCGCATCGCGCCGCCGATTTCATGCAATTGGCGCGCGTAAGCAAGAATATTATAATATTCTTGGAAGGTTTTTAATCTTAAATCAAGCGCAAGTAATATTTGCATTTAATACAAATTCAATCGAATTCAAATCGAAATTAAAAAAATCTTCCAAGGAGATTATAATATTCTCGCTTATATCTGTCATTTGATTCAAAACTAATTTTTTTCCGCGTAAGTGTGAATCTCGTCGGTGATGTCGCTGGTTATCCGTTTCGCCCGATACATTTCGTCCAATATATCTGTTATCGCCGAGAGAGAGAGAGAGCTCGTTGTGTCTCGCGTACCTTCTCCCTCGTCCGAGCCAGTCGGACGGTGTGTCGTTTATCCGGTAGCCGAGGACGGTTTCGACATTTTGGCGCATATATATTTTTTTTCTTTTTTTTTTTCGTATACATAAACACGCACACATACACACGAAGCCGGCCCGTCGTTTCACTCCGTCTCCCGGTCATATCCCGTTAAACATTAACGGAGGAGACTGATGAGGATCGACGTTCGTTCATGGGAGCGCTCGAAAAAGCGATCGCATACTTTCCCGTTGTACTCGGTTCGGTTATCGCGTTGCAAAATTTACGAGATTGTTCCACCGTGTGGCGCGCATTCGATTGTAATACTGGTAGCAATTACTATCCCGAAGGGGTAGCAAGGAGGAGTGATAACTTACACGCTGGAGGATTCACGTTTTTCTCGTTTGATTTTTTTCTTTTTCAACACAAATCACGCATGCATTTTCCCTTCTTTCACTGTAAATCCAAGCATGTTATTTTTATACGCGTAAACGTCTCAAAATGACACATGTTCACTGAAGCTATTTTTACATATTTTTCGTCGATTTAGCTTACGTCATTTGAAACGTTCAATCGTGTCAAATTAACACGTTGAATTACGTATTAAATTAACACATCCAATCGTATTAAATGACGTGATTCAAAACGGTAAGACACGAGAAATGTGTAAGAAGAGCTTCAGCTAAAGAATTTGCAGTGTTTTCTCATTCCTTTTCTCTCTACCACATTCTTCCTTTTTTTCCGTTTGCCCGTGTCTCTCTCTTTCTTCGCGTTTCGTCGATCTCCTTGTCGGAAAATTCGAACCGCGAATAGTTGAGGGTCCCGAGTCCCAGCGGAACTCGTCCTTGCTATCTTCCTCGCTTCAATTTTCAATTCACCGTTACAAGCTGTGTTTTATTATTGTTTTATCTTTACTGTGTTTCTTAAAGCACAATGAGGTCTTCCTCGGCCCGGTCCTCGTCGCGCCGGCCCGCCGTCTCCAACTCCCGCGACCGCCTCGTCTCTAATGCGACTGCCTCTTACGTCCCATATTGCAGATCTTGAAATGGCACAGCGACATATCTGAAAAAATAACGAATCGCGGCTCGTTACTTGCGCGTTCGCTCCGCAGACGCGTAATGATGAACGCGAACACTTTCCGGCGCACCGGTTTTTCGGCAGTAGGCGCCTCGTAAGTGCCCCAGCAGTCGCTACATGGTCACTTTTTGAAGTAAAAATGTATCGTATGCGTCATGTCGTATCACGTGTTTGACACGCCAACGTACAGACTATCCTACGCTCGCTATTTTTATTGTAACGCTGGGCGATTCGCCCCGTTGATTTTCTCTTATCGCGAAAATATTAAAGGGGGCCGCAATAAAAATGATAACAATGCCGATAGCCGCGATAAGTACAAAGGTCGAGAAGTGAAACGTGCAAAAGACGAGCGACTTGGCGAAGTCCAAAAAGACGAAGAGGTTAATTCAATCTGTCCCGTGATCTTTCAGTCCCTTTGTACCGTACTTTGCAATTAAGATCTGAGATACTTTACGAAAACAAAGTTCATCTAAACTTGATTAAAGAGGTTCGAGCGTTTAACTAAATATAAGATAAATCTATAACATATACATGATACAAAAGTTAATTGAACTAACAATGCGTAACAGGAATTTTAATCATCTTTACCGTATCGTTTCCGAGATATTTAATTATAAACTTATGTGCAAGCATAGAAATCTCATGAAACATCAATTTTTTTTTTAATTTGACATATTTGTGATGATAAAATGGGAGTTTAAAAAACTATTAGAACATTAAAGACTAATATATAGATATTATAGGAAAATTTCGGAATTTTATTGACTATTTCGCTTTGAAAATACTTTGATGAAATGTTTATAATTTATAGTAATATTCAAGATACATACATATGTAAGCATATATTTAAACATTTATATACTTCTTTTTGATATCTGTGCATCTCTATTAGATTAACTGATGCATGAATATAGCATATTAATAAGAAAACTAAAAAATAATCATATTTTCGTATTTGTAATATTGTATATATATATTTACCTCAGTTTCATTTCAAATTAACACTTATTATTTCATCAGTGAAACAAATATATAGAAAAGAAATTTTGCTTGACAAGTAGTAAATTTATGAGAGGCCCGCTTGATGCGCCACCGAAAATACGATATTTAACGCTCGAACTTCCTTAAAAGGTATTATCTTACGACTTATTTGCCCGATTCGAAGTTTGACGCGTGAAGAAATTGTCCTTTTGGAACGTTCGCGATAGAACTCCCCGGGAGCATCGGTGCTCGGCGATTTTCGTCACGGCGAGATCGATCGTCACGACTCGACGTTTTCGGCCTCTAATCGTACGAAGAATTGATCGAGAAAGAAGGAGAGTGAGAGAGAGAGAGAGAGAGACGCATGGTGCGTCACGCGACAATTGTTTCAATAAATCGTTTGATCGCCTTCGATCGAACGCGACACGCAGATCAGTACGCGTACACTGTGCACAATCGGCTGTATTAATGCCGCCGAGTGCCCTCGCGATTGCAGAGAGGAAGAGGAGGAGACTTCATGACACCGATTTTTTCCGCTCCTTCGCGAAGTAAAGCAACGGAGGCATTATTAATGTTGCCAATTTAAAACGAGCGCACAAAGAGACGCTGAACGTTCAAGACCCTCTTATTTTTCTTGTAATACGCGAACGAACTTCATTGTAGTCTCAGTACTTTGTTATCTGCTTCCTTTCTATTTTCTGCTTCCTCCCGTATCTTAGTGCGCAGAAGCGAGAAGATACATTCGTTGAACATCGCCGCGAGAAATTCAATCATTGAGAGCGAGAGTACCGGGTAGAGTTGATACGTCCACACGAAATCAGAAGAGTCTCGAGGGAAGGTTTTCAATAAAAAATTATTCGGGAGCTATCTATAAGCCGAAGAAAGCACCGTTCTCTCGGACTCCCTGTTAGAATCTCTCGATATCCGTCATAAAGAATTTGTTCGAACGCGAATCTCCGGATGAATTCATGATCGCAACCCCCGAGAAAAAATACTCAGAGGGTCTGTTTGCCATGTATAAATTGATGAAGAAAGGAAGGATCGAAAAAAGATTTTGGGGATATTCGCGTATACGCGATGATATAAGTAAAGCAATGCTTGAGAAAATGCGAACGATCAATATTGAAATCAGAAAATTAGAAAACTGATCACTCTGGTTAGCTTCTCATTTCTCACTCTAGTTATACAAAGGTATTCTATGGAAAAGAGTCTTAAAAGAAATTTCTTGACTATGTTAACCCAACATTTTCTGTATATTTTTATACACGATTTCTGTACACCTCTGAGAGATCTCCCACTTTTTCTTTGTATCTTTCCACGCGAGCTGAGCATATCTTTCGTGTGGGATCCAACTAATGAATGAATCTTTCCAGAAGAACGATAAGGCGAACGTATCTCCCTTCCTCACGCGATTTTCTTTACCATTCTTCTTCTCGCACGGAAAAAAAAATCATCGACTCAAGATTCATATTTTCATATACAGGGTGTCCGAAACTTTCCGGCTATCGTTTATACGAAGATAGAACTTACATGAAGAAATTCTATATAGTTCCGTTAAAAATATCATATTTTAGTTATTCAAGAATAATTTTGAAATGGGAGGATAAAATATTGGGCAGAAGGAACGATATCTTCAAACCGATACAATTCTTAATTTGAAGTACTCACAAGTGACGCCGCTGTTCGGCTTCCTCTTGCCGGATGACGGCTGCTGCTGACCGCGGTGGACCATCGCCTCGGGCGCTGGCAGCGCTTCCGGCTCGGGTTCCGGTTCTGCTTCTTGTTCCGGTTCCTCCGGAACGGGGTAGTCCGACTGGCCACGCTCCATCGCCTTCGCCTGCAGTATCGCCTCGATCTTGATCTGTTCGTCGGTGATCTCGTGCTCCTGTTCGACCAGCCGATGCTTCTGCTCCGTCATTTGTTTCAGACGGTTCAGCAACATCTACGAGGGCGAGTCGACGGTGAGCCGAAGAGACGGATAAAGAGGTCCTCCTCTCTTTCATGGGTGGGACCAGACAAACTCATACTCACGACGCTTTCCGCATCCCCCGCGACGAGATCCCCGTACGTGAAATCCGACATCAAAGGTGCCGGTTGCGCGGCGGCGAGGAACTTGCAGCTGATGGCGCAGGAGAGCCAGACCAGTGCCAACAGACACAAGCTCGTCCTAGCAGCGTTCGTCCTCTCCGTCATTCCCGTCGTACCTCGTGCACTCTGTGAAGAAAACATACTCCGCTGTAGAACACGTTCAATACGAGGAAGGCGCGCTGGAGCATAATTGAGAAATTCGAAGAAATTCTTTCGCCGCACGTTCCTTTTTCTTTTCGATAAATAAACAGGCCGATCGATTTCCGTGAAGACGAGAGGAAAGGAATGTGAGGAAGTAATGTAATCGAGAAGAAACGCTTCTACTGCGAGTACCGTAACAATAATACGCGATAACGAAGTGATAAAATACAGGGCGGATAGAGATGCATTTATTATCGCTCTGGGGAAATTTCCTTCTGGGAGAGGGTTACGTGCAAAGTATAATTTGCACAAAAGTAGATTACGAATGTGAAGGGGATGTGGGCAAGCAACGGCTCAGCGATCCGTTCATCGAGAGGCGGATGGGCGCAGGGACGAAGGGTCTCTTTCGCGCGAATTATGCGTCCCAAGTTGACTCGCGAGTTACAAGTAGTAGCGAGATTGTGTCCGAGGGAGAAGGAGATAGGAGAAACATTGTCGTCGAGATAATATTATGCATTGTGACCTTTCTCTCGTATGTGATTTCCCGCCGTGGTACGAGATAAGAGCTCGCGCACGCGTCATCCCCGCATTTACTCAGAAAACAGGACCTTCGGGTGCCGCGGATCCGCGTTTGGATCCGACTTTGTTACCCCGTCGAGATCAAGATGAGAGAGAGAGAGAGAGAGACCGAACCGGGACAAACGGGTGAACTGCACGGTCCGAGCGTTCGCCGCGCGTCAAAGGTCATCGCGGATTATCCTTTCGCCCGATGATAGTCGTATCGGCCGCGGCGGTGTCCGTCACGTGATAACCAGCGGAATCGTAACGGGACGACGACGGGCGGACTGAATTAAAAGAGAACAAAATTGTCAGATCGGCGCAGCACCGTCACGTATGTAACATGCACTAATAACAATAACGATAATAAACGTAAAAACGGAGATGTGCGAACTCGGCGCAATCTCGGCGGAGATAAGTGACGCGGCGCAATTGGGGATTTCGATTCCGTGCCAAGTGTAAAACGACGAGTGTTTTGCTATTGCGGCCGTCGGACGGCGCGGGTCAAAATACCGCGGATAGCAACAATAACAACCTATAGCGGCGACAGCGGCAACAGTAATAATACGAAATTAATAAATAATCATATAAATAACTTTAACTGTGATGAAATGTAATAGACAAACCAAAAATAATAACGAACCATAGACCACAAATTAATCGTAGTAAATTATATGCTGTAAATAGCAATATATACGATGATACAAATAATAACAATGAAATACGTGGCGGTATAATGGAACAAGAGAAAGAGCGCGTCTAGATGGAGTCAGCTCGATACATTGACTAGCGACAGGTCAGGTTTAACGATAATTTATAGATTCTAAATCGATTTCGCCACAATTTTCAATGACTACGCCGAAGATGATAACGATGACGATGACGGTGCTAAAACGTATGTCGCAAACAAAACGATTAGAAGCCAATTTGCGGATTTGTTGCGCGTTCGACGCAGAAGCTCGCGGCTTGCGACTTGAAGCATTGCCCGATTAGTACTAGGGATGCCATATACTGTAGGAAAGTAGCGATATGCGGGAGATATCGCGAGCGTAATGTCTAGCTGATATTATGTCATTTGGATACAATTAGAAGTCGGCCGAGGATTTACGTAATATTTAACCCGTCTACAGTAACCCGTAAAGTTCCATCTTTAAGGCGAGAAAATATGTTGACAAGTTAATAACTCAAAGTGTTAATGACTCATTGTGATATTCCGTGAAAATCAACAAGAATTTCACTTGACACTTTTCGACGACAAAAATAGATTATCTCTTCGATTAGGATTCTTTGTATCCTAATTTCTGTCGTTTTCGATGTGTCAAAGGTTTCCGTACGATCGAGAGGAGCAGCTCATTTTCAATCTGTCCTAAATCCACATTGCAAATTATGCGTTAAAAATTTCACGAAGATCACCTTAAACCATATTAAAGAAAAAAGAAAAAAACATTCAATTATATATATACATATGCACGAAGGGAAAATTGCTGATACATATAATCGGTGTTTTTCAAATATACGGATTCAGAATGATACAGAGGAAATAGGCTTTTCGATCTCGCCGATCTCGCGCGATGTGACTTACGCTGGTGGAAGTATGCGTTATCGTGCACCGCGAACGCGCGTATCGGCGACCGTCTGTACCGTCGACACGTGGTGAAAGAGTGAGCGGAGAAGGGCCGCTGCACCCTCTATTATACCCGACGCGGAATCCGCCTCCACCCGCCGCTTCTAACCCGTCGCGCACACCATCCAGACACTCCTCTTTTCATCTACCACCTGTAGGCGCAAGGCTGCACGGGGATGACGAAGAAAGGTGGCCGCGATCCACCATCTCTCACGCGCAGCGTTTTCCGAAAGCGCCAAGTTTTGCACGTCGATACGCTCCATTAATATTTAATAAAAAGCGACTGTGAATTGTAAAAATTGTTGTGAATATTAAATGTTAAATGGTGAATATTTCTTTGTGAAATTTCACAAGCGAGTCGAGGCGTTATCGAGGAATTACAGTTACTTTCGGCGCCAATTATAACTTTTTTACAGTTTTAACCACAAAAGTACCAACAACATGCATGTAGGGTTATTATCACTAACATTTACCAAAAAATTAATTTTTCCGACTATGATTTTTTTATTACGATGATTATAGCTACAAATATCAAATATTTTTCCCCCAGTGCAACTTTCACTCCGTCGATTTGAAATTTCGTACTTATATCTGGTGCGAACTATCTCAAAGAGCGCAAACAATATCTAACTCTGAGTTTAAGACTTCTTGCATGAACGTTCAGCTTCGCTCAGCACTGCGGCATTCTGGGACAGGTGCTTCACCCTTGGACGATTAGTCGTAATGTTATCGTCGTCCATTCGTGCACATCGCGGGAGATCGTGCCGATGAGCGAATGTTTAAAATTAGATTAGCATGTTCGGTCCTATGGTCGCGGGCCAGTGGTGGCGTGAGACGGTGATAAGCAGCCCACGCTTCTTATCAGCGCGCAAGTGGCGGGGAGGGCGATCGGCGGCCGGCGGAGGGGGCGCGGAGTTATCGAGATTCGGTGGAGATTTTTTGCAGCGAAACTGCTCTTTCGCTCTGCGGGATAGTTTGATTCACGAGCGGGCCGCAATTCCAGAATCGCGTCTTGCGCTCTCTCGATTCGCGCGCGATAAACCGATCGCTTATTACGACGCAGCGACGTCCTACGTCGAATCACTCGTAATAAAATAAAAAAACGTTTCGCTCAGCGTATAATTCGAAACGGAGAAATTCTCGAGAATCTCCAAGGTCTCCAAAGATCTCGAATGTTTTGATAGTCCGGGATGCTTCCAAAAAGGTCTCCGAGAGGTCAACCACTGTCGCAATATAATCCGCGCGTATATATCTATGTTTGCTTTACATCCGCACGTGTAGTTCACAATGATCCATTATCAATACGCAGTCGCGCAAGATTCTCGAGATCCTCGAAGAGACCTCCGAGAATTTTCCCGCTTCGGAAGATATTCGAGATGACTCGGATTCTCGAACGGACGACCGGATCGCCTGCACGGAAAGAAAGGAACTCAGTTCCTGCGACAAAATAGAGACTAGGTGAAAATCCAATGATAAGAACTGATATATCTTGGTTACCGCGACTGAAAATATTCGTGTGAACATTCAGTTGCATCAACACTAGAATCGTAGCAATTTGGATCTCTTCTGAAACCACTGATGGATTACTTTTGACTTTTTTTTTAATTATCCATGGATTTTTCCGAACTTTATGATATTGCTTCGTTATTTTATGACAAAGAAGGCTCTCAGTGATAAAAATCTAAAGAAATGGGAAAAAGAATCTATAAATTGGTCGAAAATGACCCAGCCGTGGTTTTAGTGTTAAAACTCAATTGGAACAACTGAGAACAATTGACTGAGTAGAGACTTCCTACAGGAATCTTTTGTTCCTACATCGAATTTTCGTGGTCTGATCCCCAGGCAACGGAAAATTCACTAACGGAATTATTTTTTCTGCGTAGAAAATCTTCGAGTTAGATACTTGAGCGCTCATCAGCGGTGCAAGACGCAACGAGATCGCGCTCGATTACCCCGTCAACCCGAGCGTTTCCACGATATTCCGGGATCACTCTGGTTTAATGAGAGCTCAATGCTGCTTATCAATATGTAGGATTCAGCTAAGCTTTATGAGAACCGCGCGTGCGGTTACGGGTCCACGCTCCCGAAAATCTAAATTTCGCGATAAGGCCACGATAAGAGAGAGTCGCGTTTTTCTTTATCCGCGGCGTAAATCTGCCAGGGATCGCTCCACCGCCCTTTGCGCGTGCATCGATTTAAAATAACTCATCTAATATTCGTCGTACGCACGCGTTCATTCCCATGCCTACGAGTGCGTGTGTTACAACGGCTTACGTAATCGCGGCAGTCAACACAACGCGCTTCACGAGTCGGCTTGCGCGAAGCTGAACGAGCGAGAGGGGGAAAGGAAGAGAGAAAGCTCGATTGTAAGCGAAACTAATGCAAGTTTAATTACCGTATTCGCGAGGGTATTACGAATGCGCGTCGGCGGTTCCTTAGTTCCGCGAATACGCATCGGCGGTTCCTTGGTTCCGCAAATACGCGTCGTCAACGTCGCGAACTCCTAAGGACCGTCTACAATAGCCGCAAAGTATGCGGTAAGACGTAAGCAGTAACTGATTGACCAGTTAGATTCATACATTCCAAATAAATCGACTGTGATTGGTCAATTAGCTTATTGCTTACGTCTTACTGCATACTTTACGGCTACTTGGTCTAGATGGTTCTTAAGAGAGCGGCTAGAAGGGAAGGTGGCAAGTAGAATGCGATATAATATATTGGGTTGATGCATAATTATCCGCCGTTTACTTTTTGCGTATTTATTACTTATGAATATTGGCGTTCATTTACATTTTTAATCAAAATCACTCTTCTATATTTACTTAATAGAAATGCATGTCGAAAATCATATTCATCTGCGCCATATTATGCTCTACCACTTCGAGAAAGGATAGACCGCAGCGCAGTCATTGCGCGATTTCAACGATCTTTTTGGCGAAGGAATCAGTGAGAGGCAGTGTCGGGAGTGGTTTTCTCGTTTCAAATCTGGCGACATAAGCATGGAGGGCAAGTCAGGAAGAGGATAGCCATCGGATTTCGACGATCAGGCACTTCTGGCAGCCGTGTTCCTTCGCCAAAAAGATCGTTGAAATCGCGGAATGACTGTGCTGCGGTCCATCCTTTCTCCAAGTAGTAGAGCGTAATATGGCGCAGGTGAATATGATTTTCGACACGCATTTCTATTAAATAAATATAGAAGAATGGTTTTTATTAAAAAAATAAACAAACGCCAATATTCATAAGTAATAAATACGCCAAAAGTAACCGACGGATAATTATGCATCAACTCAATAGTTTTAAAAGCTTGGAAATAACCGGTTCTTCCCAATTTCCCGCGGATTTCTTCAGTTTCAGTCCCAAGGGTGGAAAGATTCGTTTAGGAAAATTCACATTGTTTTCAGTTAAATTCTGTCACATTTACTTTTCTCTTGAAGAAAATCTTTTATTTTTTTTTAAAGAAAATTTTCAAGAAATTTTCTCTCTTTTAAGGAAAATATACAATGAGCAAAAATCCGGGAAGACAGGAAAAAACCGGATTTTTTCCGAGCTTTTATAATTATACGATATAAAGCACCGTCTACATGAGACACAGAATGCATTCGCGCACGTGATATCCAATGAGCGTACTGCTATTCCGGTAAAGCCGATTCCGCGTCCTGCGTCTTATGTAGACGGGGCTTAATATATAATACATATTATCGTCGCGATTAATTAAAGGTACACATGTATCGATCACGTCGACAGATAAAAGCACAGGATGTCGGACGACGTCGAGGAAGCGGGAGAGGATAAGCCCTTCGTCGTGGAGCGGGCTAAGACCGGGCGCGCCAAGTGCAAAAAGTGCAAATGCACGATAGAAAAGGACGAGTTGCGGATCGGCAAGCTCGTGGTGAGCTTTTTCTCCGACGGCAAGCTGATGCCGGCCTGGCACCACGTGGCCTGTCTGATGGAGGTGTTCGCCAAGCAGAGGGCCACGACCAAGCGGATCGACGATCCCGAAAAGGACGTCAAGGGCTGGGAGCAATTGTCCGACGAGGATAAGCAGCTCATTCTGGACAAGCTGGAGGAGCTGGAGACATCCTGTAATTATCCGTGTACGCACGGGTGCGATGAGTCGCATTTCGATCGATACTTCGCGCGAAACTTCACGATTACTTCCTGTTTATCGGGCCAAGAATCAATCAACTCCCTCGTCTCGGTGGTAATGGCAGTCGTGCTCTTTGTCGCGGACACTACTTCGAGAACAGTTGGGCGATCTACAGTTAAGCAGTAGTTCCAAGGCGAGAGATCGCTCAAAGCTCCCTCCCCCCTCCCCTGAATCTCACCCGACTTCTGTAATAGGTTTTCTCCCTCGCGTGAGCTTTACAACGAGAACTTTCGAGCAGCCTGATTGAGAAGGGATTGCCACGCTCAGAGAAAAGTTCATCGATATCGGCGGGAGATTATAGCGTCATATCGCTCGATGTTTTATTCGTTTTAACCCTTCACCCCGCGTAATTAGAAATCCGCTCACGGCGGATAGAGTTATTTTCAATGTTTGATGCGTGCAGGAAGTGTCTTGTCATCGTGCGACTTTTATAGGACTTTTATAGATTTGAAGTTCCGGAAGAGAATTGTTTCTTCCTAAATTTTTTCGTGAATTTTCATGCAAAAATTCGCTTAGAAAAATTCACGTGCGAGGAAGGTAAGGAACGAAAAAATTCCGAAAAAATGAGAAAAATCAGGTTTTTTTCGAAAATTTTGAAACTATACGGAGAAAACAATCTATAATTTTTATCGTGATAAAAATTACCACAAAATTTTGCAATGTTGGACTATACTCGGAATTAGGACTGAAATTATGATGTGTGTTGTAATCTTTAATGATGTACTTCATTATATACATCACTGAAGATTACACAACTCACATAATAATTTCAGTCATAACTTCGATATGATCCAGCATTATAAAATTTTATCGGAATTTTCGCTACAATATTTTCTCCTTGTGTAAATGCTTCTGATTATTTATATACAGTACAAAATTTCGTGTTAAAAACGGTCCACCGAAATTTTGTTATTTTAACATGAGGAATGTTAAAAAATACACAAATATGTGTTAAAAAGTACATCAATATAACGTTAAATTAACATATTCACCTTGTCAACATATGAACTGTTTTTGACACCAAATTTATTAATGTATTATATATTGTAACTAGAGTCTTTAACGGATAAATTTCTTTCTCCACCCCTCTAGCTCCGGGCAAGGGCGCGAAGAAACGCGCGGCGCCGCGGGAAATCGCGGGCGAGTCCTCGAAGAAAGCAACGGGCAAGAATTCCGATCAGAAGACGAGGAAGACGGCCGAGAAAGCGAAAGAGAAGCCTAAAGAGGAAGCCGATGACAAAGACGGGGGAGGAAGGAGCAAAGTACCGTCGAAGGATGACTTGTTCCGTGAATTTCGACGCGTGTGCAGTAATGTTGCCAACGTCGACGCTTACACCGACAAGACTGCAATTATTAGAAAGATGTTCACGCAGGGCTCGCAGAGTGGTAAGTACCTCATTATACTAATAACGGAATTAACGATGCACAGACAGAGCGTCTCATGCGCACGCACGCACGTACGAGGAACTCTGTCGTTGGTGGCGCTTCTGCATCAAACGGAATCTTGCGGAATTGTAGGCGTAAGTCTACGCTATGCGCAACTTATTACGAATTACACAAATAATTGCGAATCGCGAATATTATTGCGCCACCTGTACGTTGATCAAGTACTCGAATACGTGCTGGATTCGCACGTACACAACGCGGCTTTGCTTCCGCGCGAAGGGATGAAAGTACGACAAGTACATATATATATGGTGAGAACGGAGGAATGTGAGTAATTTTTTTCCTCTACGAGACCTACGTACGGTCGGTTCAATGGAAGATTCCGAGTGGAAGATTACTCTCCGATTTCTGCCCTCTGAATTTTACATTTTCGACTTATTTTCGCGCGAGCGGTATCGCGCTCCCTCCTCGATGCTCCGCGGATCGTGATACGCTGCTCTGCGATGCGATGCCGCCTCGCATGTTTTAGAGTTCAACGGAACGAAAATACGAGCGCATCGAGAAGGGAACGTTCACGCTCGCCGCGCGATCGAACGTCGTGCGCGTTGAGGACGAGGTACGAATTAATCGGGTTCATCTGCATATGTACATTCGATAACGGCCGTGATAACTCCCGACGGGGGTCAACGTCGATGTTAACGATGTTATGCTGACCTTGATAAGCGGAAAGAAAACTTGGGCAATTGCCAAATATCTCTCTTCGCTCTCTTCGTTCCTCCCAACTTTCCTCCTTTTCTGCTCTACGTTCGAGGAGGATCGGGCTTACAAAATCGCGCATGGCGATCGAGCTCTCACCCTCGAGCGATAGAATAATTACGAGGGAAGGTTGTGCCGTGTATTATCAGCTATTGTTACTTCTTCCTTACTCTCGCAGAGACGAGAGAGCGTACATCCGTGTCTAAACAGCGGGAGACTCGGCTCGGTGAGTGCTTTATTAATCAGAATCCTCGTAGCGTCGGCGATTTTCGCGGCGAACGACGACGAGGGTCGGTCGGTTGTTCGGTTGGTGAGCAAGCGCGACGATGTCGCACGATTCGGAGAGAAGTTTATTAACGAGTCCTCGTGCCGGATTCGTGATGAAAGATATTCATCGTGGGAAGAGCTTTTTGATGAAGAATTCGTGAAATTTCACGGGATAGTCTCATGATTGTAGGTACGATTTATTTCACCCTGTAACAACCTGAATAATCAGATCCTACAATCGAGAAAGATTACGCGATTAAAAGATTTTGTGTTAAATTTAAATTTAATTTCATACATTTCACAAAAAAACAAAAAATCGCCCACAAAAATTGTTGTGTTGATTTAACGCAAGGTGCGTATGTTGAAGAGTAACGCAAATATTTATGTCGAAAATTAACACAAAATTGATATGCTAATCGACACTGAAGTGTAAAATGTATTATTTTAATACTTACAAATGTTGAGTATCGACTCGTCGTGCGTCAATGCAAAATATTGAGATAACATAAACGCAATATATTAAGTTAACACACGGATATGTTAAACTTAAAAATTTTAACACAAATATAAATTGTTTTTTTACTGTGTAACGAATGATATCAAGGTGAGAAAAATATATCAAAGTGAATTTTAACATAAATGCAAAATGTTTCCTTACTTTGTAATGAATGATATTAGATAACAAATAACGTAGGAATAATGACGAATAATTACTAAAACTAGTAAAATCCATAAAATCGAAAAATTTTAAGGGAAGATACGAAGTTATTCTTGATTTTCTCTTTATCTTTCTCTTTCAATGCACATTTCTTTTAGTATTCGATTATATTTACGTTTCAAACGACGTCTTTTCGGAGATACTAATCGTGTCAGCCGGTACACTTCGGCGACCTATGACAAGATTATATACGAGTCCGACCGGAAATATGAATTAGCTTATTATTGATAACGATATCGTGTGTATTTTCGGGCAATCGCGAATCTCTTTCGAAATCAGTCCGCATACGATAGCAGTGTTCTGCAATAACGATGTAACACCACGAATCGAATATATCCAGTTCGCTCGTGATTCGTCGACGAATTTTCCGACTATTTTAATGATTATGCAGATTGGTAGTTGCGATTGAAGAACGGCGATGAAAGCGAGTACCTTTCCGAATAGTCGTACGATACGTCATTATACTTGCGCTTATAAACGCTCACCAGCGATGATAGGCTGGTGAACGCAGATAGGCGGATTTAGATAGAAATAATCGGTCAGGGAAAGAAATAAAATGTTAACGTTCCAAGTAATTCAGCACCTCGCGATACGACGAAGATTTGGAAGTATCAATAGGAAAATTTTCAATCTGCTTAATCCGTTCGCAGAAAGTAAGTTGAAAGTAAAATAATAGTAAGTAAAAAAATAAAATAAGTTAATAATATTAGTAAGTTAAAAATAAAACATATTAGTTTTACAGTGACTTCAGTTTTTTTTTCTCTAATATAAATTCAAATCTTCAATAGTAATAATAGATAATAAACTAGAATTGCGACAAATAAAGCGACGTGATCGCAGACATTCACTATTGCCAGGATTCGAGCCTGCGGAACGTGCAGCGTACGAAGAACGCCGAATGAAATAAAAAAAAGTGAACGGAAATGAAGATGCGCCGTCTCGCCGGTCATCAAAACAAATAACAGAATAAAATAAAATAACCGACAAATCGGAGTCAATGAGCAGGTGTCGGAGCGGGAAGACAAGGCAATCTTCAAGGCCAGAGGTCACGCGAGAGAAAAAAGAGAACGGAGAGGGAGGGAGAGAGGCGGAGCGGAGGGAAGAGGCAGGATAATATCGCTGACTCCCGCGAGACAGAGGAATAAACCAGAATGAATCACACGTCGCCTCGTACGTCTTCGTTGTCGTTGCCGTCGCGTGCAACGCAAAGAAGCAAAACGAGGGCGAAGACAAGAAGGAGAGAAAAAGAGAGAGAGAAAGATAGAGAGATAGATGACAATGCAGAGAAGTTGCGCGGGTCCGCGACTATTATATCAACCAGTCCCCCATCAATGGGGATATCGACTGCATTCGCTTCTCGCTCGCGTAAACACCGCGCGCGAAATCTATCTTCTGTGCAACACCCTGCCTCCCCCCTTGGTGGCCGCCGGTCGTTCCCTTTCGCGCTGTTTCATTTCTCATTACATTGCGATCTCTATGGCTATCGCTCTTCCTCGCGAAAACTCGCGTTCTTCTCGCGCAGCCTCTCTCTCTCTCTCTCCTCTCCCCCTCCCATTCTTTTCTCTCTCTCTCTCTCTCTCTGTCTCTCTCTGATGCACGTTTTCCTCGGGGGTGAAGGGGCGAGACCCGGGGGCGGCGGTTAGTAAATATGATACCGGAATCGGATACAAGGAAACCATTAATCACTCGAGCACGCGCGAATGGGATCCGCACCGCGAGAGAGCGAGTGGCCGCTGCTTAGTGGAAGATTTTTACGGGGTTATCTGGTCGAACAGAGAGAGAGAGAGAGAGAGAAAGAGGAAGAGAGGAAGAGAGACGGAGAGCATGCGGTCTCTACGAAGCACCGCGAAGTCCGCGGAAGCTCGTCGTAGATCACGGGGGAAGCGTGACCCTCAGTGCGAATGAACCGGATCCAACGAGAAACGTCGTCGTCAGGAGCGGCGACCACCAGCAGCGCCTTCTAGTGCGATCGGCTAATTTAATGAGATGTTTAATTACGAACTTCGCGCGCTTTAGAAGAGAAATATCGGGAAATCGATCGGCAGCATTTGTCGTACTCCGTCGGAGCTCGCTCTAAGGGTTACTTCTCGCGGAAGTTGTCGGTACTCACTGTCGTCGTCACAAGGATCAAAGACGTTCCTCTCTCTCTCTCTTTCTCTTTTTCTATCGGTCGAGATATCAAGCGTACGAAGGAAGCCGCCGAAAGCGCGTCCCTCGTTCCCTCGAGCCTCGTATCTGGAATTACTTCAGTTGTCGATCGTCCGCGCGAGCTGGTGTTGTTACAGTACGCAGCAGGCAGGTGTCGGCAAAAAAGGAGCGCGTCCGGAAAGATCGGCCCGTTCTTATATACACGTTCGATTCGCCGGCGATTACGGTGATACTTTTGAATAATCGCCGAGAGAATGAGAGAGTGAGAGAACCGTGTGTGTTCACGCGCGCGCGTGCGATACTTTTTCCTTTCCCTCCTTTTCTTCTCTTTCTACTCTTTCTTTCTCTCTCTCTCTCTCTCTCCGTTCGTTTTGATTTTTGCTTTTTCCACACTTCGCGATCACTTGGGTTTTGCAACTATCGATTCTCGGCGGCGAGACCGCGTGTCTTATAAACTCCCGCGTCCCCACCCCTAATCGCTCTTCTGCTCCTCCGGCGAGCGTTCACGGCGAGCCCCCTTCTCATCGTGAACGTTAGCCAGCTTGGCTCCAGACTATCTCCGCCTCTTTTTCTCTCGTTTCGTCTTTATCTCGCCACCTCTGTGCGCCTTCGCCCGCCTCTGCCTCTTTCGCGGGACCGCTTCGGCCGACGTTATCATTCGCCTTTCCCTCCCTCCTTCCCTCCCTCCTGCTCCTCTCCTTCTACTCTTCCGTCGATTCCGCGCGACTCTCGTCGCGGAGCTGAATGATCGCGTTTTTTGCAGCTCGACCAATTACGATAGCGCCCGCGATATTACGATGTCGCGATATCGCCGATATTATGACGCGCTGCTCTACGCTCTAGGGAAGGACGCGTGCGCGCGCATGCGCGCATCGTACCCGCGCGAGATTCGCATCGGCAATTCACGTCGTCTTTGCTCTTTTTATTTCTTCCCGGCTGTTGCTCTCTTCTTTTTTCGCCCCGGCCCGAACGATGACATCGGACGGCGTTTCGGTGATGTATACGTCGCGCGGTCGACTCTCTCTCTCTCTCTCTCTTTCTTTGTCGGTTCGATATTTCGGCTTCGATGATAAAATTCGCCGCCTGACACGATGCCCGGCGGCAAACTAACGTCGCTAATTTCATGGCCGGCGAGCGACGCGCGAATAGTAAACTCGAGAAATTTATGTAAGAAGTTCCCGCGGCTGTCGCATCGATGAGAGCGCAATGGGAGCACGCGGTGCGCCAACGTGACCGTTCGCGCTCCCTCTCGCGACGCGACCGCTCTCGAGAAGCCTTCAATCAACGTTGGGCGTAAGTGGTACTACGATGTTTTTTCGATGACCTCATTCTTAATTCTGGGTTGTCACTGCGGATGATCCAGCACGTGCGGAACGATCCAGCACGGAATCACCGGATCGATCATGTCGGTCGCAATTAATTAGATAATGGAAACGGGAGAAAAAAATGAAGGAGAGAGAGAGAGAGAGAGAGACGCACTTTTAATGCTTTCGTTGGGGAGGAATCTAATTTCCGTCTAGAAAATTATATTTTTTTAATATATATGTATATTGAATATTACTATAAGTTATTCACTTTACGCCGCTGTATTTTTAAAATAAAATAATCAATTCTGAAATTTACGTACAATGTCTGCATATTAGTCTTTAATGCTATAATAGTTTTTTATTAGAATCTGATTTTTGGAAGTTTATCGTAAGCATAAGATTTTATAAACATATAAAATCATAAATTTAGTTTAGAAGATATTAAAAAATATAAATTTAAAATAGCACACTAATTTCTCAAGGAACACGTATAAAAAATGTCAACTTTAGTTACAAATATTTCAGCTCTCAAATGGTCAATCTTTTTCTAATTGCACAAGCAATGAATTAAACAATATTTCAATGTATACGCAATGCACGTTTCATCGAATTCCTATCAAACTCATTTCATCTCGCAATCTCACTTAAAGTGAAATAACTTTTTACCCAAACTCTGAATTATTCTCAAACTTTTTGTGTAATTTTTAAATGCAATATAGATCAATTTTTTTCATTATTTTGATTTGTGGGCAGTAAATTCTTGATTACAAGTCTCGGTGAAATACTACCAGGAACAGAAGAGGAAAATCGTCCGGAGTTAATTTGTCCGCGAGTGGGAGTTATCCTCCCCTTGGTGAACCCGCGCGACGCCGCGACCTGACGCAATCGTCGCGACGTAAAAATCATCGGGAACCAAAGAGAGAGTGACAGAAAGAGAGGGGCGGCCGAGTATCACGTGGAAACGATACTGAAAACGATACGCGATATTCGTGTGTTCCGAGCCGATGATTGCCATGATGACGATGGTGTCGGGTCGCGGGACCACGCGGCGCCCGCGCGCTCGTAATCGCCGCTTTTTGCGACGCGCCTCGGCTCCGGCGATATTTTTTTCACGAGGGATCAAAGGAGTCTGCTGGGCGAAGGGGGTGAGCGTGATGGCGCGCGACTCTAAGAAACGGGACTGTCGACTCGGATTCCGTGTGTGTTCACGGCTCCTCTATTCTTGGCCATCATTATTTACGAATCACGCGCGGTCGTGGATCATCTCGTCCCGTTTCGATCGGCTACAAGAGAGAGAGAGAGAGAGAGAGATGCGTTTGTCGTGCGACGGCCGTTCGAATCAACATCGATTGCCGGCGGTAATGGATCTCGGATCGTGAGCACGTGTGCAGCTTAAAAGCCGCATACTTTGTGCTCAAATCTCGCCCCGATGTCCGCTCTATTTTCGCCGATGATGATGAGGATCTCGAGCGCGCGCGTGTCGAACGCAATTTGCGGCGCGAAATTCTTGGCGCGCCGCGAGATTCCTTCGCGCCTTTTCCCGAAGATCGAGAACTGAGATTAATTATTGCACGGACGCGTGCGTCAAATGCACCGATCAATCGTTCAGTTATTAGCGATCACACATCCGGGACGACGTAATTACCAGCGCAGACAGAATGGATGCAGTTGCCGTTGGCCAAAGGAAATCTGTCGGAATTCAATTCAACGTGTTTACGCGGTTATATAATTTTTATCGTTTTTTTTTGTTTCTCTTGCCGGCGCGATTAAAGCATTCTCAAGAGGGGGAGAGGAGAGAGAGAGAGAGAGAGAGAGAGAGAGAGAGAGAGAGAGNGTTTATTCGATGTTCAATAAATATAAGCGCGCGTTTGCGTGGGATTTGCGTCTATCTGCACGTGGAATTTAGAGAGATTGAGCGTATATATGCGTCGTACGTTAAATTGTCGAATACGTAGGCGCGGTGGTGAAACATTGTTCGTGTAAATCCAATCATGAAACGTCAGTCTCGAGTCGGCCGATGAAAGGTCTCTTCGTACCTGCCGATTTTCTCGCGAGCACGGAAAAAAAGATTTCCTTGGATTTAATAATACTTTCTTAATTGAAAAAAACTTGCCTTTCGGAATAGAACGAATAAATCAATATTTGATTCAGCAAACAGTACAGGTTTTATAAACAATAAATATCCTTATGTTAAATACACTACATATTTTTTTGTGTTTTCACCCAAACATCACAATGGTTAGCATGAGCAATAAATTATTTGAAAGAAGTAATATTATGTTAGAAAAATATTGAAAAACTTTTTCGTTTTAGCGAAACGATATTTAATATATGATGAAAAAAATTTTCCTTTGTTGAGAATAAATATTATTTCCACCAAATAATTCTGTTTTCTTCCATCAAACAAGGTGTTTTATTCTGGTGAAGCAACAATCATTTAAAGAAAATAATATTTGATATTAAATTACGTTGTCTATATAAAATCAAGTCAAACAAACACGTATACTAAATCCAAAGAAACCTTTTTCTCTGCGCGTACATCTTATTTTGACTTCTTGATCGCCAGCATACATTTCGATTTCATCGATGGAATGGAATCGTTTGAACAAACAAATAAATAAACATGTCGAACTCGACAAATATAATTTAACTTTAATGCGGTGCGATAAATTTGTTCTCCCCCATTTTTTTTTCGAGCCACTTTGAAGCGCGTAGAACGATCATTTTTTTCTTTACTTCGTTTCTTCCCCAGACGGTTTTAAGGGCGACATCGTGCTCTGGTGCAAACTATTGCTACCTGGCGCCGTGAAGAGAATTTACAATCTGCAGAGCAAGCAGTTGATAAAGCTGTTTGCGCGATTGTTGCTGCAGGACGAGGATTCGATGTTGGAGCATCTGGAGCAGGGCGACATAGCTGAGACGATCAGCGTGTTCTTCGAGAACAGCGTCGCCGTGTCGCCTTGCGCCAAAAGCGTGTTGACGATCCAAGACGTAAGTCACTATGGAATTCGATTAAATTAATCATAAATGCCATCGAAAACTACCAATGAAAAAATAAAATCAACAACGAGAAATAGTCCATTATATTACACAAATATATATACATAATATTAATTAGCCGAATTATTATTATTATTGTTATTATTACTATTAAATAAACGGAAGAATAGAAACTCCCTCTGGATAGAAAATACAGATAAAATAATGAATATAATTGTTAGGTCGTAAGATGAAAGAATATAAAATAGGAAAAAAGGAAAAAAAGTGTCGTCTAATGAAAAAGGGATACTAGAAACCCGAACTGCGAATCTGACAAAGCATACGCGTTTGCTTGTTTGAAAAATAACAAAAAAAAAATAGACCGTTGAAAAATCTTCTTCCTCTCTCGTTAATGAAAACCGTCGCTTTACGAGCAGGTTGATCTTTTTCTGGAGGAACTATCATACTTAACCAAAGAAGAGGAACAGATCCAACACTTCCGATCTGTCATCGATAAGTAAGTCGGCTGCGATTAATTAGTCGCGACTTATCCCGTTCTCCGCATTTTCGATGTTCCGATTTATTATCATTATTTTAGATGTACCGCCAACGATCTCAAGATGATCGTGCGTCTGATCAAGCACGATCTGAGGATCAATGCCGGTCCGAAACACATGTGAGTGTTTGGCACCTGTATTCTTGATTCTTGTTTTACCTTTACCGACCGGATCAGCGGTAATAATAATATGACGCTCGTATGTGTGTATATTACATTTAGTCTCGAGGGGGTCCATGAGGACGCGTACAAGGCTTTTCAAATGTCACGTGATTTGGAAACGGTGATACGACGTTTCTTGCCCGATTTAATGGAAAAGCCGACTGCCTCGGGCTCACCCGCTTCGAGTTGCAACAAAGTAGCCATTTCGCTGATGACGCCCATCTTACCGATGCTGGTATATCGTTAATGCTTTAATTCACAATACATCTATTACTATAATAATGATTGTGTATTTCGAACACGAAGAAAATTTACATTATATTTAAAAGTAGGAGAGAAAGGACCAGAGAAAAGTTGAGATAAGAGACAGATAACGATAGATAATTTTTCGCTGAGAGATAAGCTCGAATTACTTGATATTAGAAGTACCGAACGATTATTTCTGAGTGTTTTTATTTTTCAAATTAATATCCGATTTTTTGCGTAAAAGAACTAAATTCCAAAATTTTATAACTTTTCATCAATTATTGAATAAAAGAAATGATTAATGAAAAGTCATAAAATTTCAGAATCGTATCTTTTATATAAGGAATTGGATATTAATTATAAAAAATAGAAACGGTCATAAATAACCACTCGGTATTTCTATTGTTAATCACATCATAATCATATACTGTCGTTATCGGCTGATTAATGCGATCAGGCGGAAGCGTGCACGTCCGTGGAGATGGCGATGCACAAGTGCCCGAACGGAATGTTGTCGGAGATCAAGTACGACGGCGAGCGGGTGCAGGTGCACAAAAGAGGCAACGAGTTTCGTTACTTCAGCAGGTCTCTCAAGCCGGTTATGCCGCATAAGGTAGAAGATGATCAAGAGACGAATTCGACGTTGAACTCGGGCTTTCGGAAACCATTTCCGTGCACGGCGCTACGATAATTAATTTTTCAGGTTAATCTCTTCAAGGATTACATAGGGCGAGCATTTCCTGACGGGGACGATCTAATTCTTGATTCTGAAGTCCTCATGATTGATAGTGAGACCGGACAGCCGTTGCCTTTCGGCACTTTAGGAATTCATAAGGTAAAAGAGTGGCAGGCAAGTCATGCGACGACGACGATGATGATGATTGAATATTTCATCGAACTCGTTTGCAGAAAGCCGAGTTCAAAAACGCCAACGTCTGCCTCTTTGTGTTCGATTGCTTGTACTACAACGGCGAGATACTGATAAATAAGTAAATATCGCAAATTTTTACCATTTTTTCACGATAATTAATATATAATTAATATATCATTCAGATTGAAATCTATATATAACATTTAAATATAATTTTTTAAACATCCACAAGTTAACGATTGATTTTTTCTATTTCGTCCTCTCTTAGATCCATGTCGCAGCGCAGAAGGATCCTGAGGGACAGGATGACCGAAATACCGAACAGGATAATGCTATCGGAAGTGTATGAAGTGCATGTAAAGAAAATTAATATTTCATAATTTACATTCACGCAGTGCGAGTGCTGTGTCGCGGATTACGATTCGTCTTGCATTTCAGGATTCGCGCGATCTAGCGAAGATGATCGTCAAAGTGTTGAAACACGGCCTTGAAGGATTGGTCCTGAAAGACATCAATGTACGTATCGATCGTCGAATACGCTCGAATATAATTTCGTATTCAACGGTGATTTAATGTTCGGCGATGATAAATAATCGCCGAGGATTGCATGTATAATCATTCGTTTTGTTATTCACAATCGCGTCGGAGACTGTCGGCAATTTTTGGCATTCATGAATTTATTCAAACTTTGAATCGCATTTTCTCTCTGTTTTCGTGCATCTTTGTGTCATCGTCTCGTTCTCCTGAACGCTGAATCGATGTAAATCTCAAGAACCGCGTCTCCACAGAGCAAATACGAACCTGGAAAGCGACATTGGCTGAAGGTAAAAAAGGACTATCTGTGCGGGGGCGCGATGGCCGATAGCGCAGATCTCGTTGTGCTTGGAGCATGGTACGGCACAGGCAACAAAGGTTCGTACCATCTGCGACGTTTTATCAGTTTGACATAAAAGGTTTATCGTGTGTCTGGTCAAATAAACTCGTCGAAAGCGAAAAATCTCGCGATAGTTCTTATCATTTGAGATAAGTCGTCGTCGCTTTCGACGACGTATCTTCTCCATTTAAGAAGTACTTAGTTTCTTTTTCTGAAGAGAAATTTACGTAACTTTATTCCATCTTATTTTTGCGTGGTTAAAGCTTGGAGCGATATTTGAGCGGAAATGAAACAATTTCTTTTTTCAAGTTTAATCTCAATAAAACAACGAAGATATCTAAAAAACAATAAAATTGTGCAAAATGTGTCGATATTAATATAAATGAACTAAAATTCCCGCTTTTCTTGTTTATTTATGTTAATATTGACATATTTTGTATAATTTATTGTTTTTTGTATATCTCTGTTTTTTTTTTACTGAGATGAAACCTAAAGAGAAATTTTCTTAATTTTAGTTCGAAGATCGCTCCAAACTTTAACCATATTTATTTTCAATTTTTTTCTCCGACCATGCGAGATTTCTCTGCGTCATTGTTGGATATTTTATTACGTGATTATCTTTCTTCTGCTTTTAACTCATAGTATCGTTTTGCGCGTCAATCTCGCGATTTCCGGGATCTGCCCGTTATTTTTGGTTCGAATCTTGATCTTCGCAGGCGGCATGCTGTCGATCTTCCTAATGGGCTGTTACGACGAAGAGCGCGATAAGTGGTTGACCGTTACGAAAGTAAATATAACAATCACGCTAAGTTGACTATTCGCGAGTCAGTGATATTATATCACGCTCTCGCTATTATATCTCGCTCTAGGTTCACACGGGACATAGCGACGCCGCGTTGGCCGAGCTCCAGAACGAGCTCGACATGGTGAAAATAGGCAAGGATACGGAAAAACTGCCGAGCTGGCTGCTGGCAAATAAACCCATGGTGCCGGATTTCGTGGCGAGGGATCCCAAGGTAACCAACCCACTAATTAACCGAATTAACCCATTAACGTCCCACGTTCTCTGCTCTTGGGACGAAAATCTCATTACGGGTAGAACCGTTTTAATAATAAGTGGTCCCGCTTCGAGATTCTCTCGGTGCCTGATTTCCACACATCGAGACGTGACTATCTAGCTATCTCAGTGTTGATACAAACTATTTGGGAGACAACGGACGATTAAGATTTTCGCATTATGTCTGTTGAGTTTCTAATGATGTATAATCAAATACAAAAAAGAAAATAAACAGGCAATTTAAATAGTTGGTTGTTGATGTTGGAGCGGTGTGTTTATGCACATCCATATCTTAAATATTTTACAAGTCAACAGTTATGTCCACGTCAATATATATAACCTGTATTTCGACTACACTTTGGGTAATTCTCAGCAAATTACAAATTAAATATGTAATGTCCGTAAAAATAAGACAGAAAAAGTGGAGAAACAATGTGGCATAAAGTCCAATCAAGCGCAGAACTTACTAATGCACAGCTAGTGAACAATGTGCGGTATACTGAGAGGACACAAAAGCGTGGAAAACATAAACAAGGCTCTAAAACCTGTCAATACAGACACTAGCGGGACAAAAATATACCATAGAAGACATTTTTTAAAAAAATAGATAACATCCCTGATGAAAATATTTTTTATTGAAAATATATTAAAAATTTGCTGACATGTATTTGAAAAATCTTTCTGTGACCTCATTTCATTATAATTTCATTAATATTTTAATAAAAACTTATTTTAATCGATATTTCAGCAATTTTTCTTTAAAAAGCTGTTTTCAGTTATAATCAAATTTTATTATATCTAATGTTTCCAAATTTTATTATTACTTTTCTACAGTATATTTTAATTTTTTAAATATTTTATGATATTGCATTTTATGAGGAAAATTATGATTCTTTTTTATATATATTCAGTAATTTTTCAATAACTTTTATTTCACTTTTCATCGATTTCATAGTACCTTCAATAAAGTATTTCCATCGGGGATATCATGTTTAAGTTTACTAAAAATGCTGCCAGTCGGAAACCTCGATCCCCGATATAAATATTCAAAGCGACAGACAAACATTATTTTAATACGCGTTATTTTAATGTGCAAAACTTTTAATTTGTAATTCGCTGAGAATGACCTAAAATGTGGTCGAGACGTGCGTTATATATGTTGACACTGATATAACCATCGACTTGTGAAATATTGAAAATTTAAATGTATGTAAATTAACTACTCCAACATCAACATCTGACTCTGAATTGTTTATTTATTCCCTTTTTGTATTTTTTGCACCATGTTAACAATCTTCAGAGTTAAATCTCTACACTCTGTTTACCTCTCTTTCTTTTTCTCTTTCTCTTTTCTTCTTGCACGGAAAAAAATGTTGAATCAATAGGCTTTCCAACAGCACGAGATAATTGAAGAAAATCTTATTGATTCAATAGCGATTGAAATTAATATTTAAATGATTGAAACAACATATAACATGAGAGTTTTAACAATATTTGCAATTAATCAAGAAGGTGTGTTCCAATTACGTTACTGTTGGAAATTTTACTGATTCAACGGCGTTTTTTTCGTGTGTACATATCTTTTTCATCGACGCTATTTTGCATTTGTTCTCGTACGCGCGCACAGTATTCCCTCCTATCTCTCTATTTTCCTCTAACTCGCGTTTATTCGCGCCGACTGGACTATTACCCGCGAATATATGCGGCTACCAATATACGGCGCGCGCCGTTAACTGATACTCGTGCGAAGTAGAAACAGCCGGTGTGGGAAGTAACGGGCGCCGAGTTCACGAACCAAGGGGTGCATACCGCCGACGGCATCAGCATTCGATTTCCGCGAGTGACGCGAGTCCGTAGCGACAAGAACTGGTCGACGGCCACGACGTTGAACGAGCTGCGCGAGCTCTTTCGAAAGAAGCCCGAATCGGTGGACTTTAGCCTCCTGCTGGGAGCGTCGGAGGACGTCACGGATGTCAAAGATATTCTCATTAAGAAACCCCTCGACTCGCTGGAGACGAGCCCGGAGAAGACGACGACGAGTTGGTTCGATGACGAGCCGTCCACGAGTTTCGCGGCACGCAAGTGCAAAATCAAGGAGGAGCCGCCGGACGTCCCCGAGGAATACAAGGGACAAAAGAAGGATAACCACGACGACAGCTTCGACAGCATCTCGGACGAACGCTCGGAGCGGAAAAGATTAAAACTGGAGCGCGGCATTAAAAAGGAAACACAGGATCCTTTGGTAGTTAAGAAGAAGAAGAAGAAGAAAGATAAGAAGGATAAAGAGGTGGAGGAGGAATCGGATTTGGCAGTGAGGAAGGCGGAGAAACCGGAGGATCGTTACGTTAATCAGCCCGCTGGAGGAACGGACGTGGAAGAATCGTTTGCGGGAGAGACGAGTGTTTTGAATTCGGCTGCCGAGGATGGCGTAAGTGATGACGTATATCGTTATAGGGTGTCTCGGCCCGGCGCCGGACACAGCTTCTATCGCGAGATTTCTTTCAGAGATCCCACGTCGTCGTCCTGAAGAACGTTCGGGCGAGTCTCGCACCCGGCTTCGTCGGCAGCGGCGGGACGAATGCGCGGAAGCTGCTCAGAACGTATCCTCTTTTTCTCGTCGTTATTTTACACGATGATAATTCACGCCCGGCTGTACTCGAATTACGCACGCAAATCGTATTATCCTTCCGCGCGCTCTCTCGCCGTTCTATACGCTCGACATTTTATAAAAGCTCAATGATTTTACGAAGGTTGCGCGTTCGCGCGGTAACTTCGTAAATTTTTATCGTCCCTGCCCTCTTCTCTCTCTCTCTCTCTCTCTCGCTCTCTCGATCCTCCGATCGATTTTCGAACTTCCGGAGCAACACCGCGGCATCCGACGGTTACGCTAATAGAACGGTTGCGTAGCCGTGAAGCGACGCGCGTTGTAATCTCTGAATATTCGCAGCGGGAACGTCGTTTACGGCGCCATGCCGTTTCAACGCTCGCGAAATGTAATTAACGATCGAGCGAGATACGAAACACGCGACGCTGCTGCACAATACAGAAATCAGATCTCGTTCTTGCGGTCTGGCTTTACAACGGTCAGACGCGGAGCGCTCGGCTCGCGGGGAATCTTCGTCCCGAGGGGGATTGTTCACTGCGTTAAAGGGTAACCGACTAAAACATCCCTTTACTGTAACCATGTTTCCGCGAGGCGAGGATGTTCATTTTTCTCGTTCTTACGAGAAGCATTTTGTCCTGTCCCTTCGCCCTTCCCCAACTCCCACCGGCCTCGACCGACCCTCCAGGCGGATTTAAAGCCGAGCACGCGTAATGTTTAAACTGACACTTTCCTTGACAAGACGACACTAGGCTCGGCGCTACGATAGTGACGCGCAAGAAGAGATTCGACTCGACCCACGTCATTCACGCCTGCACGGAAATTCCGTCGACGTACCTCGAGGTGAGTTTCTGAGTCATTCGATGATAAAACGCACGTATGTCCGACTGAGAGTCTCGGGAAAAAAGGGATCTTTCTCTGAAAAAAATAGAATGTAAAATGTAATATCTCATCCCTCTCTCCCTTATGTACATCTCTTTGATCTCTCTTCCGTGAAGTATTGAATTTTATATATTTCTCTTTTTTTCGAGTTCAAACATTACTATTATTTTAATTTATACTCTCTGTGCGACTTTCATTTTTTATATCAATTTATGACAGTTTATGTGCGTTCATATTAACCTATACGCTGAAGAAAAAATTACTATGTTCAAGTAAATATTTGCTGAGAAATATTGGAGTAATTTATTTTACTTGGATTAAATAAATATTACTTGTAGTACATTGAAAGGAAAAAAAGTGTTATATTCAAGTATAATATTTATTTAATACAAATAAAATAAACTACTCCAATACTCCTTAGCAAATATTTACTTGAACGTAGCAATTTTCGTTTTCAGTGCAGCAATTTGTAGAAAAAGAAGTGAATTTTAAAGAAGAACTCTTTCGAACACAGATTTATCGGAACCATTCACCGAGATCAGATTTTTTATTCAATTTCAAGCCGTAATGTTCTTTTTGTTTGCTTGCGTAGCCGCACTTTCGCAAGTGACTACCGGGCCTCGTTGCCGTCCGGTCGCCTAAATATTTGCAAAAAGTCCTGCGAAAACTCGGGCGAGCGACGTTTAATACGCGTTCTCGTGGTAGAAAGGGGACAAGAAGGGGAAGGGGAGGCAAGGGTAGGGCTATAACTGGATTAACCGTGGTTAATACCACGGCCATTACTGTCGCCGCCTCGGCGTTCAGCACTTTCCGTATCCTGGAAGTTGCCGGGCTCGATTAATCGTCAATGTCAATTACCGATCGTCGTTTGCACATCGTAATTTTCTCTCTCTCTCTCTCTCTCTCTCTCTCCCTCTCTCTCTCTGTCTCTCTCTCTCTCTCTCTTTCTCTCTCTCTCTCTACGGATATGGAAAATATATGGCGTATGGGGTTTGCTTACGTAAGCAACGTTGCGATTTTGCGAGTCCCCGCCCGTTTTCGCCGAACTCGAGCGTGTCGGGAACTCGGCTTGGTTTTCCGGTTGTAATATTCATCGTCGACGTGTGCTTTGGTAATAACTCAATTAGTTTGTTCCTTTCTTTGCTTAATAATAGAGAAAAATATATCTTGTGTGCGAAGAGTAAAAGTAAAATAACAAAGTCAGGTGCGTTTGTGTAGAAATTTTTAAATATGTATATATATATATATACGAGGGCGGTCCGATAAGTACTTAGCCTACAAAAGAAAAACGAAAATTTTGGAAAAGTGGCGATTTATTTCTCAATATAGTCTCCTTTTAGCTCGATACACTTGACCCAGCGATGCTCCAACTTCTTTAACCCATCTGAAAAATACGTTTTCTCGAAGTCTGCAAAGTAGGCCTCCGTGGCGGCGATGACCTCCTCATTCGGCCAAATTGGTCGAATTGGACTACGAACTGCTGCCCCATCCACCGTATTCTCCAGATTTGGCCCCGTGCGACTTTTTTTTGTTTCCAAACTTGAAAAAGTCACTCGCCGGGCAGAAATTTGAATCGAATGAGGAGGTCATCGCCGCCACGGAGGCCTTTGCAGACTTCGAGAAAACGTATTTTTCAGATGGGTTAAAGAAGTTGGAGCATCGCTGGGTCAAGTGTATCGAGCTAAAAGGAGACTATGTTGAGAAATAAATCGCCACTTTTCCAAAATTTTCGTTTTTCTTTTGTAGGCTAAGTACTTATCGGACTGCCCTCGTATATATATATAGATATTTATATTGAATAAGTTTCTTAATAATTAGTAATTACCTGGATGCGAAGTAGAATTAAATGAAATAGGTCAATCCATGGCTCGACCTTTGCCTCGTTAAGGTAAGGGATGACATTTTCTTGAAAGTGGGACGGGAGAGGTGTGGGCGCTTCGCATAGTTTTGTCACGGCACGATACATGTTGCGCGCGAGTATGTACAGATAAAAGCGCGAGAGAGCCGTGCCGAGGGGAGAGAGCACGCGAGCGAAGAAGTTTTCCAATTATCCTCACGCATTTCTCTCGGAAAATATGTCGAAATGCTACACATCGACGACACGAGAAACCAATGGTTTCTTTTTCCCGTGTGTGGCTCTCGCCATGGGGATGGGAAAGGAAACCGAGTCTCCTCTCGAACGCGTTCGATGAGTTCGTTAATGCTCGCTGAAACGATGGCACGGTTGTAAGACCTCTCGTTCTCTCTCATTCATAAGGACTTCACGGACTTCCCGAAGACTGTCAAGCACGTGAGCGTGTCCTGGTTGGAGGAGGCGATCGCGCGCTCGGCCAAGCAGGACGAGATCTCGCACGCGGTGGAGCTGGCGGGCGATTATTGCGAGTGTCCCTGCACACATCGATAACCAAGTCAGTAGGAATAAATTATACATAGCAATCAGGTAGCGCGACGCACGACATTTACTTTGTACGATTTCTCTCTAATTGAGATTAAATAAAAGTGTCCCGCCGGATACTCCTTTTCCTCGTAACACACCGTGTTGTCCCTCGTATCCACTTCCGTGCACGCATAATGGCGTCGAGACTTGTCAGACCTTACCTTAGTAGTTACAGGACGAGCGCAATTTTTCAGCGCTATCTGAGCGAAGTGGAAGCGAAACTTTTGGCTCGTTGTCCCTGTGATGCTTCCGGTTTGACATTCACGCTGGCTGCGAATAATCATGCAGTTTGGCTTCTCGTTCGATTATGATTTTGCATCAACGAGCCCGCATCATCGTTTCTGCGGTTGAACCGAACGGCAACGCGCGTTTCCGCCGTTTTCCGTCCCGGTGATTTCGAAATGCCGGTGCGCGAAACGTATGTGCAAATTATCGAGATTATTTCCGCGAAGGCAGAGGCGGTTCCCGACCGGTTCTCTTGTAATAAGAGCTTTAAGACAAGGCTCTTACAAACAGCTAAGGACGGAGTTGGACGTAACGACGCTGTCTGATTAAGCGAATTAAGCGAGTTCAATTCCGTAAGTGCCGCCGCGATAATCGTACACGCGCGTTCAACGTGCGAGGGTAACGTTAATTTAAAATGAATCCAACGTGGCAAATGAGAATTTTTCTCGTGCATATCTTATGATTGATGTATTTTTGATGATCGGAGTCGATTGACGAGGGGACAGGGAGGAAAAATATTTCGTAATCGGGGCAATTACGGTCTTTTAATAATTAACAGACACGGCACGCTGACATACATAGGCGAGACATCGACAACGAACGATTACATTAATTGAACATATCGACGTTACAAACAATGAGTCAAGGTACAGGACAGGTGAGTAGTACAACGTGGTGGCAGAAGAGAGAGAAATATAATCGGAATATAATCAGACTTGGCACGTGTGTCCTCTGATATGTAGGCGCGTTTGACAGGTTCATTTAGTGTGTTGTATTATTTATTATTCGCCGCGTTCCTACGCGCCGTCTTACTCCCAATTACCCAATCGTCATTCGCAATCATTCTTTACAATGAGATTACATCGTGAGATTATATCAGTGAGGAGAAATCGCCGCGGAGAACTCGAGGACATGGACGAAAGTGAAATCATTTTCGCAGCTACTTGGAAAATCGCATGAAAAAGCTGCCTAAAGTCGGACAGAATCGCGATAGGACGAAGAAGGTTTTTGTTTCTTTCTCATCTTACATGATCTTCTTTCTAGCATCACACTCACTCTCTCTCTCTCTCTCTCACACTCTTTCGTTTTCTCTTTCTCTTTCCCTCGTCGAGCGAGCGCCTATTTGCCGAAACAGGACACCGCATTGAAGGCGCACTGCTTCCAGTAGCTGCGTTTACGCTGCAAATCGCCGATGTCCAGCTGATTGCGCAGCCGCTTCACGATCTGCTTGGTGAAGAGGTAATTTATCAGGGCTGTCTCGATGTTACCGTCGTCGTCCATCAGCTGGAACAATTACGGACGTGCTACTTTTAGGAGGCTGACATGTTCCCGCCGAGAGAGAGAGAGAGAGAGAGAGAGAGAAGCAGATAGGTGTACATGTACGAGTAAAAGTTTCTTTTGTTTAATAATACCTTTCCTCCTCCGTGTAACCTTAACGTGAATTACGACACGCGTCTCTTAACTTTCGAATATGCGTTGATGAGAGTTGCTGAAGTTGAATGATTGAAAGCGCAGCCGCGTTCCGGTCTACTTGGCTGCGTCGATTGGAACGTCGTCGCCGAAACGAACGGTCGTTCGTCCGAAAGAATACCATATGATCATCCATTAATTTTCGATCAACGGAGACAGAAATACCCGGGGCGATATTACAACGAGCGCGGACGCCTGCGTCGTTTAGCACGGCGTGTTAATGGGGCGCAAACGCGGGCGAGAACTGTTTATTGTGCACGACACACGTCGCGCGTTACACGTCCGACGATTGACATTTATTTCACTTTTCCGTCGACGATAAACGGCGAAATGATGTAGCCGGTAATTGCATTCGGTCGCGTCCGCCTTGCATCGTAATTCGCGCGTAAGGTAGGTGCTGGGTGTCGATTAAGCGAAATTGCGAATTAATGCGATAAGCACACGGTCGAGCGAGCGGTCTGTATCAAAAGAAAAATACGCAGGAATATCCTCGGCCGATCCTTCCGAGCAAAATATCACAAATGAGCCGGCGTCCCCCAATTCCGGGCGGTTGGCGAGCGACCGGCGAATTGCAAAGTGCCATTGGAATCAGCTGGTACTCGCGATTTCGCGCAACTCGCAAGGGAGAATTTCCCGATCTGAGGATCCCACATACCGTAACTCGGGGAAACAGGCTCGAATAGTCGAGCGGCGCGCAGTGCCTGCGAAAACCCGAGTCGAAATTTTAGCCCTGTCGGTTAAACTTTTTATTCTACAACACAGTGGAAGTTAAAATGGCAAAATAGTTCAATTCATATGTGGTATTTTATTTACCGAATCCGGTGAATTAAATACACGTAGACTGCGAAGAAACCCGATTACCGTCGAATTTTCAGTATCATTTCAGATACACCTAACTTCAATTGCGCTTAAAATACCGTTAGGTACACAGTATTATATTCGATAAATTGGTTATCGGAACTCGGTATAAAGTCTCATTCTCTGAGTAATTGAGAGGCTCGGTAATATCCTTACTGTACTTTCTAAAAGGCTTAGTAATTCAAGCAACAAAACATTTCTCTCGAGTAACAACAAAAAAAGAGGGCTCAATTCGTCAGTACAAACGTTCGAGAAAATTCGAATATTGTAATCAATGTCTAAATATTGATGTAAAATAATATGTTAATCCGAAAATAATCTTTATATCGATATATTCCATCAGGATACGTTTTTCTAACCTCGGTAATGGGATCTTTTACCTAGTCACCTTAGAAGCAGAGAATCCGTTTCCATCTCGGCTTGCAGGGTCGAAAGGCTTCCACGCGAAAATGCGAGCGAGTCAATCGTCCCTCGGAGCACCCCGTATCTCGCCGTTGATGCCTCCTCATTCGTATCAAAGTGCTAAAGACCGAGGCACGTTCGAGGGAGCTCAACGAGAGGGACTCGTTGAGGAACGACGTGCAGGAAAGGCCGGCAAAAATCCGATTGCCGTTGACGGATTATCGGTTGAGCGGGGAAATTTATCGGTGCCCTTTCCGCATGCTACTTCCGCCGTTCGATCTTTCTCACGACCTTTATCCGAGATTTTGATTTACTCTTACGGTGCGACGGCGTGCCGTTGCGGCGATCGGGCTCGCGCTTCGAATAAAACGGAACTCAAAGCCGAATTATATACGGCGGTGCCGAACGTGTTATTTCTCGTAAACGTTTTCTCTCCCCCCCCCCCCCCCCCNCCCACTGTCGTGCCTGATAGATGGACGGGCTGGCTTTCCTCCTCTCTTCTCTTCTCTATCTAGCTATTTATCTCTCCCCGTCTTTCTCCCCCTTCTTACCGCCTCGTGGCCTCTTCGCCTCGATTTGACGCTTAGACAGGGGGCTCCGTATCTCCGTTTCCTTCGTCCGTCTCATTTGCAATTCAGGGACGTGCAGTTACGCAATGCACGCGAACAGCCGCGAGCGCGATGCAATTTCTTCGAACGTTTATTTCGCGTCGCAGATGGAAAGCATCGGGAGAGCATCAACATTTTCATAAAGCTCTCTTTATGCCGCAGTCCTGTTTCGCGGCGGAACCAGAGAGCGAGACGAGCACGACGCAACCGCAGCGGCGGACGAGAACGACGCAGTATCCTTTTACAAATCAATTCAATAACACAATGTGCATGCGATAAAAACAATGCATGGTTTGTTGAATAAAGGTCGTTCACGTCTATGTGTGTGTGTGTGTGTGTGTGCACCTCGCCACGCGGGACGAATCGGCTCGGTGATACTTCCTGATCGTCGACGTCGGCACCTACGCGAGATGACGGCGGGAGACGATGACGATGGCGGTCGAACGATTCGACGCGTTCGAGTGCGCGTCCATTTATTACCATATCGCGGAAAACGATATTTCGTTTCACCGACGCCGAATTTCCACACGTCATTCACGCGTGCATGTGAACGGATTGACCTTAATTTGCCGCGAGAAAGAGAGAGAGAGAGAGAGAGAAAGAGAGACGGCGATCACGGTGCGTAAACGCGTAAACGCCAAGTTTTTAACGCGATTCCCTTGGCGCAGTCATGATTGGCGTCGGGCGAGTTTATATTTTTATCGAATGCGAAAGAGTTTATAGCGGAATGCACAAATTGAACGCAAACATTGCAATTTCACTGAAAACGAGACATGAGAACGGAAAGAAGGGGATTGCGCAATGTAGACGCAAGGGGAAGGCAACGGAACGACGACGGAAAGCGCGGAGGACGCGAGGCGAGATCGCAGGATTGTTCTTACGAAACGGAGGGTCGTAACGATTCCCCGTGTTTTTTTCTCTCCTCCTTCTCCCTTTCTCTCCCTAGTATAAAAATTTCGAGACTTGCATACCGTTCTTTATCTACGCGCAACGTTCGCATAAGAGATGCATTTTTAAGGGCGCCTGTCGCTCGTCGCCTCGCGGATTTCGTAATCGCGAAGCGACTCTCCGGTCTATTTCGCGAAGACGATATCTTCGAGCTGAATCGATTGCGCGCTCGTCTTTCTCGCCTCCACGTTCGATTACAAAGCAACATGGAAAACGGAGAGACGACCCTTGCAGAGCGACTCGCGATTTGACAGCTGTCACGGACCTCCCGCCGTATCCATTTTGTTCGCCGGACCGGTCGAGTCGGGTGCCTCGAAACAGGAGAGAGCGAACGGACGCTTTTTTGAATTTTATTCTATCTTATTTCGCGAATGCCGACTCAGTCACGCGTGCAAGAGCTCCGACGAGGTCTCGGATGGATTTTCCTATCTTAACGGCGGCCAATTCCACGAATGATTTCATACTGGGAAAACGGCCCGACCCCCGTGAATTTGCGGTGTCACGAAAACAAAACGGCCGACCGATGGGGCTTTTTCGTGATGCACGTCGATCTTCCGGGTCTCAGTCTCGACTGAGCAAATTAAAAAAATAATTACGCTGCAGACAAACAATTCTAAAGACGATCCCTTTTTCAAGATGAAGAGAGAGAGAGAGAGAGAGAGAGAGAGAGAGAGAGAGAGAGAAAAGCACGCGCCGGAGATTTTAAATGTCGCCCGCGGCCTCGCAAATTTGCATCGGTTTCATGACGCATCTGCAAACTTGGGAGTTTCCTTTGTTGACTCGTCGGCGACTTTCCTCCCTGCCGGGAATGCAAGAACATGCGACCGTGACGGTGGAACAAAGGTACCATGCGGTCTCATGTAACCGAATGCCACGGATTGTTCCTCGTTGATTTTCTGGATCGCTGGTAAACTGGACGGTCAAGATAAAATTGCTATGTTCTTTTTGGCGACTCGTCGATTTTCTCAAAGTTTTACGCGGGACGACGTAACGTATGATGCAACAGAGAGCTAATGATAAAGAAGATACGATGCAATTGAGAGATCGTATGGATGTGGCACAACGCTTTCAATATCATAATCCGGTAGATTATAAAAATAATCTGTCAGACTTCACGGAGAAAAATAGTTTGCTGGTTAACAGCTAACTTTATGCTGTCGCGGAAAAATCTGTCAGTTATTGTGCGGACAGCAAAACAATCTGTTAAGAATACCAATTGGACTATTTCAATCTACAAGTTATCTTGCTGCAAGCACAAATTAACAAATGCAGGAAAGCGCTATTTTATTCTGACAGCAAATTAACTTGTCCCAGGGACGAGTTCACCCTTGGTGAAATATTTTCTATCCTGGCGACAGAACTGTTTCCGCTCTAGTTACGAGTAATTTGCTGTGTTAATTTGCTCACGCCAATTAAATTTTATCGCAGCAGCAACGATGGTTTCGCTATAATTTTTTTCTCCGCGTTACAATAATAAAATCTATACAATCTACAATCTAGAGTAACAGAAACGAAGACATGGGGTCTGCCGCCTTCATACTTACGTCCACGGTGTTCAGAAGCCTGTCTTTATCCTTGTCCACAGCCGGCATTGCCCGCGAACACTCCGCAAAGAGGAACAGCACCAACGCCAGTGCAATCGCGCTTCGTACCGACGGCATCTTGTTGCACCTGCGAGAGCGAGAACAATCGGATGTTCAATGCAAGGATTCACACCGCCTCCGATGCCCTTACGTGCGACGGTCCGACATCCAATAGGAGATGCCACTTCTTAGGGTTTCCCAGCTGGCAACACGTTGGCCTCCAGAAAACTCTTATTTTCTCCTATCGGATACCGGACCTCGTGTGTGTCGGAGGCATCGGGGGCAGCGTGAATCTTGCATAAGACCTCGAATGAGGATCCCGGGATCGCCAGACGGCGGGAAATATTTTCTCGAAGATAAAATTTCGCCGATTAGCGATTAAGATCGCTTTTTATCATTACGGGCGCCCGATCTGTCACGTTTTGCCGCGGTGCGCGGTGTGAATAAAAGACAGAGGGAAGCGATATAAAACGCGGGAGAAGACGCGCGAGATCGCGTCGAGTAAGCGGATTCCGACGATAAAATAAGGCCTCCCCCCCCCCCCCNCCCTTTTCCGTTAACACTTTAACGGCCGCACGTCTACGCAGTCAAATGTCGCCAGGAGCCGGCAATATTTTCTACGGCGGTAGCATCACACACATGTTGTGTGAGCGGACAGTAGCAGTTATTCCGGCTATCACACATGTTGTGTGAGCGGCCGTTAAAGTGTTAACGGACGCGAGAGAGACGTGACGCGTGTAACGATGTCTTTCGTGGAGACATATCGGCGAACGGGCCGCGTGTCGGCGAAAAGCGGGTTCAGGTCGGGCCGGAGATGTAAATACAAGGGGATCGGTTAAATGAGAAACGAAGCCCACGCGTGCCAAACTCGTCCGTGGTCTGTTACACAATCCGCTAATTGAAGGGACAATCGACGCATTATTGGCCACCGTGTGATCAGATAATTGTTGCGGCGGGCNCGACGCTTCGCGCGAATTTAATTCATTAATTAGAAAGGTCATCGTGATAATTCGAGCGCGCATTGAGACCCAGCGGCACTGCGGATATCGATACTCGCATTCCCGCTCTGTGATACCGCGAAAAATATGATAATTAGCGGGAGATAATGCGCCGCTTGGTCCGCAGGGAGGGGTAGAGAATAGAAGATCGGGGCTGCTTCCGCGCCGCTGAAAATTCTCAAGATCCGCCCGATTAGTATGTAAACGTGTTAACGTGCCGAGATTCCGGAAATTTCGTAGGGAAGACCGGGACTAGTTGGTTAATCGGGAAGTTGGTAATCGATTATTTCTGATAATTTCTAACGGATTGCAGAATCGAGCGAGCAGAGATTTCAAACGTGTCAAAGATGTTTATGAAATCCCTACTTGCTCGTATGGTTCTGTAATCTGCTAGGAAATAACAGAAATAATCAATTGACTAACCAGTTTCGGCCTCCTCTGTATGTGGAAACTTCGCATTTATTATGCTTATAAAGCGGGGGAATGAAGAAACTTTTTTATATCCGTGAACAAGAGCATCCTGGCGTATATTGGTTCCAAAATTCGCGAAACTTCCCATCTTTCGATTGCGCGAGATTCGTCAAGGTTCTTAACGCAAGTTCGCGTATTTGGTCACGCGAGAAATATGCCAGCAGGCGGGTGCATTTATCTTCCTGTCGGCTCGAATATTACGTCGCGCTCATCAGATAAAGTCAAAAGCGACATTACACGAGAAGAGTCAGACAGAGATAGTTTATTAGCGAAATTAAACCGGCGAACCGGCGGTTTTATACGCTTGCTCGCCCGAAAAGAGGATTTCTATAATCCTCCTCTTAAGAAGCTTATATCGGCAACGCATTTATAAATTTATAAAGCAGAACCGAGCATGAAAGCGTAACCTTTTTCCCGAAAATTGAACGATTCTTGTAATAACACGACAAAACAATTAGCCTGGTTTAATTCACACAATTTTACGAAATCGTGACTTCGCGAGAATGAAGGTTTCAGAACTTCCTCGTTGCTTTGACATGTCTCTCCTCCTCTCCTCGAGCAGACAGAATCGCGACAGAGATGAAGTCGGAGATAAGAAAAACGTCTCTCGCAATAGTTCATCTTTACTACACGACCTGTCCATTGGTTCGCGACATCGAGACCGCATCTTCTAACTGCGAGTGCAGGCCTTGGTCGCAGGAGAACGACGTCTGGCCGCACGCGTCTTCTTCTACTGGCGCGCTAACGTGTGCAGACCGCGGCGGAAGGCGCGAATCGCGATATCTCTCTCTTTGGATTCGGCGAGTCTTGCTTCCGAATTAATTCACGAAAGTAGCCGTAAATCGTACGTGGTCATGCTCACGATTTCGCCTTCCCTTTCAAAGCACATAGTGAAGCGATCTAATTACTTTTTTCCGCGCGAGAGCTCTTCACGTGTCGCATATATTACGTGTTTTGACTTTATTGCAGCCGAATCGCCGATAGAAGATCCAATTTGTCTTCGTTTGTCTGTCCGTCTACCTGTCTTTCTGTCTGTATGCTCGATACGAAAAGCGGAAAGTCCTACATTATATAACGTGACTCGCGTACGTGGACGAAGCGAAGGCGTAAGCGAAAACGCGCGGGAATTCGGGAACGTGATAAAGAGAGAGAGAGAGAGAGAGAGAGCTCGTACCTCGTGTGGACCGCTGGTACCGGCTGTCGTGCCCTCGTCGCCGCGCCTCAGCCTCAGGAAGGATGAGCGATGGGGAGGAAGGGTGGTTAGCGGTGTTGGTTGGCGGCGATTACGACGAAACGGTTTAGTACAAGTGTGCGTTCTCTCGGCTTCTCTCTGTTCTCTCTTGTGTCTCGCTACCGAAGAGGAGCGTCGCCTTGATATCTCCACGACAGAGTGACCGAGCTTGGAGCACGCGACCACTTTATATCCCGTCACGCTGCCGTTGGCGGATGGTGGCGCGGTAGCGGAAACCCACCCTCGAACCCACGCCCTCACCCTCTTGCACCCTCTCTCCCTCTTTTTCTCTCTCTCTCTCTCTCTCTCACTCTCTCTCTCTTTCCGTCTCAGCTGTATGCGTTTCCTGCGATCCACAAGCGTGCGTAAATCCAGTCCTCTTCTGGGATCTCGCCTTTCCGCCGCGGATTTTGCATTTCCGCATTTCTTTTGCGCGTTAAAGAGGAATCGGCAGGTGCAGATCGAGGTGTCGAGACGACCGACGCAGAAGCCGGCTTTCGTTAACTTACTCTCTCTTTCTCTCCTCTCCCTCTTTCTCTCCGAAAGGTTCGCGCTCGTTGTCGCCCGGTGCGATTAGATATCTCGCACGAATTATCGATCGCGCGTACGCATCTTACGCTTTGCGCCGCGGAGAACACGAAGCGTTCTCGCGCTTCCGTCCGTTTAGTCGGCACTTTTCCAGGTATCTTAACAATTACGCTCCCTTTTACTTCGAGGAAAAGAGAAACGGAGCAAGAGAGAGAGGGAGAGAGAGAGATAGAGAGGGGGAGGAGGGGCAAGAGAGAAAAAAGAAATAGAGAAAAGCTCGGGAATTACGTGGACGTACATGCGAACGAAATTACGGCGGAAAATTACAGAAAAGACCGAGCGAACGCGCGTTATTGCGCGCGTGTCCGTAGTTGAGGGGAATGCAGCGGGCTAATTACGAACAGCGGCATAAGTTTGACCATTACTCTCTTTGAGCGGTATCGCGGATCCCGCGACATGAGCTGAAAACGTGTTAATCATTAATTCGCTTGGGAATGCTTAAACCAACTCGACCGCGTCGAGCTGTTATATCGCAAACCCAACTCCCTGTCTCTTTCTTTCTCTCTCTCTCCCCCTCCCCCTCTCGCTCGCTTCGAAAAACTCGGTGTGAGAAATCCGATAGCGTTACACTACGTGCGCGCAACACGCGAGAATGTTCTTTTAATCAGAGCCCACCTCTCCCACCTCCCAGCTTATATTTGAAGACAATTTTTCCCCGTAAGGGGTGAATGCCATGGGGTCACTTATCGCGCTATTCCAGCTCCTAGTGTTGTCGTCGTGTACACCCTTGTAATCAAATCTGAGATTAGAATTTCGTTGAAGTCTGAGATCGCCCGAAGAACACGATCCCGCCGACCGCCGCGGCGTAATTAGCGAAGTGCTCGTTCCTTTTAATCACTCATCACCAACTGGAAACCTCGATGTTTCTTCTCGCGACGAGGAATCGACGGTGCAACATTCACTCGACACGGAAAATCGTGCGTTTGCAATGTTCAGATCGCCAGGTATATTTCGTATCTTCTTCAATGCGATATCGCACGAAATAGCGGCAGACGCGTGAACGTAGCCGCGGCGAGCTGACTGGCGAAAAAACAAGGAAGGTTTTCCGATCTGGGCGGTTTTACCTGATATGTCCGTTATATCCTGACCGATATAACCGATATGGTCGGAGTGTCCGACTATCGTGATATTTCTCGCGATGGGAGCGATGCGACAAAGGAATGGTCATCTACGCCTGACGTCGTCAAGACCGTCTCAGATGATGCGGAACGTCGAGGCTTGCGCCGCTTCAAGCTCGATAAAGTAAGCCGTGAGGGGATCGATCGATTAAAATCACGCGTGTCTTTCCGCACGTGGTCGTAGAATTGACGTATAATTTCATGCAATTTTACGCACAAACGGTAAAAAGGACTTGGCTGCATAATACAATTTCGCTTTTCGTCTAATACAATTGAAATTTAACCTAACTTAGTTTTTAGCTGTGGGAGCTAAAAACTAGGTATGGGACAAAGGAAATTAGTCACCACTAAATCAACTAAATTTCCGTTGTGTTGTATATTATAAAGACAACTGATTTTTAGCTGTGAGAGCTAATTTTTTTTCCGTGCAGCGATAGAATCTCTTTGTTACGTCCTTTACACGCGTATCATATGTCGATGATGTGCGATTTCACTGTGACTCTTTCCAGCTACTCACGAAAGAAGTGCAGGATGCCTTGGAAGCGGCGTCGGTGGAAGCCAAGATGCGTCATCGCGAGATCGATATCCGCCCGACCGAGTGCGAAATAACGCGATCGCAGGATTTTTATTTTAACCGAATGAAAGAGGCCGCCGAAAATGCGCCCATTACCGGTCTGCTTCCGGTAGGTCGCACTGCAAAATTCATTATTATCCATTAATCCCGCGCAGGACGCGTATTTATGCGGACTCTCTAATTTTCGGGATCCCTGCAGCTTCCCCATAAAACAACACCTGTTTCATAATCGTAGCACGAGGATTCTTTTTTATTAAAGAGCAGAAAGTAGAACACTGTGCTTGCTTATCTCTCTTATTTATTTACTTCATTTTTATTCGTGTTTCAACTTTTATTCATGTTTGACTGAACTTTCCTATTTCTTCCGAATGCGAATATAATTGTCGGAGGGTACGCGATTTTTCTGGACCAGATTTCTCCGATATTCCAGCTCTAATTGCTCCTCCGATATGTTTCCAAACTGGATATATACAGAGAACTGAACTCCACCGACAAATTTATAGGATAGATTGTAATGAAAGAACGAGTAGAAAAGTAAATAGTAGTCTTAGTAAATATATGTCCTTTCAAACACTTAGTTTCTGAGATGTACACGGAGAAAAAGATTTCTTTGAATGTAATCAAATTTCTTCAATTGAAACACAAATTTGTCTTTTGGAATAGGGTAAACAAATGAATGTTTGATCCAACAAATAGAATTTAGAGTTTAGTTTATCAAGCAATAAATATGTTTAAATCAAACACATTTCTTTGCATTTTCATCTTAAACAATAAATTATTTGAAATAAAAAATATTATATTAGAAAAATATTAAAGAACTTTTTTTGTATTTCATTGGAACAATATTTAATATATAATAAAATAAATTATTTTTTACTCTGAAAACGAAATATTATTTCCTTTAAATAAAGTTATTTTCTCCTTTTTCTCATCAAACAACATGGTTTACTCTGATGATGTAACATTTTTATTTAACAAAAATATTTAATAAAATGATATTTGATATTAAGTTATGTTATTTATATTAAACAAACCCAGATCAAACAAACATGTATACTAAATCCAAAAAAATCTTTTTCTCTGCGTAGCAATTTCAGTTAAAAAATATATGTTTTATTCATTAAATCGTTTTTCAAATAAATAACTAGACATACTGTTATAAAAATTGTTAAAAATGTTTACCTCCCTTGTCAATGTACAATTGACATCTGTGCAGTAGAGACGCGCATACACGTTCGAATATTGCTTTATTATTGCAATATTTCTAACGCTGTCGCATACCTGTTGGATTCTATATAGTTGGATAGAAGCAGTTAATCTAGTTTATTTACAGAAATATCAAAATTACAAATAATTAATATTATTATCTTCGAAACAGGTAAAAAAGTTTTGTATCAGTATTCTTAACTCGCTTGTCACTACATATCTTCCTTCATCGCTCTTATTTTTTGTAGGCTATATCTCAGAAACCAAACATTTGCGGACAAACATTTACTAAAACCTCTTTGCTTAGGATAACTCCAGTATATACGCCGCGTCTAAGGAAAATTTAATTTATCAAGTGTTATTTATTATGTTTAAGGCAAATGAACTGCACAAATAAAAACGGCATATTGTTTACTACTATAAAACAATTGGAAATACGAAATACTTACTTTTTATATTTTATAGAAAAACTTTTATAGGCCCTTTGCATTTTTACCATATATCCCACAGGGATGAGATATACGTTATAAAAAATTTACAAATAATACTTTTAAATAAGACGTTGACAAAATTATACAGTAACTTATAAAATATGTGTAAAAAGTTGGTTGGGATATAAGAATGAGAAATAAATACACGAGAAGTAATAGTAAGAGTAATGTATAAATCTTTAACATAATTAAAAATTCCGTTGCGACCGACAACAACCCCTGGCAGGAATGGGAGGAGAGAATTCGCGAGTTAGCGGGCCGGTCGCCTGGCAAGTACGCGGATTTTCTGGAGGAGCAGATGTGGGAGATGAAGGAGCGTTACCGGGAGACGATGCGGCGCATGGCGATACGCCGAATAATAGCTATTGAGGAGGAGGAGGAGAACGGCATCGTCGCGCCGTACAAGCATCCTGGCCGCACGGAGTCGATGGCGAAATTTCAGCGGAACCGTTGCGCGCTCGCCAAACAATATCACTTGTCGCACAGGCTTATCAGAAGCATCGTCGCGAAGGCGCAGCTGCTGCTGCCGGAGGTGCTCTGCGATATCAGGCGGTATCGCGGGCTCAACTTCCTCGATCTCGACAGGTACGTAACATTGTAATGCTCTTTACTGAGCTATTAATTCGAATAATCGATGCGCTGCTGCCGCCGGTGATAATTATCATTCGCCAGGACGGCGCGATATCGTTCTTTTCCCTCTGCCGCTTCGTTTCTCGCCGTTCTCGCCGACGGACTGCTGACCTATTAGTTACAACGTGACGCGACGTTTCGCTCAATTCTTAACAACTTGAATTTTCAACCGACCCGTCGCACCTCCTCTTCCAATTGGAGGTAGAAAGAATTCTACAATTTTATCCCATTTTCATCATCTTCCGTGTCGCGAACTTCGAACGTACGAGTGTGTGTGGGAACGCTTCGTCGCGATATATTCGATTCCACGTCCTCGTTCTTGAGCGAAACACGAAACTTCCTCGACGAAATGGCGAGCATCCTTCAGTGAGGGATCAATCGGCTAATCGAGCTTGACGATTGAAGCAAAGGACATCCCGCAGATTTTTGGACTCGGTCGAGGCGGACCTGAAGAAGAGTGCACATGTCGTCATTGCGTCTTACTACAGCAGGATCGTGCGAACGGTCTCACAGCGTCGCAACATCCAGGATGTCGCGATGGACGTACTGCTGCGCTTCCTCAAGTGCGCTACGCGGCTGCTCGGTCTGCAGATAGTAAACCGCGTGATCGTCACCATCGAGCGTCTCCTGACGGTCCTCGGCGACTCCACGGCGATACCTTTGCTACGGGTAAACCTAGCCAGCCGCTAAGTGTTACAAACTAATTAAAGGAATACGTTATTCGAAGAAAAGTTGCAGACGAAAGTTGTAAGATTTCGTAAATGAAATGGTAACTTTGTTATTTTTTAATGGAATCATACGCATTTTTTAACATAAACTGATTTCTCTGCTCATTCTACGAAATGGTATGAAAATATCTAGGTAAACTCCTCGAAATATATAGGGTGTCCCAAAATTCACGCAAGATTTGAATTTTGCGCCATTTGTGCGGTAAAGTGTTGCCAACGAAAAAAGAAGACAGCGTGACAGCTGACAGTTCAGAGTTATCAAAAATGAAGCGCTACACGAAAGAACAACGCGTTTTTATTGTTGAGCAATATTTTAAAAATAATGAAGGTTTGGCAGCTACAGTTCGCAATTTTCGTACAAAATATGGTCGGAATAGTGATTTAACTTCATCAACTGTGAAGAGATTAATTTAAAAAATTTAGGGAGATTGGATCAATTAGTGATCTTGCATCCACAACGTGTTACTGTTTGGTGCGAATTTTTGGCTGGAGGCATCATCGGACCATTCTTCTTCGAAAATGCGCCTGGTCAGGCAATAACAGTTAACGGTACTCGCTATCGCGACATGATAATCCAGTCTTTTGTGCCTAAATTGCAAGATATGGATGTGGACGACATGTGGTTTCAATAAGACGGTGCCACATACCATACAGCCCGAGAAACAATTCAATTACTGCATAAGTCATTTCCTGGTCGTGTAATTTCCCGTTTTGGTGATCAGAATTGGCCGCCCAGATCATGCAATTTAACGCCGTTGGACTTTTTTCTTTGGGATTTTTTGAAGTTTAAGGTTTATGCCAACAAGCCCACGACCACCCACGCCTTGAAGGAGGAAATTGAGCGCTGTATCAACGAAATTCAGCCACATTTGTGCAAAACAGTCATGGAAAATTTCAACAAAAGAGTGCGTATGTGCCAGCAAAGCCGTGGAGGCCATTTACCCGATATGCCATTCCATACATTACCCTATACTGTATACTTGAATCAATAAAAAATTTATAATTTTTAATAATAAACCTGTGTTTTCTATCAAAATTACTTCTTGCTTGAATTTTGGGACATCCTATATATGTTTTCCGAAGTATTCTACATTTTATCCTGATATTTTTCATTACAAGGCATGAAATATTTCGTAAACTATTCACTTTTCAACAGTCTCACCTTAATATTTTTATACGTAGAACTACTAATGAAATCTCTCGATTATCGTAAGGAAAACATATAAGAGAAACTTGAAATAAAATTTCACTGCATTTTGCAGACTCATTGACGCACCATTGATAAGCAAAAATCGAAGTAGCAAGAGAATCTAAGTAGCAATTTTTCGCAAGAAAGAGCTTTTTTTCTTATGTTTTCCCGGCGACTAAAGAAACATTTTTTTTTCCTTAACTACAATATAAACGAACTTGTGGCGAGGGCGCAGTTTGAGCTGAAGTGCGAGAAGGACGATCTGTTCGTGAATCCGCGGCTGCCGGAGCTGCACGAGGTCTTCCACCGTCTCGTGGACAACATAGCGCGCTTCGCGCGGCACTTGCCGCCGTTGGAATCATGGGCGCGAATCCGAGGCCGCGTCGTCGGGATGACCGGCGCGAGTCACGAGGACTACGGGTCGCCGTTTGCCGCGCCGCCGGACTGGTACCTGGACGAGGCGCACCAACGCTTGGACCTGCTCCTGCGAGACATCTTCCGACCTTTGAACGACTACGTGGAGGAATTGCGGCTGCGGTTCGGCGACATTTATCGGGCGGACGCGCACCGCGATGCGGTCGAGCAGACCGAGAAGGAGCGCTCCCTCGAGGAATGCGTCGCGCAAGTCGAGGACTTCAATCGACGGATACGCGATATCAACGGCATGGTGGGTGTAATTTGTTTCCCTCGAGTTGCGGACAGAGTTTGCAGTTGAGCTCGGCTCTCCGGCGGAGTCGCGTGCGCCCGCATTCGGCGAGGGCATCACGAGACTCCGAGGGCCTCGCAAGGGCTCCCCGATTGTCTTTACCCCTCGCGCCAGCTCGGCTGTTAATCTGTATAATTATCCGGTAGAGGCGCCTTTTACCTAACCCTTTGCGTTCCCAGGGTACCTTTGCAAAGCTGTCCGAAACCTTAATTTAATCTAATTTAATCTAATTTAAGTCGAAACTATATAGTTATCACGTCAAAGAGAGAGAGAGAGATTTAAAACTAATTTAAAGGACGTCACCACGACTTTTTTAAATAAAGAGATTTAATATATTTTATAAAAATATTATTTTATTAAAAAAAATATTTTTTTTAAATATTTCATTAAATTTTTAAAATATTTTTATTACATATTTTACAATAAGTTATCTTACAATAAGTTTTGAATAGCATCGCTACATGGAGAAAATATTACAGTAAAAATTACCACATTTTATAATGGCGGACCATACCGGGAATTATAACTGAAATTATTATATGTATTGTAATCTTTAATGATGTGCATAATAAAATATATCATTAAAAATTACAATACACATCATTATTTCAGTTATAAACCCGATACAGTCCAGCATTACAGAATTTTGTGCTAATTTTTACCTCATTTTCTCTATGTACGGCATTTTTAAAGCGCAAACATTTTTTACACATTCAGCTAAGTTAATAATCGAGCAGAAGAATCAATATATCGTTGCTTGTTAACATCGTCCAATTTCCATTTTAATTTCTCTCCAAACTATGAAAACGCGAGAAAACTCGCGGAGCGGCGAACGAAGTCGGTGTTTGGCCAGCAAATCGTAAGTTTTCCCGTGATCGGTCGACGACGGCGCTAAGAGTGTTAAGTTGGAAAGAAAATCCGATCACCGAGCGTTTCACGCACGGATGATCGTTCGTGTATGCGAAAAGCTCTTCTCAACGGAGTTATCACGTTCACCGGAAATTACGAGAACGCTACGGGAGAAAACGTTTGTAGCCCGACAACGAGTACCTGTCGACAATGAGTCTGCATCAGGTCGCCGCGAAACGCGGCCTCGCCTCCTACGCGAGCGAGCTGCGCGCACTCGTCATCGACGAGCTCGTCAAGCGTCACTGGAACTACAATGTCGAGATATGCAACATCTTCGAGAGGCTGAGGGACCGGGCGTTGAACGTCCCGCGCACCACCAAGGAAATGCTGGAGCTCGGTGAGCCTTTCTCTCCCTCTACTCGCTCAGCGTATATCGTTCCCTCTTAGCCGCGCTTGTAACATTAACTCGATGCAAGAGGTTCATTGCCTCCTTCCTAACTAACTAACAAGTTCTGCCTCGCTAAAATCTCGCCAAAGAGAATTTAGGAGCTTCTCCTTTTTTCGCGTATGCTTCTACCGAGAGATGCTCGCAACCTTGTTTTCGTGCTTTCGAAGTGTTAGAAACACGTCGAAGTTATTTAATGACTGTTTTAACCATTTGTTGTTGTTACATAGTGTCCTATATATGAGACTATTTCTCTTTTCCTATGTTTTGACATATTTTCTAATTAATTTATATGACATATTTGGTATCATTATATTCCTAAGACTTGTATGAATAACATAAATATGTAATTATTCTTCTATTTTTTCGAAACAATTTATGTTGCAACTTATTGATCATTTAATTGATTGCAAACTATTACGTACGCGAATTGAATTTTATCACCGACATCTATCTTTCTTTCGTAAAAAAATGATTAGAATACACACAGTAAAAAATTTTGCGTTAAATTAAAAAAATCTCACATGTCCCAAACGTTCCACTCAAATTTTTGTGTTAATTTTGTGGTAATTTAACACAAAATGAATGTATTAAGTAGTAAAGTGAAATAACAAAAATAATACATGAAAGATTAACAAGATGGCAACCATTACCGAGGAAAAATGAGTGTAAAACTTGTAAATGATCGTAGGGTGCCAAGCAGCGCAAGCGAATGACCGAGAACGGCTCGCCATTATCGTGCAGTCGATTCGCGTAACTTTGAGTTTCACGTAACCGAACCGACACATATCACCGAGTGACTTTCAAGTTTCTAGCGGTCTCCAATTAATATTCGTCGTCAATGTCGCCGCGTCTTTCCTTTCCGTCTTTGTCTTTTCGCGGGAGTGAGACGCGCGTTTCCGCGCATGTTAAACGTATATTTACATATAAAATATATTATTTCAACACAAAGTTGAATTCAATTGTATACATCTTCAAATAACGCAATCACAATATGTTAAATTAACACACGGCTATGTTAGAAATTTATGTGCATGCTTAGCATATTCAGCTGAAGAAAGAGTTAAATTAAAGTCAAGTGATTTGAGAACATTCTTTAATTGTGAAAAGAGAATTTAATGTTTAATGATAAACTATACACGGCATAAATGCTAAATACTTTCAATTTTCAGAATAAAATTCATCGTGCTATATTCGACCACCTTTTATAATTTAGTGAAAAATCGGATTCTCCCGGTAACAGGGTCAGCCTCGATATAATGGAGACTTTTACTCTACTAAAATTCAAGAAAATATCTTCAGCGGGATAATTTGCGCAACAAAGGGTTAACGGAGAGAAATATTTGGGGATTCTTCCGTGTGATTTCGTTGTTGACTGCATTCGACAAGAAACTCGACGAGAGTCGAGTCTCGGCCCGATGAAAGATAACGAACTCGTCGTCGCGCGTTCGCGATCTCATCGATGTCATCCCATCAATGATCGCGTCCTCCAGGTCAGTACATGCTGATGGCGACATCGACGTTGATGCGGGAGATGCAGGAGAAGATCACGCTCTCGCTGCGCATGGTGGGCTCGCTGATCGAGATGACCAGCCTCAGCAAGTCCCACATCGAGCTGAACAACACGACGGTGCAATGGCTGAAGCGCATCAAGCCGGTCTTCGATCGCAGCTCGTCGATGTACGAGCAGATGAAGTTCGAGCTGGAGGAGAAGCTACAGGAGGAGGTAGTGGTGCTGAACGCGAACGTGGAGAACATGTTCCCAAGGTGAGAGAGTCACCGATCCGTCAACGTCGGACTTCGATAACGCACGAGGCTGAGATGCGAGAAGTTCGTCCGAATTGAATTGCCGCTATTTATATTTGCAAGAGCGCCAACAATCCATCCTGCGAGTTATTCAAATCCCTCCTTTTCAATCCTGCGAATCAATCCTGCCGTCGAAATCATCACCCACCTTCTCCACGGCTCAGGCTGGTCATGATGGACGACATGGACGACATCGAGCGCGTCAAGGACTACATAGAGGATATGCGCAAGATGATGCGCCAATTGGAACGCATGGAGCAGCGGGCCCGGGCGATAAACGCCGAGGAGTCGCTTTTTCAGTTCCCGTTGACGCAATATCCGCGCATCCAGGAGCTGAGAGACAACATCCTGCCGTTTTATCATCTGATCTACAAGGCCTACCAGTGGCAACGGGATCGCGCCCTCTGGCTGGACGGGCCTTTCGAGTACCTCGACGTGCAGTACATCGAGGACAAGATCAATCAGTACTTGATCGACTTCAATCGGAGCTACAAACTGTTCAAGACGCGAATCAAAATGCAGATCGCGACGAATTATCCGTACAGGTCGCGACCCGACGCGCGAACCGGAACGAAAGGGCACTCGGAGGAAGAATTAGCCATAGGAGCTGAAATCTAGTTGCGACAGCCAAAATGCGTCCTTGAAATGGGAACAGTCAATGTCGTTGCTATCACAGCTAAATCCGTTGGCTGTTTGAATTTAGGCGCTGCAGCAAAAAATATTAGCTAGATCGCACAACAGTAAAATTATATTCCTTTTCAAATAGAAATTTATTGCTTTTTCTTTTAAAAAAAGATCTTAAGATATTAGTATAGGCTGATTTGCCTGAAGTTTAATTACTTACTTAACTTAATGTTATATTATAAAAAATGAGAGAGAGAGAGAGAGAAAGAGCACAACTTAACTAATCTTAACTACACACGCTAATAATTTCGGCTAATGAAGTTATGTCTCGGAGCAATTATACTCTACCTCGAATAGTCAACTTTTAGCGATGACACCAAAGTTCGAACTAGCTAATGAGACTCAGCTGCTATTACTAAATCATTTTCCTGAGTGGACGATACGAGGATTCCGCCGAAGCGTATCCGGATCGATTTCACCGCAGCGTGAACCACGGGATAGAACGAGAACGGCACGGTCGTGCCTCTCGATTTGCATCGCTCGCCGGTAGTGGTCTCGTAAAAATTTTTCCCCATTGATCCGCCGACTTTCGCGTTCCGCGTGGAATTCTGTTGACCTTGTCGCTGATGGATGTGTATGTGGGAAGTACTAAAAGCCGGCGAGTGAATAAAACCGCTTGAATTACGTCACCCCGCCCGTCGCTCCGAAGTGAAAACAGTCCGGATGTTTATCGAGCGATCCTCGCGCGAACCTGTTGCGCCTGCGTTATCGGTCGTTCCTCGTTAGTTTTGCAGGACTGGTAGACGATCCCGATCCTTTTCAGCAACCGTCGCCTCAGAAGCTCTGCTATCAGCTGATGGAAAACGGGAAATGGTTCAAGGTAAGGGTGACAAATGAAATTGAAGTTATTATATCAAGCCACTAAGAAGTTTTCCGAAGCAAACGATCGCTATTGACTTCATTTTTCGTCTACATTTTTTTATCTTCGAACATTGTTCTTTATCTGCGTGAAGGAGGAGGTCCCGTGAGTCTCCTTTTTATATGTAATGGTCGAGTCAATGGCGTAGTTTGAAACGGAATCCGACGGGAAACGATGACGGACAATCTCTCGTATCAACTTGACGTTATTTTAGATTCTTTAGTATTATTATTATTATTTATTAAGTAAACGATAAATCAGTATTTCCTTTGGAGCAAAATACGAAATAGAAAATTATATAATTAGTTGCACTTGCACTCGCATACAATGAAAAAAGTAAAAGTACAATAATGACTGAAAAAATTAAGTGTTTAAAAAAAAAATATCGTAAATTTCAGGTATATCAAAATAAGAGTCGAATAAATCTAGTTCCGAGAGCATTACGAGATATGTTAAAGAAATCAATATCGATATGGCCAATATTGGCTCGAGCGATTGCCTTTATTTAGAAAATAATTCATGACAATATCGTAATGTTTGAAATTTAGAACGTCGTTTATATTTTATTCGCGTTGATTTTCGCCACGCAGCGATACATTCCGTTGTTGGCCATCTTCCGCAATCCGGCGATGCGGCAGCTGCATTGGGACAACATGTCGGGGATCGCGGAATTCGACCTGACGCCGGACGCCGGCACGACCCTGAGGAAGATAATCAACATGAACCTGTTGGAGGATCTGGAGAAGTACCGCGCTGCCGATCTGCGGCCGAGACTCGACAAGTCGCGACGGGTCGCTCAACGAAACGCAATCGTGTTGCAGATACGAGATAATCAGCAGCAGCGCGACGAAGGAGCTGGTGCTCGAGGATTCGCTCGCGAAGATGAAGAGCGAATGGGACGATATCATCTTCACCACTACGCCGTACAAGGACACCAGGGTCTCAATCTTGATGCAGTTGGACGACGTGCTAACCCTTCTTGAGGAGCACATAATCAAGCTCCAGATGATGCGAGGCTCAGCCTTCGTGAAACTCATCGAGGAGGACGTCAAGGTGTTCTACGCGCTGCTTCTTCGCGTCCAATCGACGATCGACGAGTGGACGAAGGTAAATCCCCGGGTAATCCCGGTTAATCTCTTGAGAGCGAGTCGGCAAGGTCGCGAATCGTAAGTCGCGCGTTTATTTTTTTCCAAAACTTCATTAAAACTAATGTTAAATTACATATTAATCAAAGTTATTAAAATTAATTAATGCTCAAGGGGGTAAAATTGACCGTACTTGCGATCAAATCGCTGAAATCCGAAGCTGCAAGAGGTCGAGGTTTTCTTTTCATCATTTTATTGCGGGTTGAATTTCGTTCCTTTCTATTTTAATCAATTGCTGTGTTCTCACTGCCTCCGTAATGCATGGAGCAATAGTCTCGGCCAAGTTTAAAGAGATTGTATGGCGAAGTGAACTTGCATTAATGATAGAAATAAACAAATAATATTGTCGTATTGGTAATATTACGTATATATGTATGTGTATGCTTACCTCAACTTTGTTTCAAATTAACACTTGTGATTTCAATAATGAAATGTATAAAAATGTAATTTTGTTTGATAAATTTATGAGCGGTCTTTTTAATGCGCCGCTGAAAATACGACACTGAGCCTTACAACTTTCTTAAGTACCGGAAGGAATCAGTTCGCGTGGACAAATTCCGAATCTTGCGAAGACACTGCCTCTGCTCTTTCCAGGTGCAGATGCAATGGATGTATCTGCTGCCGATCTTCTCAAGTAAAGACATCGTGGAGCAACTGCCCGATGAGGAGGTGTTGTTCATCGAGGTCGACGCGACGTTTCGCAAGGCGATGCAGCGGGTCGACAGGGATCCCCGAGTTCGCGAGACCGCCGGCGTCGTACGTATATCGATGTGTGATTACGTTTGAGCGAAGCGAGCTGAGACGATGGGTCAAAAGAGAGAAATTTGGTTGAAATTCCTCCGGAAACTCGAACATCCCTTACAGTTCGGTATGTTGGAAAGTATGCTGACGGCAAATATGATAATGGAGAGGGTCAACAACGGCGTACTGAATTACCTCGAGAAAAAACGACTGTTCTTCCCGCGATTCTTCTTCCTGAGCAACGACGACATGCTTGAGATTCTTTCCGAGACGAAGGAACCACTTCGCGTTCAGCCGCACTTGAAGAAGTGCTTCGAGGGGATCAATCGGCTGGGGTACTTCCCTCATGCGGTTTCCTTCTATTTAGCTTGAATGTTTATATTTATTATATTTTTTTCTTTAAAAATATCTAATAATAATAAATATATGATCGCATATTGTAATATATATATATATGGAATGTCCCACACCAACAGGGACAATCTTCGTGAGAAGAACGAATTGAAGTAAATAAAAAAGCTTCTCCACCATTTCATAAACAACACGCAAAATTTCGAGTTATCAATTATTGAAAATGACTATGTGTAGAGGTTTCTTTAATTAATAACTTAAAAATTTGCCTGTTGTTTGCAAAATGGTAGACGGCTTTCTTGTTCATCTCAATCCGTTCTACGCCCTCACGAAGTTTGTCCCTGTTGGTCTGCGACGCCTTGTACATACTACAATATATATTTCAACATATTTTTACTATATATTACATTACAAAATTCTCTTATCTTGCAGTTTCGACAAAGACCTGGAAATTTATTGCATGTTCAGCGACGATAAGGAGGAAGTGCCGATGCAGGAAGTTATCTCGACGGCAGCGGCGCGCGGATGCGTCGAGCGATGGCTGCTTCAAGTAATTCGTGATTTCCCATATTTACTTTTAGTTCCGTCGTCCGCGGCAAAATAACGCGACTGATCTCTCGAAGTGTCACGGCAAACAAATTCGTACTCAAGTTACAGTGTACTTACGAAATCTCGATATTCACGTTGACTCACGATTGCAATATTAATGTATGAACTAGATTGTTAATTACTTTTCTATCGGTCTTATCGCTCTCATGACGAACCTGCCGAGCTGTCGGTGCTTCCTCAGGTCGAGAAGCAGATGTTGATATCGGTAAGGGAGGAGATTTACTTGAGCTACTTGGAATACGAGCTGAAGGAACGAGTGGAATGGGTGGTCCTTTGGCCCGGCATGGTTGTCCTGTGCGTCGCGCAGATTTACTGGAGCCTCGACGTGCATAGCTGCCTGGTCGGTCGCGCGACCCACGCGATGGAGTCGCTTTACGAGAAGCTGAGGGGCCAGATCCTGAAGCTGGTCAATCTGGTGAGAGGTTTGTAACATAACACGGCGCGAGAGCGGTCGTCGTCCCTCCCGTTGTGGAGTTCCCGCAGGGAAATGGATTTCGGCCGGCAGGGCAGCTCTCCAAGCAGAATCGAACAACGCTGAACGCTCTGATCACCATCGACGTTCACGCGATGGACGTTGTCAAGTCCCTCATCGAGAAACAGATCGTCAGCGAGATGGACTTCGAGTGGCTGTCGCAACTTCGTTATTACTGGGAGGACGACGTCTACGTTAGAATCATCTATTCGACGGTCAGGTACGCGTACGAGTACCTCGGCAATTGCTCGCGTCTCGTCATCACACCGTTAACCGACAGGTACGTACCGATGGGTATGATGGGCCGAACTATGATCCTTCGTCGATGATACGACTGTGGGAAAAAAGAATTGAGAATAATTATCGGAAACGAGGAGTAAATTTTTCCCGAGCGAGGCTTCAATTCACGAAACGTCGCGTGGACTTATTATTATTATCATTATTATTATTATTATTATTATTATTATTATTATTATTATTATTTCACTCTCTGTTTTGCAATTGCGTAAGCAACGAATAATAGTAATGTCGATAAATTCGTTTAAAGCGGCTACCGGGGACGCGCAAATAAAAATACGGTCCTTTATTTAAAAAAACAAAAACTATATATTTTAAAGGAAGTCGCTTGGCAAATCTCTCGGTTACTCTCTATTATTTCTTTAAATAGAACTCCGGGTCTCTTGTTTTACATTGCCAGGTAGCCGCGATTTTTAGGTACATTCGTGGTACGGTGGAAAAATAATCCATTGAAAATGACGAAGGTGACATTAATTTTTCAAATTATGGGCGCAAAAAATTTACTTCACGTCTCTGACTGTTTCTTTTCGCATGTCATCATCATCTTGTCAATTTAGTATCATCGATAACGGGTCGCCGTGCACTAATAGACGCTACAGATAATATCGACACTGATTGCAACGTCGTTTCCGCAAGATGTTATCGCACGTTGATCGGCGCGTATTCGTTGCACTTGAACGGCGCACCCGAAGGTCCTGCAGGCACCGGCAAGACCGAAACGACAAAGGACCTGAGCCGAGCCATCGCAGTTCAATGCGTGGTCTTCAACTGCTCCGAGGGCCTCGACTACAAGAATATGGGCAAGTTTTTCAAGGGTCTGGCGAGTTGTGGCGCTTGGTCCTGCTTTGACGAATTCAATCGTATCGAGCTGGAAGTCCTGTCAGTCGTGGCGCAACAAATCTTATGCATAATACAGGTAATACGTTGAACCATAACTTCTCAAGATAATTTTATAAGAGAATTCTAAGAAAATGTTAAGTCATTACGATGTTTTCTAAAGAAACTTAGAAACTTTTGTCGAATCTGAACAAGGGACGCATCGATATTTGTAAATTAAGCGCTAGTTAAAGAAAAATCTTACAAATCGCGCGGAAAAAATTAGCTGTCCATATAAATACAACTGAAATTTAATTATTAGATCTAGTTTTTAGCTGCAGGAGCTACCTGGATACAGAGATAAAAATAATTCGATAAATTAATTAAACGTTTATTACGTTTCTTCTTTGATTCAACCTACGACATGTGTATCTACGTAAAAAGCGTTTCAAAAACATCGTTTAGATGTCTTTATCTCAGAGACATCATTATGACGTCTTCTATCTATCTTAATGATTTCTGAGAAGCCTTTTCTGTATCCGTTCTTACGATTTAAGAAGTCCTTTACGTAGGGATAAATTCATAAGGAACATCTATTAGACAAAAAATCACAAATTGTAATACTAACTTTTTATACACACACAGGCGGTGCGCGGCCATTTGGAGACTTTCGTCTTCGAAGGCACCGAGTTACAGTTGAACCCGGCGGTTTACGTATGCATCACGATGAACCCGGGCTACGCCGGCCGATCGGAGCTGCCGGACAACCTGAAGGTCCTGTTCCGCACAGTCGCCATGATGGTGCCGGACTACGCGATGATCGCCGAGATCTTCCTGTACTCCTCGGGTTTCGGCACTGGCCGCGACCTCTCCACGAAGATCGTCACCACGTACAAGCTCTGCTCCGAGCAGTTGTCGTCGCAGTCGCACTACGACTACGGCATGCGCGCGGTCAAGACCGTGCTGTCGGCGGCGCAGAGCCTGAAGCTCAAGCACCCGGATGAGGACGAGGCGGTGCTGCTGCTGCGCTCGCTGATCGACGTGAACCTGCCCAAGTTCCTCTCCCGCGATGTGCCGCTCTTCCAGGGCATCGTGTCCGACCTGTTCCCAGGATTGTCGCTGCCCGAGCCGAGCTACGAGCAGCTGCTCACCGCGGTGAAGGAGGCCGCCCAGAGGCGGAACCTTCAGCCGGTCAGCGTGTTCCTGCTGAAGATCGTGCAGACCTACGAGATGATGATGGTGCGCCACGGCTTCATGCTGGTCGGCGAGCCGTTCTCCAGCAAGAGCTCGGTGCTGCGCACCTTGGCGGACGCGCTCACGCTCATGCAGGAGCACGGTCTCGAGGACGGCGTTGCCACCACGTACTTCGTGCTGAATCCGAAGGCCGTCACGTTGGGCCAGCTGTACGGCTACTTCGACCCGGTGTCGTCCGAGTGGAGCGACGGGGTGTGCGCGGCGGCGTTCCGCCGCTTCTCCAGCGAGGACTCGCCCGACCGCAGGTGGATCATCTTCGACGGGCCGGTGGACGCCGTCTGGATCGAGAGCCTGAACACGGTGCTCGACGACAACAAGAAGCTCTGCCTGACGTCCGGCGAGGTGATGCGCATGAGCGACACCATGTCCATGATCTTCGAGACGATGGACCTGATGCACGCGTCGCCGGCCACCGTCTCCCGCTGCGGTATGATCTACATGGAGCCGCGCTCACTCGGCTGGCAGCCCCTCCTCGAGTCCTGGCTCGTCCGCTTGAATCCTGCGTGGTGCAACGCGATGGTCGGCGAACTCTTCCTCTGGCTGATGCAGCCGTGCTTGAACTTCATACGCGGAGAGTGCCGGCTGACCGTGAACGCCGGTGAGATTCACCGTGCGGTGTCGACCATGTCGTTCTTCGAGCTGCTCATCGAGGACGCCGTGGAGGAGAGTCCCGGTGCGTTCGAGCAGAACCTGCAGGCCTGGTTCCAAGCCGCCATGATCGTCTCCATGGTGTGGGGCGCAGCCGGCACGCTGGACTGGGAATCGCGGGCCAAGTTCGACGTGTTTTACCGCAACCTCTGGAAAAACGAGCATCCGGACTTCCCGACGCCCGAGTGCGTGACCGCCGACCCGATCTCCCTGCCGGGCGATGAGCCGATTCACGACCAGTACTACCACTTCCGGGGCAGAGGCGCCTGGCGACGGTACACCGAGGCCGCGAAGACGCAGCAGTTCTCGGAGACGGAGAGCATCGCGCGCACCATCATTCCCACCGGCGAGACGGTGAAGTACCAGAGCGTGATGACGATGCACATCAGGCGGCACCGGTGCTTCCTGCTCTACGGCGACACCGGCACCGGCAAGAGCATCTACGTGAAGGACCTGTTGACCAACAGGCTGGACGAGACCAAGTACCTGCCGAACCTGATCACCTTCTCGCCGAGGATCACCGCGGCGCAGACGCAGGAGCTGGTGCTGGTGAGGCTGCTCAAGCGACGGGGAGGGACTCAGTACGGGCCTCCGCACGGCACGCACTGCATCGTCTTCGTCGACGAGGTTAACGCGCCGACGAAGGAGATATACGGGGCGCAGCCGCCGATCGAGTTGCTGCGCCAGTTCCTCGATCACGGGGTCTGGTTCGACCTGAAGAAGCCAGATCCCCTCGTCGTGCTGAACACGATGTTCGTGTGCGCGATGGCGCCGCCCGGGGGCAGGAGGCACGAGATATACCAGCGCTTCCTGCGCCACTTCAACGTGTTCACCATATGCGACTTCACGCGCGACACCCTCTTCCGGATCTTCACGAACCTGGCGTTCGTCGGGCTGAAGCAGCACGGCTTTACCGCCGGGGTGATGCCGCTCGTCAACGACCTGGTGAACGCCACTACGCGCGTCTACAGGGACGCGATCACGTATCTACGGCCGACGCCGCTGAAGCCGCACTACCTCTTTAATCTGCGCGACTTTGCGCGCGTCATCACCGGCTGCGCCCTGCTGAAGAAGGAGTCCGCGGACACCGGCAAGAGCGTCTTCTGCAGGCTGTGGGTGCACGAGGTGCTGAGGGTGTTCGGTGATCGGCTGGTCGATCAACCGGACCGGCGCTGGCTCTGCCAGGAGATCAGGGCGACCGTGGAGATCGTGCTGAAGGAGCGCTTCGACGCGTTGCTCGGCCACCTGCCCAGGTACAACGACCAGATCACGGAGGAGAGCCTCAACGACCTGATCATGGCCAACTTCATGGACCCGGAGGTGTCGGTGGAGTTCCGGCTTTACGAGGAGATACCGTCGCTGGAGGAATGCCAACGAGTGGCCCTCCTGTTCCTGCAGGAGTACAACGACACCCACCGCGACAAGATCGACATCACCCTGTTCCGCTACGCACTCCAGCACCTCGCCAGGATCTGCCGGGTGCTCTCCATCCCGTGCGGCAGCCTGCTGATGATCGGCACCGGAGGCTCAGGCAGGCAGAGTCTGACGAGGCTCGCCTCCGCCATCGCGGGCTACGGCCTCCGTCAGCCGGAAATCACCGGCATGTACGGCCTGCAGGAGTGGCGAGAGGACGTGAAGTGGGCGCTGAAGAATTCGGGCGGAGTCGGCAAGGACCTGGTGTTCCTGCTGGCCGAGGAGCAGATACGCGACGACGCGTTCCTCGACGACGTGGACAGCCTGCTGAACGACGGCGAGGTGCCGAACATCTTTAACGTCGAGGAGCGCCAAGAGATCGTCGAGATGACGCGGCTCGCCGCCCAAGGTGGCGACCGCAACCTGGATATCTCCGTGTTGAGCGTGCTGGCCTTCTTCGTCGCCAGGTGCCGAGAGAAGCTGCACATCATGCTCTGCCTCAGCCCGATCGGCGACGCCTTTCGGATCCGCGTGCGGATGCATCCCGGCCTGGTGAATTGCTGCACCATCGACTGGTTTGACGCCTGGCCGGAGGACGCGCTCGAACAGGTGGCGAGGCGCACCCTCGTCGACCTCGAGCTCGCCGAGAACGTCAAGGACGAGTCTGTGGCGGCCTGCAAGTTCTTCCACAGCTGCACCAAGGACGTGAGCGCCAGGTTCTACGAGCTCACCGGCAAGAAGACCTACGTCACCACCGCCTCGTTCCTCGACCTCATGCGCATGTTCGCCGACTTGACGACGGAGAAACGACGGGAGATTGCTCAGACTAGGTGATGTGGCTTTGGGGATACTTAGGAAGAAACGCTTTTCTCCATTTTTTGGCGGATTTTCTACGTTTTTTCTTTTTTTTACCAAAAGCAGATAAAATTCGTTTTTGGGAAAACACTCGCGTGCGTTCGATTAAAATCTGCCACATTTACTTCTTTCCGTTGCGAAAATAATTGCGTGCACTTAATTGAAGTTAAATGAAGTTAATATATTATATGGTAAGCAATAACATATTTCAAGGAATTACAATTGAATATATTATGGTCAAATATGTAATATATAATATATAATAATAAAATATAATATGTTATTATACACACACACACACATACATACATACACACACATATAGTGCGCACAATTTTTTAAAATCCGTCAATGTATTACAGATTAGAAAGTTCTGAAAGAAACGCATTATTCGAAAGAAAGTTTCAGATAAAAGTTGTAAGATTTCGTGCGAAATATAAAATGGTAATATTATTACATTATTAAACTATTTTTTTAATTATTTTTTCCAAGTTAATTTTAATTTTTTTTAATGGAACCACATGATTTTTTTAACATAAATTGACTCCTCTAGTTGTTCTATATATGAAAATACCACCACCTTAAAATCGTCAAAAAGAATATTTTTATACTTTTCGAGATATTTTACATTTTATCCTGATACTTTTTAGTTCAAGACATGAAATATCTCGTAAATTATTCAATTTTCAAAAATCTTATCTTATCTCACCCAAAAAAAACAACTTTTCGCAAAAACCGTTTTTTCTTTGTTTTTTTCAACAATTAAAAAATCGTCTTTTTTTAAATCATACCAAATGACCATCCACGACACAATGCGATATTTCCAGGATTGGGGGAGTCGATTTTTAAAAGCATTTCGTTACTATCTCTCATTCGTAACCTGTCAAAAAACATAATTCTTCTCTCTTCAAATTCTTCTCATCTCTCTCACAGAGAGCGGTATATCAACGGCTTGGACAAGCTGGAATTTGCGGCCGAGCAGATCGCTCAGATGCGCATCACGCTAACGGAACTGAGACCGCAGCTCGAAGCGTCCGCGAAGGAAACGGCGGAGACTATGCGGCAGATCGAGAAGGAGGACGCGAGTGTGAAGCAAGCGACGATCTTAGTGAAGAAAGACGAGAATGTGGCCAAAGTGCAAGCTGAAATCGCCATGCAGCTGAAGGAGGAATGCGAGGCAGACCTGGCCGAGGCTCTGCCGGCTTTGGCCGAGGCCATAGGTATCGTCACCTCATCTCCATCCGTGTATTTCATTTCCTTGTTTTATCCGTCTCCCTTTTCTCACCGTTTCCTTTCTTTTTCATCCTCGAGGATCCCATCATTCTTAGATCATCAGATTAAATTTTGCATCTCATTTACTGAAATAAAAAAATACTATATTCAAGTAAGTGTTTAAAGAATACTGGAGTAATTATTTTACATGAATTAAATAAATATTACTTGAATATACACTGAGAGGAAAAAATGCTAAATTCAAGTGATATTTACTTAATCCAAGTGAAATAATTGCTCTAATACTTCTCAGCAAATATTTACTTGAATCTAGAACTTTTTTTTTTCAATGTACTTTAAGAAGGATCCTATTATTATATTCCAACACCAACTAACACCAACTAACAGTAACATCACAACAATGTTATAATTTCTCACTTAACCGTTATATACAACGCGTGTTATATTGTTGAGTGGGAAATAATAACGTTGATTTAATATTATTATTAACTGTTATTTACTGGGATTTGAGAGTAACAGAGCTATGAGAGGATATTTGTTTCTTCGCTTGTGCACGGCGCGTCATTTCTTTACTTTTAGCAAAATATGTTGCGGTACGTAATATAATTGTAATTAAGAATTATTCTGTAAATCACAGCCGCGCTCGACACGTTGAAGCCGGCGGACATCGCCGTGGTGAAGACCATGAAGAGCCCTCCGGAGGTCATTAAGCTGGTCATGGCGGCCGTGTGCGTGATGCTGAACGTACCGCCGGTGAGGAAGGACATTCCAGCCACCGGCGTTAAGGTTCTGGATTATTGGACGCCCAGCAAGCGCATACTTGGTGATATGAAGTTCCTGGAGAGCCTGCGGCAGTATGACAAAGACAACATCCCGGAAGCCATAATGCAGGTTGGACCGCATCTCGACTCACATCCGTGCGCTCGCACGGAAATATCGCTGTTATCGCCAGAAGAGCCCGCCGATTAACGAGATATCGCCTTTCGCCAGGAAATCAAGAGAACATACATGACGAACGTGAACTTCGACCCGAAGGTGGTGGCGCGCGCCTCTTCCGCCGCCGAGGGCCTCTGCAAGTGGGTGCGCGCGATGGTCTTGTACGACGGCGTAGCGAAGATAGTCGCGCCGAAGAAGGCCAAGCTCGCCGCCTCGGAGCGCGACCTGAAGAACACCCTCGCGTTTCTGGAGGAGAGGCGGCTGATGTTAGCAGAGTTGAACGAGAGGCTGAAGGTGCTGCGCGAGAAACTGAACGAGACCCTAACGCGGAAGATCCGTCTCGAGGACGAGGTCGGTGGCATTTTGCGATCACGTGATATCTTTTCCTTGCCACAGACATCTTGAATATATATAAATACGAGGATTGCTATTTATATTTCTGGCCTAATAATGAAAAAACAAATATTTATGATCGAAATTGGTTTTATTGTTTTTCAAAATATTCTCCACGATGACAAATACACTTTTGCATGCATTTGAACCAATTTTCGAAGCACTTTTTCCACTCCGATTGAGGTAACTGCAAAACATACGTTTTGAATGCATCAACCGCTTCTACGGATGTCGAAAATCGTTGACCACGTAATTTATTTTTGATGTGCGGGAACAAAAAAAGTCATTGGGTGCCAAATCAGGGCTGCACGGCGGATGACCCATCAATTCGATGTTTTGGCCGGTCAAAAATTCTTTTGTTTGACCCGATGTGTGAGAGCTCGCATTGTCATGATGAAGAATGATTCGCCTCTTCTTCTGCTTTTCTCGAATTTCTCCGATGACTTCTGGCAAACGAATGGTCGTGTACCATTCAGAATTGACCGTTCTACGGTGCTCTAACGCCACTGTCGCCACGTGATCGGTAATGCCGAAGAAACAGGCAACCATTTGCTTCGATGTGCTTCTTCCGCAAACAACTTTTGTTGGATTTGACTCGTCTTGGAAGACCCATACAGTCGATTGCTGTTTTGTTTCGGGCTCATATGCATAGATCCATGATTCGTCACCTGTGTAGACGTTATACACAGCCTTTGATGCACCTTGAACGTATTTTTTCAACATTTCCTTGCACCAATCAACACGAGTTTTCTTTTGAGCGTTTGTCAGATTATGCGGGATCCAACGAGAATAAATTTTTTTTACGGACAAATGTTCATGCAATATCTTATTGATGCTTGTCATACTAATGCCCAAAGATGCCTCAATCGCACGGTATGTCACATGACGATCTTGCTTTATCAGTTCACGCACAGCATCGATATTTTCTGGCACAACAACCGATTCTGGACGACCTTCATGGAATTCGTCCTGGAGCGAACGTCGGCCACGATCGAATTCGATATACCAGTTTTTTACAGTGCTGTGGGATGGTGCTTTCTCGCTGTATAAAGAATTAAGTTCATCGATGCACTCTTGTCTTGATAATCCACGTCGAAAGTTATGAAAAATTATCGCACGAAAATGTTCACGAGTTAATTCCATTTTTTGCCCGACATGAATTTTTCAATTCACTGTAAACAACACAAACCGTGCTCAAATGACAATGTGTTCTTATGTTCTTATGTTCAACAATGTCAAGTTTCCAATGACAACGTCAGATGGCGCCTGGCAACACTTACTGCTACCAAGGCCAGAAATATAAATAGCTACCTACGTATAAATAAATATATAATCTACTATGTATGGACAATTTTTCCCGGGTCGATACAGGTGACGAACTGCAGAAACAAACTAATCCGCGCGGAGAAGCTGATCAGCGGTCTGGGAGGCGAGCGGGACCGCTGGACCGCAGCCGCCGAGATGCTCTGGGCGGCCTACGAGGCGCTGCCCGGCGACATCCTGATATCCTGCGGTGTGATCGCTTACCTGGGACCCTACACGGCCAGCTATCGCACCGAGAGCCTTGACAAGTGGACGAAGTACGTGGCGAAGTCCGTGATACCTTGCTCGCGGGAATACAACTTCGTCGCGATTTTGGGCACCGAGGTGAAGATCAACTCGTGGAACTTATTCGGCCTGCCTCGCGACTCCTTCTCCATCGAGAACGCCATAATCATGGACAACTCGAAGCGCTGGAGCCTGTTCGTCGATCCGCAAGGTCAGACGAACAAGTGGATCCGCAACATGGAGAAGATGAATGACCTCCGGGTGGTCAAGTTGACCGATCGCAACTATATGAACGTCGTCGAGCGCTCGATCGAACAAGGTGATTATTAAATAATGCTTATCGATGAATTGTTTCAATTGAATTCATAATTAATTGCTTCGATGATTATCGCACAGGTAAGCCGGTACTGATCGAGAACATCATGGAGGAATTGGACGCGGCCCTGGACCCGATACTGATGCGGCGGATATACAAGTCCGGCGGCTTCTGGTACATCACCCTCGGCGAGAGAAACATCGACTACAATCCGCGCTTCCGGCTGTACATGACGACCAAGCTGCGCAATCCGCACTACTCGCCGGAGGTGTTCAACAAGGTGACGCTCATCAGCAGCGCCTTGACGCTGGAGGCGTTGGACGATCAGCTGCTGGGCATAGTGGTCGCGAAGGAGCGGCCGGATCTGCAGGAGAAGCGCGAGTACCTGATCGTGCAAAACGCCCTGAACGTGAAAGCGCTGAAGGAGGTGGAGGACAACATCCTGCGGATACTGTCGGTCGCCGGTGCCGGCATCCTCGAGGACGAGGAGGCCATCGGGATCTTGGACTCGTCGAAGATCCTGTCGAGCGACATCGAGAAGAAGCAGGTGGCGGCGAAGAAGACGGCGATGCAGATCGACATGTTCCGCCAGAGCTACCGGCCGATCGCCAAATACAGCGCGGCGCTCTATTACACCATCACCGACTTGCCCAACATCGACCCGATGTACCAGTACTCGTTGACGTGGTTCATCAACCTGTACGTAGGCTCGATCGAAACAGCCAGTAAGAGCAAGGACCTCGAACGCCGACTCGGCTTCCTGCGCAGCGCGTTCACTTACAATCTCTATCAGAACGTGTGCAGGTCGCTGTTCGAGAAGGACAAGGTAAGCAGTAGCTACCCGGTAAGCGAGAAGCGTTGAATCAATCTTTTGATCCTTCGATCCACAGATCCTGTACTCGTTTATTCTGTACACAACGATCCTGCTGGCGTCGGGCGGTATCACCGAGGACGAGATGTCATTTCTCATTACCGGCGGCTTCGCTGTGGGAGAGCCGACCGTGAAGAATCCCGCCGCCGAATGGCTGCCCGAAAAATCCTGGAGTGAGATATCCAGGATCGTCAGCGCTTCGCCGGCTTTCATGGGCTTTATGCGAAGTTTCCGGGACGATTTGCCGTCCTGGAAGAAGTTCTACGATCTCTTGGACCCGGTGGACGCGTCTTTGCCGCAACCTTGGGAAACGAGGCTGACGCCTTTCCAGAAGTTGATCGTCGCGAGAGTGATAAGACCGGATATCGTGCCGATAAAGGTACCGTGACCGATAACATCGCCGTGATAATGAGAACGATTCTCTCGGGAATTATCCTTAGCGACCGGTGAATGTCTTAAGGTCGATTCGCGCTTTGCTTCCTCTTCGCGTTGAGGCACAACAGCTCGGTTAATTGAGTATTGATTATTATTAATTTAATAATGTCACGTTATTGGAGAAACAAAACGGTTACTTTATTTATTTAGAAGAATTAAAGAATTTAGAATCGTTCCCAGAGCAAGTAAGAAACATTAAATCGATCTTTTAAGACATTGATTTTGTGTGGGTTTTATAAACATCTTGACGTAATATTTTATAAGCGTCTTTAAATTGCTACTTTATAATTCCTAAATATTAAAATCATGGTGTGAAAAATATTACTTTTAACATTTCACTCAAATATTATTACGTTATATTATACGACACTAAGAACAACATATTTGAAAACGTTATACGTTATAAGAAATCTGCAAATAATGTTGCGTTAATAACTTTTCGCTTACTGAGTTCTCATTGTTGTTAAACGTTGAGATACTCGGCCAACGTCCGATATTTATTTCGATTATACTTAACCGATTCTCAATTTATCTCCCGGCTTTTACTTAATTTTCAACTTTGACTCAATTTTCTTTCATTTTCAGTTTTCGCTTCGGCGATATTAATTTTTCTCAGTACTCACTTGGACTTAAAAACCTTTCAAATCCGGTTCATTTCGTACTTTGAATCGCTCCTCTCTTTTTACCGTGGCGTTTCGAGATAATCGTGAATGTTGGAGAAATTAATTCGTCGGCTCGTTCGACAGATCCAGCGCTTCGTGGAGGCCGGGATGGGTCTGAAGTTCGTAGTGCCTCCGCCCTTCGACCTCGCCAAATCGTATGCCGAGTCGAATTGCTTGACGCCTCTGGTGTTCATCTTATCGGCCGGATCCGATCCCATGGGCGCATTGACGAAATTCGTCGAGAGCATGAACTACATGGACCGTTTCGAGTCGATCTCGCTGGGCCAGGGTCAAGGGCCTATCGCGCAGAGAATGATCGAGCGAGCGCAGGGGGACGGTTCCTGGGTCTGTCTGCAAAACTGCCACCTGGCCGCCTCCTGGATGCCCGTCCTGGAGAAGATCTACGAGTGCCTCGACCACGTCAACACCGAGCAGAACTTCCGCCTGTGGCTGACCAGTTACCCGTCGGACAAGTTCCCCGTCAGCGTCCTGCAGAACGGCGTCAAGATGACCAACGAGCCGCCGATGGGTCTGCAAAACAACATTCTGAGGTGACGAGCGCGAAAAAAAAATAACAGCTTGCGCCGGAATGGTCGGGACACTTTCAGTCTCGCGGTAATCTCCGCGAATTTGTCCGAGAAAATTCAGTGAAATCAGACAGGAATTGTTTTTATTAAGTAAAAAAGTGCCCCGTGGGTTTGCACTTGCGAGATACCAATCGATGGAATCTCGTCGCTTCGCAGGTCGTTTACGACGGAAGGCACGAGAGAACTGGAGGCTTTGGAGGAGATGGCGGCGAAGAAGAAGACGTTCTTCAGGATGCTGTACGCTCTGTGCTTCTTCCACGCAGTGATCCAAGAACGACGGAATTACGGGCCTCAGGGCTGGAACATTCGATACGGTTCGTAACTCGCAACTCTCCTCGCTGCGTATCGACGACGTCTTCTCCTCCTCCTCCCTCTCAGACTTCAACGAGTCCGACCTGCAAATATCCGCGATGCAATTGGAACTATGCGTCGCGAAATACGAGAAGATGCCGTTCGACGCGATCATGTATCTTACCGGCGAGTGCAATTACGGCGGTAGAGTGACGGACGACCGAGATCGCAGGTGTCTCAACACCATCCTGAAAGACTTCTACAACCCGGACGTGATCGTCAACCCGAACTATTCGTTCGCTCCGGACGTCGGCCCCGAGTACACCGTGCCGAAAAGGTATTTGCTCGATTTTCATCGAAAATATTTCGTCGGTTTACACATTAAATTTTCACTCGACTAATTGTTTATTAGTTATTATCATTTAATCAATTATCATTTAATCAATTACACACATATATATATAATAATTAAATAACTGATTATAAATGATAATTCATTTATACATCAATTTGATTATTGATTATAACAATAATAATTACTGATTAATAATTATTATAATGAATATATAATAATTGTGTATATATTAATATGTATGTAATAATAGTAATAATAACAGTATCTTTCTTTGATCAGTTATTATTAGTACTTTAATTTTATTGGTTGGATGAAAAAAAATACATATTAGTTAATTAGTTATTAATTCTTTTTAAGATATAATTAACAACAGAGCTAGGAAAAAGCATATCTCCCGTTAACATTTTGCTTCAGTTTGTTCAGCAATCGATGCCATTTTCAACAGATTTTCAATAGATCCCGCTTTATAGATGAAAAAAATAAGCAAGAGTGAGTGTGGATGTTTATATAATAATAAACAGATAGCGTAAAATCGCAGGCACACTCACGAGGATTATATGAGGCAGATACAATCGATCCCGCTGAATCCGTCGCCAGAGGTGTTCGGCCTCCACATGAACGCCGGTATAAATCGCAATCTCGGCCTCACGGCTGACCTGTTCGATTCCATGGCGCGGATACAGGGCGGCGTGGTCACGGGCGACGCCATGAGGCAGGACGAGATCCTGCTGAACATGAAACGGGACATTTACGAGAGAATGCCGAATCTGTTCGACATCGAGGAGGCGCAGAGGCGCTTCCCGATCGAGTACATGGAATCGATGAACACGGTGTTGGTGCAGGAGGTCGAGAGGTACAACGATCTCTTGGCGGAGATCCGGAGCAGCCTGTCAATGTTGGAGAAGGCGGTGAAGGGACTGGTGGTGATGACGCCGTTGTTAGAAGTACGTTCGAGCTCGACACCGCGATATAAAATTATAATATTAATGTAATACATTAATATATAATATTAATATGAAATTTTAATGTAATATATTAATATATAATATTAATATATAATATTATGTATTATATTAATATATAATATTATATAATATTAACGTATTAAGTAGACATTATATATTATAGATAATTGTTATAATATATATAAATATCAATAGAATTTATTAATCAGTGTGATAAATAAGAACTGTGCGAGCAAAGTGAGTACGAATCCTACTTATTTATTTATTTATCTATTTATATTTCTTCTCTCTATTTTTTAAATTAATGATATCCTCAAATATGAGTTATAACTTTTTTTCCAAATTTTAAGCGATTAAAGGTAAAGAAGTTTTGGGGAATTTTATTGCTATAGAGAGAGAGAGAGAGAGAGAGAGAGAGAGAGAGAGACAGAAGGATTGTGAAACCTTATGTTTTATTAAATTTCAAACGAACCTTGTTCGCACACATATATACACATATATATATACACACGCACAGATACGTGATAAGTAAATAAACATACGAACAAATATCAAAACGAATAACAGGAAGTAGCGAACAGCATGCTCATCGCAAAAATCCCGCCGAGTTGGGCAAGAGCAAGCGCCTACCCGAGTCTGAAGCGCCTGCCGAGTTTCGTGGAGGATTTCCTGAAGCGAATCGAATTCCTGCAGCATTGGCTGGACCACGGGAAGCCGCAGACGTTCTGGATATCCGGATTCTCGTTCGCGCACGCCTTTCTAACGGCGATCACGCAGAATTACGCCAGGAAGTACAAGATACCGATCGATAAGATTACCTTCGATTACGAGGTGCGACGATATCAGTTTATATCGTATTTTAGACATCTTCTTTTAGATGTCTTTAAGATATATTTTAGACATCTGTGCTATTTAAGCTTTATCCATTTAATGAGCACATCAACATTCCCCAGGTGCTTCCGATTTATGAGTCCAGCGTGTCGCCCGTCGACGGAGCTTTCGTTTACGGGACATTCTTGGCCGGAGCTCGATGGGACATACCGTCAATGTTGCTGGCCGAAAGTTACCCGAAGATACTGTGGGACCCGATGCCGATGGTGTGGTTTAAACCGTGTGAAATAGCATCTCTTACAGTCGGCGACCGATACGAGTGTCCATTGTACATCACATCGGCGCGTTTCGGCGTGCTGAAAACCACCGGCCACTCCTCGAATTACGTGCTGTCGATATTTCTAGACACGGATCGTCCTGTGAGCCATTGGATCAAGAGGGGATTGGCTTTATTGTGTCAATTGGACGATTGAGACTTCACGTTAACGCATTTGATATATTCATGGCATTTGCGTTGCAACAATTGTCCTTATCCGACTCGTAATATTTAATTAGTCTTTAAGGAATTTTTTCTAGTAATAAATGGTGCATGAATATCGTAGAAAATTTTCTTCTCATCTTGTTCCCCCTCTTTAAAATATATTTTTAACTTTTCGAAATTCTTTTATTTCTTTTTATTACTATTTCTTTTTTATAAAGTGATGAAGTCCAGTTGCTAATTTCGTATAGATAAGGTGCATACAAATATAGTTTATATCTTTGCGAAAGTTGCAGCCTGTTGAATTTCGCTTGTTTTATTATAATGGAAAGTACGCCTGACCAGCCCTTGAGTCATATTACTTGAGAAATAGAAAGTACGTCCGGCTCCATCGTTTAGTCGTATCACGACCTCATTTTTTTTATTCAAAATAAAGTGGTGTACAAAGTGTACTGAGTCTAAGGGTTTACCCTATCTGACCCGGTGATAATACAAATATTTTTTGGTGATATCTTAGTTTGCGTAGACACTTAGCTTGCATATATTACTTATATCAAAGTATGAAAAACATTGGGTGCGATTGTCCGAATGTTTTATAAAATTTTACAAAGTTTTTCTTAAGTATACTTAATGATAGAACGCTGTACATAGTGTGTCGTTTTAAAAGCTAAATCGAGTGTTGTTTTATAATAGGAGGAAAATTTACATAATAGTTTAACGAACGGAACGTATTCAATGTTGGATAATCAGAACTAAAACTACATCTGGATCTGAGCGTCAGTTTGTACATGATGTACTCGTTTATATACATTTGAGTATGTTTGAATGCGATAACATGGAGTAACTTAAACTAAAAGGCTACAAGCTAGGTATATATAATAAAGTAGAGCGTCGATGTAACATTCTATAGAGCGTGGTATGTTTTTAACAAAGTCAGCAACAGTCTCGTAAATTTTTGGGTTTTTAAACGCAAGTAAGATTTGCACTGGACAGGGTAAAGAAAAAAACAGAGGAATACCCATAGAGATATAAGAATAGAGGGAACAAGGGATATATGCTACCTGTAAGTGGAAGTGATAGAGGTCAAGAGAGAGATGGATGCCGAGTGTTCTATCTGTCTCTTTCTAGTCGAGCGCTGTGATTGGTTGTTACAATGAGCTACCAAGCGACCACGCGACATCAGGAGGGGAGAAAGCAGACTAAAATTTCGTTTTATAAATATGCGTGTACATGTGTGTAGAATTAAAATTCGTTAAATATTCGAACGTTAACAAAATAATAATTGGACGCGATTTGTTTAAGAATGAGGCATTGTTTGAAATGCAAGGCAGAGTCTTATCCTGGATGTAACCGCAGTTTTCACTTGTAAGAAAGTACAAATACGTAACCTCAAATAATTATATGTTATTTTTTCCTACATTAAAAAAAATATGTAAATGTTGTAGGCTACCGAAGGATGTAGATATAAGGCGTAAATGGTTGAATATACTTCAACTACCTTTGTATTTTGAAGTGAAAACAGCATATATTTGCAGTGATCATTTTAGCAATGACAGTTTCTTTGAATTGGATGGAGAAAAATGTATAGCTATATCGTTGTTGGTGCGGCAGTCAATTCCAGCGCGTGACTAGAAAGAGACAGATAGGATCCTCGGCATCCATCTCTCTCTTTGCCTCTATGACTTCCACTTACAGGCTTGTTCCCTCTATTCTTATATCTCTATGGGAATACTCCATATCACGATCTCAGTTTCTCGTTAAGTATAGTGGCGACTCGTAGCGGAGACTCTGGAACTAATTACAGAAATAACGGGCCTAATAATTCTGTAAACCCGTTATTTCTGTAATTTAGTTGCAAAGTCTCCGCTACGAGTCGCTATCATACTTGATGAGAAATTAAGTGATATGACTAAACGATGGGGCCGGACTTATTTTCCATTTCTTAAGTAGTATGACTCAAGGGCTGATCAGGCGTACTTTCCATTATACGGAAACATAGGCAAAATTCAACAGGCTGTAATTTTCGCAATAATGATGTTATCGAGATCGTTCAGGAAGCATTTTAAAGCTTGAAGTCTCTACCTTTTAATCATATTAACTATATTAATGTTGTCGTTGTTTTTCGTCAAGATATTTCAAGTTAAACGAAAAATGGCGACCGCTCCATTTCAAACTTTGTCTTTCAGTTGAGTTTTCAGAGCGAAAAATTATTTGATTTGAAAATGTAATGCATGCGTTTTAAAGAGAAAACTTTAAACTTTTTATTCATTTGTTAACAAATGTCGTGCAATGATTCATCTACCCTCTATAAACGATCAAAGCCAAAAGGACCGTTTTCCATTCAACATCGAAGAACCCGCACTGGAATCTGCATATACTTAAAATAAAGGGAATAGTTTGCACTTTCAATAGCTATAAACTATATTCATATGCAATTTTTAATTTACGCGGAAAAATCTAATAAACTTCATGAAAAATGTTTATACCTGACGGATCTTTATTTGTGTACGTGTAACGCTGAAAGAAATAGATTGGCTTTATATTCGAAAATATTTCTATGAACCAGAGACTTTAAGCTATGAAATATTTTCTGAATTATGTCATTGACATTTGTCAAAGTTAGAGCAAAGTTGAATTTGTCGACAATCTGTTATTTTCGTTTAATAGAATTCAGAAGCAAGTCAAGAGGACTTTCTATTCTTAGTTAATATGACTAAATAAATATTTAACAGGCCTATTTCTTCAGTTAGGGTCATCTTTATTTTGAAGCACTACTACAACGCACAACAAGCAGAGGAATATTTGTTTTCAAACAATATGCTGCTCGCGAGAGTGCGCGGGGATAGGAGGAGATATATACGCTTGCTGTTTCCTTTTTTTCCTGTGTTGTCAGTAGGAAATGTCACTGGGAATCAGAGACGGATCGTTGGAATGTCGGAGCTCTTGTAAACGTTCCGCCGATCACGTGAAGTCACTTTTAGGATGAGAAACAACGTGAGATAGTGTTGGTTTCGCGGTCGGCCGTTGGAATTGGAAAGTGTGAATAACCTCAGTAACCTAAGACCTAAAACGCCGATTGTTAAAAGAAAGTCAAGGAGTAACGTCGGCAGTGCGATGAGCTCCAGTGATCTAAAGAGCTGGCCAATTTTCAGGCTTCTGGAGCCGGAATTCGTGGCGCAAATTCATATGGCTGTAGTATACGGTAATCTGTTTTTTTCCTCTACTTTGTATAATACATAAATAAATGTAAAATATGTTTCGACTCATATATCTTCACGTATATATATGTATGTGTTATATATTCTTCTGGTCATTTGAGCTCTGTTTATAATGTGAATGTTGAAACAGGTACGATGGGTAATGAGGCTTTAATTATGACAAAAGACAAGATGGTATATGCTCTGGGTAGCAACACTTCTGGTTGTTTGGGTACTGGCGACATGCACAGCACACTGTATCCTAAAAAGATTGAAGCCTTATGTGAGAAGGGTATAAAGACTTTCGCCTATGGTAGTGGACCTCATGTATTGGCACTCGCAGACAGTGGTGAGGTATGCTGGTAAAACTGATTAACTGATGTCATTATAAATACAACAGTAACTCCATGGAATCCCTCTTGTATGACTGAGATGTACAGTTGAAGCTATGTTGGTAAAAAAATTTCAAGTTGAGAATACACGCATTTATTGGTGATTTTCTAGAAAATCGAATCTGTTAAAATATTCCATTGCTGAAATTAGTTTTACAGAATCAAATTGTACAGAGGGTTCATTTGGTTCTCTCACATTTATATTTATTTATATTATTTACATTTATATTTTACTTATGCATTTTTGCTCCAACATGACCGGTGACCCCATCGAAGCACAGTTCATCAAAGTTTCATTGTAATATTTTTATAAAGCATGTGAAATCACAAGATCGAAAACCACACATTGTCCTCCACAGGTGTACTCCTGGGGTCACAATGGATTCTGTGAACTAGGAAATGGCTCGACCAATCAAGGCCTCACACCGACACCGGTGAACATAAACTTGAACGGGAAGCACATCGTGGATATCGCGTGCGGCAATCATCATTCTCTCGCTCTTACCGAGGACGGCGAGGTAAGGTGACAATAACTGACAGCTGATTCGCAATTGTATCCTCGCTACGAGTTCTCGACGGCCGTTTAATTAGGTGTACGCTTGGGGCCAAAATAATTGCGGGCAAGTAGGTAGCGGTATCAGCACGAATCAGGGCTCGCCCAGGCTAGTGAACTCTAATTTGGCTGGGAAGAAGGTTATTTGCATCACATGCGGCCAGGCGTCCAGCATGGCGGTCACCGAGAACGGTGAGGTCTACGGCTGGGGCTACAACGGCGTCGGTCAACTGGGAATTGGCAATTATGTGAATCAGGTGAACCCAGTCAAGGTTCCAGGCTTGATGGGAGTCCGAATAGGTAATCACGCTCGTCACCTCGAAGCCTCCGAGAGTCATGGCTCACGGGCTCGCCGCCGTGCGAAGCGTCGAGTCTCCCGTTTATCGAAAGCCTTCAGTAGAATGGTTGACCTTTAAGACAATATTTTCTGCCCTCAATCTTTGTCTAAGTTATCACTTTTCTATTTATATCTTATTATACAACGGTTTGCCATCAGTCACAAATAGAATTTTTAATTTAAGATTGGTATTCATAGTCGGATCTTATATTTACGACTGTTTTAAGTTTATTTTCAGATGCTGTACAGCTCATTGGCTACGAAACAATCTGGAGATGAACTTAAGACGGTCTTAAACATAAGATTCGATTATGAATACCGGAGACCTAAGACACAAGACAATCATCGTGCGTTATTTCAAGACAAAGATTTAAAAGACATAAAACGTTGTCTTACTTGCACCGATAAGTCAGCCATTCTGCTAAAATCTTCTCTCTGAATCTCTCATGTCCGTTTCTGTAATCTTGATTTATATCTAATCGACGATTAACTCAAGAGAATCGACCTATTGAGCTAATTGACCAGTGTGATCGATCAACGTCGTCGAATTAATCAGCGAGCTAATCATCGATTAGATATAAGCCGACTGGATTAATCGATTAACGCCCGTCTCTACTATTATTATTTGAACAGCTGCGCTCGACGGAGGAAACAGCTTTGCAGAATGTTTGAAAAAATTCGTGAATATGATCGGTGTATGCTCTTAATTTCCGTTGAATCCAAGAGCATTTGGATTTCAAAACTGCTTTCTCTGCTGGACAATATAATCGATGATTAACTCAACAGTATTGACCAATTGCATCGGCCAATTAACTTCGATCGATCAATGCGATTGGACAATTCCGTTGGGTTGATCGTCGATTAGATTTAAATCTTGATGATAGAAACGAACGTCGCTCTTGCATTCCGCGAGCGGCAGTGTGTTCGCTTCGGGTAAAATCCTGAGAAATTCGGAGAAATAAAATATGCTCGCATCGCGACGATGTAACGAGATCAGCTTCCTTGAACGCAACGTTCGCGACACCGGTGCCACCCTGCACTCTGCAGTTCGTTCAATTCGAAGCTTGCGGTCGGCGGACGCTCCCCGAGGGAGGAGTGTCGCTCGCGTTCACGTCGCGATTACTCGCTTCGCGCTGCATGGACGAGACGTTAATTAATCTCGTGGCGTTGGCGAGCTGCCAAGCTTTCAAATCGAGTTGCGGTCTTCAGTGTCGGCGCACGAAGAACCGGGGAAACCCATCGCTTCCGGATCGCGCACGGGAACTCGGGAGCCGCAGCGCGGCCGCAACGGCATTCCCTCCCGGTCCTGCCGCTCATTAAGCCCGATGTGCGATGACTCTACGGCTCCGTCGTACATGCATTCCACACACACATACACACATCGTGCAAACAGCTCTGCCAAGTTCGGGCTTTTCCAGTGAAGGTGGTCTGCGGACACACCCACACGTTGGCGCTCACCGACGAGGGGATGCTCTATGTCTGGGGCGGCAACAGTTACGGCCAACTGGGCACCAATAACAAGACGAATGCCTGCAGCCCGGTCATGGTAAAGCGAGTTTCTTTCTTCTTCTCTCTCGGCGATCGCCCGAGTGATCGTCATCGTCATCATCATGAGTAGGGTTGCCACAGACCTGGAAAACCGGGAGAAGTCATGGAAATTTAAATTGGTCGGGGAAAAGTCGAGGAATGATATAAAAGAACCTGGAATTTTGAGCTTTGCTCACAATTATCTTGAATGATCTTGTTTTAAAGAGTAATTTAAAAAATTTTATATTTGATATTTTATAGTCAAATGCGTTTAAAACTCGCGCACTTTACAAGTCATTTCATTACATTTTACGTGCCGTGGCACATGGGAAAACGTAAGAAGTGAGGAAAGCGACCAGTCACAGTCGATTATTCTTCGACCATAAGGAAAATAATCGAGAGTGACTGGTCGATTTTATTCAATCGTCCTTTTCCCTCGTAACTGCATTCTTTTTATTCAATATTCATTTATTTCTTGTTCTAAATTTGCACTCAGGATTATATCATGTCGTCAAAGTTCATACTGCTTCTAATAATATAAGCTACCATCTTTGCAATCCCTGCCTCTAAACTTGCTTTTAAGTTAAATTTAAGATTGCATATTGGTCGTGAAACAATATCCGCTGTCGTTTGGAAAAATCGGCATAGTCGGGGAATTTCCAAGTTTATCTTCTGTGGCAATTCTGCGGGAAGAATGCGAGAGTTTCAACATCGTACTGCGATGATAATCGACAGCTGAATGTGCCCGAGATGGGGAGGGTATCGGACATCGCAGCTCTGCATTACAATCACATCAGCGCGGCCGTCGGTGACGGCGGGCGCGTCTTCATGTGGGGTCAATGCCGCGGCCAAAGCATCACGAGTCCGACCGTCACTCCGTTAGCGCACCTCCACGAAGTGCTGGCCTGTTACTCTTCCTCGAACGTCATGCATAAGCCACTGATCCTGTGCGCTGACGAGGAGCTGAATATATTGGATTGCATGAGACAGGCGTTCGATGATCCTGTATGTCGCATGGTTTTTCCCGCTCTTGTGTCCGCATTTGTTTCAGCTGCTTCGTTTTCGCGCGTTGGGTATTTGTTGTCGAGACAGGCAGGTTGAGAGGGAGAGAAGGTAAAGCCAGAGATGGGAAAGTGTAGCTGAAGCAAATCAGAGTCAGCGTGACTTCCACCGAACTCTGATCAGGCCGATCGATGAATAATGATAGGAAATCGGCGCCGATTTTTAGTTCCGTAACTTGTCGTTCAACAATGATCGAAAATTAGTGATTTCTATTTGTATTAACAAGATAAAGCGAATCGTATTTGGGAGGGAGATAGAGAAAGAGATTGATAGCAATTTTAATTGGTTAGATTAGAGTTTGGTAAAAGTCATCCTTAATGTAGTTCCTACGATGTATATATTTCTTCGTTTTAATTATATATTTATATCGACTATATATATATAGAATATCATAAATTAATTATCATAAGATATTTTAATAGCGGCTCTCGGGATTAAACAAACTCGAAGGTTCCCGCGAACGAGTTATACGAGAATAGAATTTTCACGGCATTCTCTCGTACAAGAATCGTTAGTTCTAATCAACGCACGCGGGCGTGATAAGATAATCCAACGCTATTAAGATATTTTACGATAGTTGCAGAACGCCTTATGTACTCACTAAAAAACGTATGCATTTCGACACAGTTGACCAGCGATCTCATGGTACACGTGGAGGGGAAAACTATTCACGTTCACAAAGCAATCCTGAAGATCCGCTCTCAATATTTCAGGACTATGTTACAGGATCCTTGGTTGGAAAATAGTCAGAGGTAGGCGTTCAGTTGATGAGACGCGTTATTCGCAGGCTCGAGTGTGTGTTAACGATTGTCTTCTTCTTCTTTTCGCAGCGTGATCGAGCACGATACTTTCTCGTACATCGTCTACAAGGCTTACCTGAACTACCTGTACACCGGCGACGTCGACCTACCGCCGGAGAATGCATTAGGTGAGCTTAAGTCAATGTCACGGTGCCATCGTGGTCATTGCTCGCGCACGATCGACGCAGCGCCAGTGTGACCTCTTGTTGTTGCAGAGCTCCTGAATTTAGCTAACTTGTACATCGAAAAATCGCTCATGCGACGTTGCATTCAGATGATAAAGCATGGGATCACCGTGTTGAACGTCGCCTCCCTCTATAGCACGGCAATCGAGTATAACGCGAAAGTAAATATATATAATTTCTATATAAATATTTGCATATTATATATATATATTCTTTTATATACGGGATGATGCGACAACTATTATCATCTTGAATATCTTTGAGAAGTAAAAGTACTCGACTGACGACCAGATGAAGACGGCCAAAATTTACAATTATAGAAGATGTCTTTTCGAAGTCGAATTAATAATAATAATAATAATAATAATAATAATAATAATAATAATAATCTTTATACGGGTGGGAGATCTATATTAAGTGACAGACAATTTGTTGGATCCGGTGGATCGAAATAAGGAAACAGTTCAAATACATGAAAAGATAAATAGAACAAATAAAAATAGCGTGAGTAATTTTAAGGCAATTGCAATTGTCAAATCCCCGTCGAATTCTTCTCTTTTCCTGCTCTCATATTTCGAAGATATTCAAGGTGGTATAATAGTTGTTGTTTCACCTTATATAATACATATCTTTCCTCTTCTCTTACTCGACTCGCGAGGGATCAACTCCGATGACTCACGCCGGATCGAGTGTACCTATTCGAGTAAACGGGCCCGCACAGCGTGCTCTACACGTCCGTAATGCCAGCACTGCTGATTTGCAGGAGCTGGAGGAGTTTTGCTTCAAGTTCGCGTTAAACCACATGACGGCTGTGACACAGACGGAGAACTTCGCCAGGTTGGACGAAAAAACGGTTAAGACCTTCATCTGCAAGGCCGCCCAGTCCGGCATTTTCAAGACGTAATTTGGTCCAGCTTAAGAAAGACGTCCACGGTGGTCACGGTAGCACGCGTTCGGACGAAAGGGAGCCTCGGTTCGTTTCGCCCGAACCTCCGCCGTTCCTTGTCGCACGCACACATGTGATTACATATTCGGTAGTCGATTAAGTCGAGGCGCACGTTAGTTAATCAGGAGGCGAAGTCGCCGATTTCTCTCGTGCATTTCCTTCCTTCCCCCCTCCCCCCGCCTCCGCATTTCGTCGTTAGCATTTCCCGCGCGAATGCCCGGCCACTTCGAGTGTTAGTCCGCGATAGCGCACAGTCGTCCGCGTGCGAACGAGCGCGCACGCGGACCATCCTCGCTCACCAATGCTCTCCGCTCGAAAAGAGGCTGCTCTCTACGAAACGAGATATCCTAGATTATTCTCTTTCATTAGATTTTACGAGATTCACTCTGTAGGTTTTACTCTATTTAGGCTTTACTTTCGCGTATCGACGATGGAGAAAAAAGAAATGAAAGGGAAAAAAGACGAGTTCGCCTCGATCGCCTCACAGTTGTGAGAAAGGCTCTCTTTTTTTTCCGCAAGGATTCATTACTCTACACGAAGCGTTGGCTACACATTATCTAAGGTATCTTTTTGGATAATACATAGTTGAGATAATATGTAGCAAGACAGCTATTTGGTGTAACGCGTACTGTTCCTTGCTGAAAACAGCCCAAGATTCAATCTCGCGTTGTACGCGAGATTAATCCGTCAATTCGAGAGCGATCGATCAAGCGCGACAACGAGTACTTTATCTTTCCGTCTATATCGTGTCATTCCTAAATGGTAGTTTAGTCATTTTTTTGGTATGTGCGTTTAGCTGCCCATGTGCCCGGCTCGCGAGAGGCCGGGGTCTTTCCACGATTCTTTTTTCCCACCGGACCGGCGTTCCCGCCCGCCCGCGGGGTTCGTGTCTATGTAGTACTCTTCACTATATACTTGTATGTTAATAAAGTTTTATATCATTGTTCGACAACGTAACATTGTCGTTAAACATTCTTACTCCCGGCGCTATTAATAGAGGGCGGAATAAATAAACTATAAATAAACGTTAGAAGAGAGTGAGAGAGAGATAGAGAAAGAGAGAGAGAGAGAGAGAGATGGGGAAGGGTCGATGAGAGGGAGAGAGTCTGCATTGCGTTCGTTCATACATCATTTTATTACGATATTCTCAATATATACAAGCGATAAATTTTGTCGATCGTATAATACGTACGTATCTACTGATTAATAATCATCATCATGAGATGTTTAATATACATACATATATACTTTGTGAAACACAGGAACGACCAACGTCGCTCCGCGACTCGGTGTGGATAAACTCCGATAAATCTGTACATATAACTTCTTTCCGCCCCGCGGTCCCTCCTCCACCACCATCTTCTCCTGCTCCTCCACTCCTCCTGCCCGGTTGTCGTCCGAGTCGCCGGAATGCCGTCGGTCCTTCTTATTTCAAACCGTATATAGAAGTATACAAGATATACATATACGGAGCGTCTCTATTTTACAGTGGCCAACCGCAAAACGTACACTCTGTGCACATATATACGTATCTTTTTTTTATTTTATTCATTTATTTAAATATATTTATATATGTATAAGTAATTATTATTAAATTAGGTAATCGGCCGAGAGTTCGCGATTCGCCGACCGGAAACCTCTCCTCACTTGTGTTCACACCGACCAGCGCGTGCAACGGCGAGCGCGTCGTCTCTCATTACGATGCGAATAAAAATCGTACACGCACACACATATTTTCATACACTCTCTCTCTCTCTCTCTTTTCCTCTCTTTCTCCCCCTCTCTCTCTCTCGCTTTCATGATCGAGAAAGAAGCTGCACACCATTATCGCTCGCGGTATTTCGATCGCCACGCGATACACTCGATATACCAACGGGATTCTACTCCCCCCGTATTCGTGATGATAACGCGGAGCGGACGATGAATTACACACGCAAATTCGCGCCGCCTCCGGCGAGCCGGAGGCTCGTCATTGTTCGAGTCCATCCAGACCGTCGCTCGTTCGACGTTATCGCGATGGATGCTGAGAGTACACATAGCACGAGCACACAACACGGATAGCAAATTTGGCTTCCACGAGGAACCAACTTGAAAAGAATTTCTCTCTCTATCTCTCCGTACGATCGAATCTGGGCGCGCGGTTGCACGCGCTCGCGCGTCGCCGATCGCTCTTCGACGCGTCGGGGCCGTCGAAGACGCAATCGGCTACCCCCGGGTTAGCTGGAACGGCTCACCGTCGATCTCCCTAGTTTCATTAGCGTAGTAGTCGTTTTCTCTTCTCCTCCTCTTCTTCTTCTTTTTTTTGAGTTTTTTTCCTTTTGGTTTTCTTTTGAATTAATTAGAGCGTATTTAGGCCTGCGGGCTACTTTTCTCCAGCGACGCGCTGTAGATCCCATCAACGACAAAAGTGAGACTTGCCCTCCTTCCCGTCTTCTTCTTTCTCTTCCTCTTTTTCCTCTTCTTCGTCTTCGACGTCTCTCGCACGCGCCAATCGAATATCATCCCTCGTTAGATAAACTCGTGAGGTGGCGAAATGAAAGAAAGAAAGAGAGAGAGAGAGAGAGAGAGAGATGGGCAACCTTAGCGATTTTACCGGTGTGTTATTTTTTCCTTTCGTTTTTTGTATAATCATGCGGCGTTCCTGCGCCCTTCGGTGAACGTCCGGTCCTCCCATCGCACGACAGCACAGCGACCCGTCCTTACCGACCAACAGAGCGTCGGCGAGCACCGACTTGGACAAATCGTAGTCCTCCTGCGCGATCTGCGCGCGATTTTCTCTTTCTCTTTTTTTTTTTTTGGTTTTTATACACTAACTTAACGTGTCGTCTGCGTAGAAACAAGTGTGGATTGTCCGTGCGGCGTTTACCCCGCCGCGTTTTCGCCTTTCCCACCTTTTTTCCCCTTTTTTGCATCTTTTTAATTTTCCTCCGTTTCGTCTGATTTTCCCGTATATTTATTTCTTTGTCCCCGTCGCTACGCAGGATCGTCGATCACGCACGGCTATAACGAGAGATTTACGGAGAGTTTACGGTGAAGCAGCGGTGGTTCTGCGGGAGGAAGGCTTACACGACACACATGTTCACACACACACACACACACATACATACACACAGCTGATAAACTCCGCGCTTATCTAGACGGATCGCTCGGCCGCTCTAACGCTACACTCCTCTCCGAGATAATCGCTATTTCGAGACTTCGCGCCAAAGTCGCGCCGCGCTTCCGTCTCTTTGTGTGCGCGGCTTTTCTCCTTTTTTTTTCTTTTATGTCGCGCCAATGGATCACCCGTTGTTGTTTACCGCGCCGTCGTGAAGAGAGGAGGGGGGAAAAAAGTCGCTCGACCATACCGTTTACGTAGATAACGCAGAAACGCGCGCACGTACACGTCGACACGTGTGATCAGGGATGGATCTCCCTTCCCCCGGAGGGAGAGAAGATGGAGGATGGAAGAGAAAAAGTTTTGGAAGTGCGAAGACCGAAGGAAGACCGATCTCTCTCGAGTTCCCTTCTGTGCACTCCCGTCTCCTCTCCGTGTTCTTTTGCTTTCTCCCCCTCCCCCCTCTTTTTACCGAAACTCGCTCGTCACGCCTCCGTCATTCCCCCTTCCTTCGACCTACCGGAACCGATACATCGTTACTTTTATTATCTCGCCGCTATTGGCTCCCTCCTAGTACCGTTAACGCTACTAGTTTATTCATTTATCGTTATAATTAGCGTTACCATTATCATTATTATCGTTATCTTTTTACCGTTATTGTTACAGTTATTGGTATTATTATCATATCATCATCATCATCACACCGTCACATCATTATCCTCGTTATCTTTTTTTGCCACTGTTAATCGTATCCGATAGCATAGCTGCGCACCGTCTGCTTCTTATCACTATTTGTATTATTATTCTTAATCTTATTATCATTATCGTTATTATTTTATTAGCGTGATTAGAGCGTCGCGTCCCTTAACGTATGGTCGCCGCGCCGTCGCGCACCGTTCGCAGGACAAAAAGGAGTAAAAATGACGCCTGTGTGTCGGATCAGGGCTCGGGTCAACGACCGAGTTATCGATATTTCGCGGAGGACCGGCGTATGTACCTCTCTCTCCCTCTCTCTCTCTCTCTCTCTTTCGCTTCTTTTTACTGTACACATAAAATCGCTGTACACGGAGTCTCGCGATTAACCCTAGAACGCCGACGGCCCGCCGACGAAGGAGCTTGCCGAGGACTCGGCGGGTGGCGGACAAAAAATGACGGTCGTAAATTTAAATCGAGTAATCGCGCGTCGGAAAAGAGCTGGCGTGCGATAGGTTCGAGGCTCTCCTAAAGAGATTACCCACCGGAGGAGGAAGGAAGAGATTGGATCACGAAGGTACCGGGAGTGGAAGTCGGGAGGGAAAGTGAATATGGCAGGATCCCGAGGATACCGCTTCTTCGCGTCCTAGGGTTAACGGCGCGATCACTTCGATCGCGGCGCCGACGAGAAATGCGTCGTGACTGAAATTTTGGGATATTTTGGGCTACCTCTTCGTCTTTCCCGAGGAGAAAGGAAGGAACCTCATCTCAAGGGAAAATTGTCGCAACTTTAAATTATTAATTCTACACATCTGGCGATTTTCCCGATTAATTTCTCGAATCACTTTTCTCCATCAGATAACATAGGCAGTAAGCAGCTTTGTGTCAAATCTAATGTTTTCAGGGAAAAAAATGTAGCAACCCCGAATTATTAATTCTGCGCATCCGGCGATATTTACGATTATTTAAATTTCGGTTAATTAAATATTAAATACGGTTAATTAAATTTCTTTAATTTCTTCTTTTCTGTCAAATAACATATCCGAAAATATTGTGTTAAATTTAACATTTTTCCACACGTTCCAGTTTTTGTGTTAATTTAACACAATATGAATATGTTAGAAAGTAACACAAATATTGCGTCAAAAATGAACACGCAAATTTAATATCCATAACATGTTAATCTACACTGAAGCATAAAATGTGTTACTTTAATACTTTACACGTATTGAATATCGGCTCAACACATAAAATATTAATATAACATATTACAAAATATTAATATAACAAACACAATATGTCGAATAACACACGATTATGTTAAAAATTTGACACAAAATTTTAACAAGGACCGATTTTAATTCAAGTACAAAATGATCTTTACCGTACGTCGAGAAGCGAAGAGTATTTGAGAAGAACGGAAGACAGCAGTTTTTCACGGTCTTCACAGACGCGATACTTTTCTCGTCGGTGCCCCGTCGACTCGCCTCTCCCTTTCCTCTTTTTCACTCCTTCATTTTTTCTCTACAGATATATCTTATAATTAATCGCGCTGCTCGGCTCTTTTAATGGACCGAGAGCGTATCCTCGTCTCTCTCTCTCTCTCTCTTTCTCTCACTCGCTCGCTCGTTCTCTCTCTTTCTCTCTCTCTTTCTCTTTCATCTCCTTTTGTTGCTATATTACTTTTGATCGATCTCGACGATTTTCTCCGTGTCGTGCGACTTTGTCGTGGACGACGCGCGTCGCAGTGCTCATCGCGCGGGATTATCGTTTAGAGTCCTTTGTACAGACTTCTGATAAATCGTACCTATAACTTTTGCCGTTTGTCTTATGTGCTAAACTTTTTTTTCTCTTACTGCAAAGCTAACTCACTTTTCTCTCTCTCTCTCTCTCTCTCTCAGCGCTCGTTCGTTCTCTCGTTCGTTCTCTTTCTCACGGTCTCTCTTTCTCTCATTCTCACTCTCTCACTCTCTCTCTCTCTTTATACATCTGTATCTATTTTTAACGGTGCTTGTACAGCTAAATCAGCTAGATATGGGCTAAGGGGCTCCAGGATGAGGTGGAAACTCCGATTCTCCCGATCGCTCCCGTGGATCCCTTCGTCTTTAAGCCGAGGGGATGCTGCTGCTCCGGAGACCGGCGTGCGTGCTGGAGCGGCGCCAACGAC